GGGTGCATGTAGCGTGGTGTGGACCCACCAACATTCGGGCAAAATGGGACACGGACACTCCCATGCCCCAGGACTGTTTTCTATTTGGCTGTTTTTGTATGCATGTTGAACTTCTTTAGCACCGTACGTAGCCATCCGCGCTTGTTTCTTTAACGCCATTTTTGTCGTTTTGGTGACCCCCCCCCACCCCCCCGGGTCTGCCACTCTTGATCTATCGCGAGGTCTCGCCCCGTCAAGCAAGATAAACTTGACTCCCAAAACGTATTTTTCGCGTGGATAGACTCTGGAAATTCCCTCCCATCGTCTCTCCTCCAAAGTTCTTGCAGCCCATGCCCAATTCAAGAAAAACTGTTTCATCTCTTACCCGTCCCACCTTCCGATAGGGGCCGTTTGTTTCTGGCCTGCGCCCAACAAACCGTGACAAAGAAGGGAGGGAGTGGGGTGACGGGGCGAAACGCATTGGCACCAGAATTTATTTTGTTGTAGCGGTTGCGCTCCGTGCGTGCGTTTGCGTTTTGGCACGAGGGCAATATCCTGCGGCCTCCACCCCTTACACTCCCTGCATCCACCCACAAGCACTGCATCCACCCAGAAGCACTGCACCCACCCACAAGCACTGAACCCACACACTCCCTGCATTCACCCACAAGCACTGCACACGCACTGCACCCACACTCACTGCACCCACACTCACTGCACCCACCCACTCACACCGCACTGCACCCACACCGCACTGCACCCACCCACACTGCACCCACCCACACTGCACCCACCCACACTGCCAATACCAACAGCGGCCATTCGCGACTAAGTGACGGTGATGTCACCACGGCGCCTGTGCCAGGCTAGGTGCACTTTGAGGCCACGTGAAGTGTCGAAGGCTCGCTGACAGGAGGTGGTCTCGGGACAGACCCAGGTGGTGCCACGGGTTGGCTGACTGAGATGACCGGTGGATGCACCACCTGTAACCCCCTTACTGTGCCAACTTGCTGCATTTTATCCGCCCGGCGCGCCGCTCGTTGTTGTGAGCGTCGCTCCTCTGCCCTCCGATGTTGCTGGAGGGCGACTGCCTCCAACCGCCCAGCAGCAGCAGCAGCGTCCTTCACGAGCCTCCTCCATGCACTCACCCACACTCAACCACCCACTCATCCACACTCAACCACCCACTCACCCACACTCAACCACCCACTCACCCACACTCACCCACCCACACTCCCACCCACCCACACTCACCCACCCACCTACACTCACCCACCCACTCACCCACCCACACTCACACACCCACCCACACACACCCACCCACACTCACACACCCACACACACCCACCCACACACACCCACCCACCCACACTCACACACCCACCCACCCACACTCACACACCCACCCACACTCACACACCCACCCACACTCACACACCCACCCACACTCATACACCCACCCACCCACACTCACACCCACCCACCCACCCACACTCACACACCCACCCACCCACCCACACTCACACACCCACCCACCCACCCACACTCACACACCCACACTCACACCCACCCACCCTCACACACCCACCCACACTCACACAACCACCCACACTCACACACCCACCCACACTCACACAACCACCCACACTCACACAACCACCCACACTCACACAACCACCCACACTCACACACCCACCCACACTCACACACCCACCCACACTCACACACCCACCCACACTCACACACCCACCCACACTCACACACCCACCCACACTCACACCAACCCACACTCACACACCCACCCACCCACACCCACCCACACTCACACACCCACCCACACTCACACACCCACCCACCCACACTCACACACCCACCCACACTCACACACCCACCCACCCACCCACACTCACACACCCACCCACCCACCCACACTCACACACACACCCACCCACCCACACTCACACACCCACCCACCCACCCACACTCACACACCCACCCACCCACACTCACACACCCACCCACCCACCCACACTCACACACCCACCCACACTCACACACCCACCCACACTCACACACCCACCCACACACCCACACTCACACACCCACCCACACTCACACACCCACCCACACTCACACACCCACCCACACTCACACAGTCACCCACCCACACTCACACACCCACCCACCCACACTCACACACCCACCCACCCACACTCACACTCACACACCCACCCACACTCACACACCCACCCACCCACACTCACACACCCACCCACCCACACTCACACACCCACCCACCCACACTCACACACCCACCCACCCACACTCACACACCCACCCACCCACACTCACACACCCACCCACCCACACTCACACACCCACCCACCCACACTCACACACCCACCCACACACACTCACCCACCACACTCACACACCCACCCACACTCACACACCCACCCACCCACACTCACACACCCACCCACCCACACTCACACACCCACACACCCACACACCCACCCATCCACACTCACACACCCACCCACCCACATCCACCCACACTCACACATCCACCCACCCACACACCCACCCACACACCCACCCACGCACCCACCCACGCACCCACCCACGCACACACCCACCCACCCACACTCACACACCCACCCACCCACACTCACACTCACACACCCACCCACACTCACACACCCACCCACCCACACTCACACACCCACCCACCCACACTCACACACCCACCCACCCACACTCACACACCCACCCACCCACACTCACACACCCACCCACCCACACTCACACACCCACCCACACACACTCACCCACCCACACTCACACACCCACCCACACTCACACACCCACCCACCCACACTCACACACCCACCCACCCACACTCACACACCCACTCACCCACACACCCACCCATCCACACTCACACACCCACCCACCCACATCCACCCACACTCACACATCCACCCACCCACACACCCACCCACACACCCACCCACGCACCCACCCACGCACCCACCCACGCACCCACCCACGCACCCACCCACGCACACACCCACCCACCCACGCACACACCCATCCACACTCACCCAGCCAGCCTTATCTCGCCTCCATTTATTTATTTATTTATACGGGAAACCGGTTCTGTGAGTTGTTACCAGCGACCGGATGCGTTGAACCCCTTCCCCGATTCTCTCTATCCCAATAAGGACTGATTTGCATGATAAACTCATGGAACATTCCGCCTGGCCATTGTATGTGTGTGTGTGGGGAGAGACAGGGGGGGGGTGAGACATTCATGACGGTCGATTAGGCACGTGCGGTGTCGGATTATCGTAGTAGCAAAAGTGGCTCCATATGCTACGGACCCCGCACTTTCAAGCTATCAATTTCGGTTCAGTGATTCTGCACTCGCTCTATTACTATAATACTATACTGCCTTCAACTTTTATTAACGACTGGATGTTTAAGGTTAGCGATTTGTCGTATTATCTGGCTGTATAGCAAATGAAAAAATCCAATTACTTTACCGTGCAAGTTAAACGTTTATGTGTTTTAATATTTACGTGTTTTATTTTTAGAGCCCCTTTATAACATACGCTACAGGCCCCATACTAGCTTAATCCACTGGGCACGTGCACAGCATGTGACTACATTATTCGTATTTTAGTCCACGAGCCCCCCAGACCACACATCACATTTGTCGGTCGGAGCGTGGTTGGTTCCAATGTCCTTATTGTGACCAATAACAGAGAATTCTGTGATAACCAATTTGGAGCCAATGGGGGGCTCTCAAGTAATTCACGCGTACACGCCGGGTAACAAAACAGGCGGCGCCACCAGTGATGTTGCTACCTTGGGTGGTAACCGAGTTAAGGCCGTGGCCCGCGGGCTATTTAATCGGAGGGGATTTGTCCGTGTGGAAAAGGTTGGCCCGTAGTGGGTGACACGAACCCGAGTTTGGCAGTCGCTGAATGTGCCCTACTGGACATCTCTAGAACAAAATAGCTTCCCAGCTCATCGGATTTCTCCAGTGCAAACAAAGGTCCTGATTTTGTACCCTAACGAAGTCTCGTACTATGAACTGGGTTGACACTGGTGTGGTGAACGTAGCGGCCACGAGTGGATGTCGAGGACAATGTAGTCCCCATTATACGATGCTGGTTTAGACCCTTGGGGGTGTGATTTTTATTGCGTGCGTGTGTGTGTCGCGAGATTTGGGCGGTGGTGGCTATGCACGTGGTCTGTAATCCAGTACCGCGGAGGCGAGGGTTGATGGATCGCACGGATACAGGTTTTTCCCTCGCTTTATGCGGTAGATGCGCTCTAAAAAAAAGTGGCTCGCAAAGCGAAACCGCTCGAGGCCGCTGCCTGCCGAATGTCGCATCCAGCACGCAAACAATGTCGTCCCACGTCTGACCGGCCAGCTTCGTACGAGTGAATTCAAATCGCATAATATCGCGAATCTTGGGTAGATATAGGCGAGCCACGTGCACGCCAAATCGCACAAAACCGAACCCGCGCAAAGCGGGGGGAAAACCTGCCTTGTGAAATTCCCTTCCCATGGGCGTCGAGGAGCCCCCCATACCATGGCTCACCAGGCGAAGGCGGCGCAGCAAGTGTGGACTCCGCCTGTCCCATCTGTACGGGATGACAGTGTTGCCACAGCGCACGTGTGGGTCTCCTCCGAGTGCTCTGGATTCCTTCCCACGTGTAAAAAACATTATTTGGGCCAAATAATTATTTGGCCGAGGCACCTTAATATATACGCGACCATAGAACTTGGGCAATTGTTGGTCGTGCCCGCTCGCCGTGTGGCTGACTTCCAAGCTCGTCTGCGGTCCCTCGTTCTCTCTCTTCGAGAGCGTTGCCGAAAAACCGTGCCGGCGCTTTCGCATGTTGAAAGTGACCGTGTTGTTGAGAGAAGAAAACAATTGATCAATTGGAACCTTTCGTCGTTACCTTACCCGTGTAACGTGCGCGCCCGCGTGTTTGCGTAACAGGAAAGCCTGCACCAGGTGATCGTCATGCCGCTTCCGGACGTTCTGGCGTTGGCTCGAGACCCTCACTCAGGTATGGGCGCCCCCCGGCAGGGGTACGCAGGGCACACAAACATGGAGAGGTGTGCTGTTCGCGAGCACCAATAAAGGCCGGTGGCACATGAGGGGGTGGGTGGCCAGCACCACGCTCAGCCGTCTCCTTTGTCTCCCCGGAGCAGTTGTTTACACACCGCACCAGGTACTTGCTCAAGGCTGAGTCGGCCTCGGGGAGGCCCCAGGACCGGTTCAGGTATTCGTCACCGACGTTGGCAGTGCGCGGGAATCGAACTCGGGTTCGTCGGATTTATGATCGCCGCTCGCTAACCGCTAAACTACTGCTCCCCATACACACACGGCACGCACAGGGCGCACACACAGACACACACACAGGGCACACACGCATGCACAGGGCACAGACAATCCGCACGCAGGGCATACACGCACACACACAGGGCACACACACACACAGGGCACACACACACACGGCACACACGGCACATACACACACGGCACACACACACACGGCATGCACAGGGCATGCACAGGGCATACACAGGGCATACACAGGGCACACATACACATGGACACCCACGTACAGGCACCTCCTCGTGCATCCATGACCTTTCGCACACAGACAATCGGTGGCTGAAAATGTTTGATCTTCAGAATGGGATACTCTTGGTGGTCTGGAGACATTGCCTTCAACACAGAGTCCATCACTCCACCACTGTCAGCGTTTACATCATCATAATCCCTTTTCATGGTTTTTTTTCTTCCGACACATTTTTGCATTTGACAATTCATTTTTCCCCGATTGTGCATTTGGCTTCATGCCAGGAGACGAGGCCCCCATTCGGTTCTCTCACAGAGCAGTGGCAACCCCCCTTCCGGGTTCGAGAACGGCTCACAGAAGTGGACGTCACAGAGCCCCACCTCTGTTGTCCCCCTTTTCAAGGGACCATCTGGTCCACACGCAAAACTTTCCCACCCGCTCAGGATATGCGAGTAACGTTCGTTGCATGACAGTGAAACCGATACTTGAATCCCAGAGATGCAAAAATCCAATTTCAAGTGATAATTATTCTTTGCCGTCATTGTTGGACCGGGTTCAGACCTTCAACTCACCGCCACTTGTGAACCCAGTTTTAATTACAGGCAGTTACCTGAATGCAAACCCCAGGTTCTAAGCTGTACCAGCTGACACCTGAGATCCTAGGTTCAAATTACTACAATCAGCACAATCGTTAGTCATGATTATTATTATCTGTGTTTTCTTTGTAAATCTTTGCTGGCCTTCAGGACGGCGTTGTCATCTGGACTGGTCACCTGGCCCTTTCAATGTTCCTGGCTGCAGAGGACACGCGATAGCATAATTGTGTCTGGAGGGCACGGGGCATCACGGTTCAAAACGTGGCCCTGTTCCAATGAGAAATTAGATCGTGCGCAGCGTGCCGTCCGACTTTCTCCCTCCCCCTGGCTCTTGTGAAATGCCGGCACTGTTTGGCCAATGTAGGTATGTACGTTGAACTTCTTTCGCAATGTACGTAGCCAACGGTGCTAATCGGAGGTGCAGGTGGAGGACAACAAACTAAAGGCATAAATAAAAAATCGCACAAAGGTTTAGGCGTTCACCCAGCTTCCACTACAATGCGGGGAGCCACCAGAAACAGAAACGGTCGCTGTGGCATATCCGAGCCGAGCCAGCGCTGAGCACTCACCGTACAGGTGAATTCCCACTGGCCATTTGCCGTGCCGAGCCGAGCCATAATGAAATCGAGATACGCTGGCCTCGCGTGACATCTGAATCTGGCTTGGGGCCAAGCAGGGCCAGCGGCGGGGTGAATGATGCGTTCGTTAGGTGTGACCATTGGCAGCATGGCTCGGCCTGTGCAGTGAAAAAACAAACCTGGTGCCTCCTGAGCTGGCTCGGCACAGGCCCCGGCACGGCTTGGCTGTACGGTGGAAAAAAAAGTCTAAGTGGCTGTGACATTGAGGCCGGGTGGATCAGAGGTCAGAGCGTTGCACTGGCACCGCTGAGATCCTGGGTTCTAATCGTGATTTCGGCTGCCCGTGATTAAACCAGGTGCAGTGAGTATGTGGCCTCAGCCCAATCACAAATGACTGCACACTACAAAAGACAAAATCCTTCGGTAAGTTTGTTTCTGCACCAAATTTGGCTAAAATTCCAGGTCTGAGAGTCAAACGGTGAGGTTTGACACTTGGTTCACGGCAAAGGGAGATCAGATCTGGCGCAGCGTCTCGCGATCCGACGTCGCGATCGCGATCAAATTAGAATGACGTGTTTATATATAAATATTCCTTAAAGTGGCCGCGACACCACAGCGACGCTCGCGCCCGGGCTAGGTGATGCACTTTTGGGCCACACGCGGGGGAGTGGCAACGGCTCGGCAGGCAGGCTGTCGCAGGGACGCAACGCTCGGCAAGTACCGCTCACCTGAGTCGCGTCGTCGTCCGTGTCGTTGTGGGTGCCGGGCAGAGCGCAGCGTGCAAGAATTGAGGAGGGTGCTTCTGCTCATGCTGGGGTGTGCCGTGCAGGTGAGCTGCCCAACCCACCCATCCACAACACGCCACCCTAAACTAAACTAACATTTTTTATTGCCATATAGGGTAAAACCTATTGTTATTTTTCATCATTGTTGAAGCTTCAAATGAAGATTGTTGGTACTGGCAAAAATGTCCCGTCGACATAACTTGCTCGACCCACGCTTTAAGTGCTCTCACGCTTGCATTGTCTTTGTTGCTGTTCGCCTTTTGGCATCCTCTGGTCTAACACTGGTGAGACTAGGCCCTAAAGGCCAATCAGTTTCAAAGACGACGCATCTATAATTATCAGAGCATGTTAGCGTGTTTGCATGTTCACCACAAGCACGTGTGGTTAATGCGGAATTGCTGCCTTGCAAAAGGTTTCTATTTGGTGTTTCAACATCTTGACACCTGTTGTATTGCCAGAAAGGGTGAAACCTATTTTTATTTTTCATCATTTTTTATCCTGGCAAAAAGGGTCCCATAAGATGTAAAAAAATTTTATTTTTATTTTACCAGGTAAGGCCCACTGCGCCATAATAGCTCTTTTTCAGAAGCTTTGCACGATCCAATCTGCCATGTCATTGTGTCCACCACAGTGTCATTGTGTCCACCGCAGTGTCATTGTGTCCACCATAGTGTCATTGTGTCCACCGTAGTGTCATTGTGTCCACCGAAGTGTCATTGTGTCCACCGTAGTGTCATTGTGTCCACCGAAGTGTCATTGTGTCCACCGTAGTGTCATTGTGTCCACCGAAGTGTCATTGTGTCCACCGCAGTGTCATTGTGTCCACCACAGTGTCATTGTGTCCACCACAGTGTCATTGTGTCCACCGTAGTGTCATTGTGTCCACCGTAGTGTCATTGTGTCCACCGCAGTGTCATTGTGTCCACCACAGTGTCATTGTGTCCACCGTAGTGTCATTGTGTCCACCACTGTCATTGTGTCCACCACTGTCATTGTGTCCACCACAGTGTCATTGTGTCCACCGCAGTGTCATTGTGTCCACCACTGTCATTGTGTCCACCGCAGTGTCATTGTGTCCACCACAGTGTCATTGTGTCCACCACTGTCATTGTGTCCACCACTGTCATTGTGTCCACCACAGTGTCATTGTGTCCACCACTGTCATTGTGTCCACCACTGTCATTGTGTCCACCACAGTGTCATTGTGTCCACCACTGTCATTGTGTCCACCACAGTGTCATTGTGTCCACCACTGTCATTGTGTCCACCACTGTCATTGTGTCCACCGTAGTGTCATTGTGTCCACCATAGTGTCATTGTGTCCACCACTGTCATTGTGTCCACCACTGTCATTGTGTCCACCACAGTGTCATTGTGTCCACCGCAGTGTCATTGTGTCCACCACTGTCATTGTGTCCACCGCAGTGTCATTGTGTCCACCACAGTGTCATTGTGTCCACCACTGTCATTGTGTCCACCACTGTCATTGTGTCCACCACAGTGTCATTGTGTCCACCACTGTCATTGTGTCCACCACTGTCATTGTGTCCACCACAGTGTCATTGTGTCCACCACTGTCATTGTGTCCACCACAGTGTCATTGTGTCCACCACTGTCATTGTGTCCACCACTGTCATTGTGTCCACCGTAGTGTCATTGTGTCCACCATAGTGTCATTGTGTCCACCACTGTCATTGTGTCCACCACTGTCATTGTGTCCACCACTGTCATTGTGTCCACCACAGTGTCATTGTGTCCACCGCAGTGTAATTGTGTCCACCACAGTGGCATTGTGTCCACCACTGTCATTGTGTCCACCATAGTGTCATTGTGTCCACCGCAGTGTCATTGTGTCCACCATAGTGTCATTGTGTCCACCACTGTCATTGTGTCCCCCGTAGTGTCATTGTGTCCACCACAGTGTCATTGTGTCCACCACAGTGTCATTGTGTCCACCACTGTCATTGTGTCCCCCGTAGTGTCATTGTGTCCACCACAGTGTCATTGTGTCCACCACAGTGTCATTGTGTCCACCACAGTGTCATTGTGTCCACCACTGTCATTGTGTCCACCACTGTCATTGTGTCCACCACAGTGTCATTGTGTCCACCGCAGTGTCATTGTGTCCACCACTGTCATTGTGTCCACCATAGTGTCATTGTGTCCACCACAGTGTCATTGTGTCCACCAGTGTCATTGTGTCCACCACAGTGTCATTGTGTCCACCATAGTGTCATTGTGTCCACCACAATGACATTGTGTCCACCACAGTGTCATTGTGTCCACCATAGTGTCATTGTGTCCACCACTGTCATTGTATCCACCACTGTCATTGTGTCCACCACTGTCATTGTGTCCACCACTGTCATTGTGTCCACCATAGTGTCATTGTGTCCACCACAGTGTCATTGTGTCCACCACTGTCATTGTGTCCACCACTGTCATTGTGTCCACCACTGTCATTGTGTCCACCACAGTCATTGTGTCCACCGCAGTGTCATTGTGTCCACCACTGTCATTGTGTCCACCGCAGTGTCATTGTGTCCACCGCAGTGTCATTGTGTCCACCGCAGTGTCATTGTGTCCACCACAGTGTCATTGTGTCCACCGCAGTGTCATTGTGTCCACCACTGTCATTGTGTCCACCGTAGTGTCATTGTGTCCACCACTGTCATTGTGTCCACCACTGTCATTGTGTCCACCACAGTGTCATTGTGTCCACCGCAGTGTCATTGTGTCCACCACTGTCATTGTGTCCACCATAGTGTCATTGTGTCCACCACAGTGTCATTGTGTCCACCACTGTCATTGTGTCCACCATAGTGTCATTGTGTCCACCACTGTCATTGTGTCCACCACTGTCATTGTGTCCACCACTGTCATTGTGTCCACCACTGTCATTGTGTCCACCGTAGTGTCATTGTGTCCACCGAAGTGTCATTGTGTCCACCACTGTCATTGTGTCCACCACTGTCATTGTGTCCACCACAGTGTCATTGTGTCCACCACAGTGTCATTGTGTCCACCGCAGTGTCATTGTGTCCACCGCAGTGTCATTGTGTCCACCGCAGTGTCATTGTGTCCACCACTGTCATTGTGTCCACCACTGTCATTGTGTCCACCACTGTCATTGTGTCCACCACAGTGTCATTGTGTCCACCACTGTCATTGTGTCCACCGTATTGTCATTGTGTCCACCACTGTCATTGTGTCCACCACAGTGTCATTGTGTCCACCACAGTGTCATTGTGTCCACCGTAGTGTGTCATTGTGTCCACCGTATTGTCATTGTGTCCACCACTGGCATTGTGTCCACCACAGTGTCATTGTGTCCACCGCAGTGTCATTGTGTCCACCGTAGTGTCATTGTGTCCACCACAGTGTCATTGTGTCCACCACAGTGTCATTGTGTCCACCGCAGTGTCATTGTGTCCACCGCAGTGTCATTGTGTCCACCACTGTCATTGTGTCCACCACTGTCATTGTGCCCACCGCAGTGCGAGAACAAGGAGGCATTCATTGAAAAAATAACTCAGCTGGACCTGGAGACCCAGGCGGCAATCGTTAACCATATCAAGGAGGTAAGAGTTTCACGTTTAAACTTTGCGCGTTTCCCCCTCTGTTCTGTCGCATCATACGTCGCCCACCGTATTAATTGGAGATGTGCGTGGGGGGGAGATAAAAAACCACACACGTGTGCGTGCACGAATCCACGACGTCACTGCGTGTCGCTCTCATCTCCCACCTCTACGCAGGTCACTCACAACCCTGAGAATGTCCTTGATCTGCACTGGGCAGATTCCAATGCTGCAGAAAGCCCCGATCTGCCGAATCACAGCAGCCTGGCCAATCGCTTGCGGGACGTCGTGGAGGAGCGAGACTCGTTTTCCCAGGTGAGATGGGGTCGGGGGGGGCGGGGTGTGGATGAGAAAACTCTTCGATGCGCCGTGTTTTAAAAACCGTAGCAGGCAGGCGGAAGTGCCCTTCGCTCGAAGGTGTCTCTGGAGAGCCTCTCTCAGAAGCTTCCTTGGTTTTATTCTCCCACGCTGGCCGCACGTCTTGGAAAAAACAGTGGGAGCACCCCCCCCCCCCCCCCCCCACCGTGCACGACCTGCACATCGACCAACCGCGGTTGTGCACCGAACGGGCAAAGCCGAGCGCGCCGACCGGTCCACACGATGGCGGCGGCAGCAACGTCCGCGCGCCACGCGCATACGTCTTGTCGCACGGTTGCACCATCGCTTCTTCCCCCTCCCTCGCTCCCTCCCGGTAGACGGTTGTGGATCTGACGCTGGAGTTGGAGCGTCTCCGTGCCGCGCCAGAGCCTCCCGCGGCGTTGGTTGGCAACGGGGTGGCTGCGGATCCGCCGGGCTCCGTCGCGAACCACTGGGACAAGCTCGACAGCCCCGCCGACAAGGCCGCCGCGAGTCCCGCGGAGAGCAACGTCAAGCTGAGGCGGGCGCAGCAGGAGTTGTGAGCACATTAATCTTAAACGCCCCTATGTTTAAACCCTATTGTCGTCCTCGTCGTCGTCAACATCGGCCATGGGCAAAATCCGCTGCCAACCGCCGCCTTCTCTCGCGCTCTCCTGCGATGTAATGATCCTCCAGGGCAACCTGTGCAATAGCTGACTTCGTCGCTGCATCTCCCTCCGGCAGTCGTGCTCTTGGGCAAATACTATTCACCTCCTGTTATTTTAAATCCTCACATCCTGTTATTTATAGTCACGCACTCGACCCTCATCATCCACCACCCACAATTAGGTTGGCAGGGCTTAATATCCCCCCGTGAGTACGGTCCGGATCGCTGGATTCTTTTTTACAATGCCACCCACAGTGGAGCGCCACGGTGGCTAGAAGATGTTAATTACCTCGCCAGGTATACAGGAGGTCGTGGGTTTGATATTGAGATGTTAACTACCTCGCCAGGTATACAGGAGGTCGTGGGTTAGATGTTGATATGTTAACTACCTCGCCAGGTATACAGGAGGTGGTGGGTTTGATGTTGAGATGTTAATTACCTCGCAAGGTATACAGGAGGTCGTGGGTTTGATGTTGAGATGTTAACTACCTCACCAGGTATACAGGAGGTCGTGGGTTTGATGTTGAGATGTTAATTACCTCGCCAGGTATACAGGAGGTTGTGGGTTTGATATTGAGATGTTAACTACCTTGCCAGGTGTACAGGAGGTCGTGGGTTTGATGTTGAGATGTTAACTACCTTGCCAGGTCTACAGGAGGTCGTGGGTTCGATCCCGACCCTGACTCCTGCTGTATATTTGGAGTGTGCGTGTCTCTCCCCGTGGTGGCGTGGTTTTTTCTCCGGGTGTTCCAGTTTCCTCCACATTTGGAATCAACATCACGCGTTTAAGAGCATTTGGCTGCTATAAATGTCCACATGATGAGCCGCTTCGTTGAGCTATCTTGTCTTATCTTAGCGGAATTTGCATAGCCCCTAAACCGAGGCAGTTTACAAAAAATGAACAACAGTACAGCACATGGATGTAATGGTGGAGATGAGGTGAATGAAATGGATGAGAGGAAGCAATGGCGGAAAATCTGTGACGCGTGAATTTGGCGAAAGCGACATTGATGACAGTAAATGATGATGAATGGTTTGAATGAACAGGGAATGAGTGATAGGCATATGATCAAGTGACCTGGCTATCATTTGTGATAAAAGAGCTTATATATAGCTCAATGGGGACTTATCTTGGTAAAATAAAAAAATAGATAGTCTTTAGTTATCCATAATAGAGGTTTTTGGGGTTAGATCACGTAAATATATAAATGTTGTGTCGTTAAAACCCGCCACCACCCGACACAGCCAACTAGTAAGGGTTGTTACGTAAACAGAATGTGGCCAATTCGTCACTAGTACAGCACTAATGTATAGTGTAGTGTATAGTGTAGTGTATAGTTGTGTAGTGTATATTAGTGTAGTGTATAGTAGTGCAGTGTATAGTGTAGTGTATATTAGTGTAGTGCATAGTAGGTTATTGTATATTAGTGTAGTGTATAGTAGTGTATTGTGTATTAGTGTAGTGTATATTAGTGTAGTGTATAGTAGTGTATTGTATAGTAGTGTATTGTATAGTAGTGTAGTGTTTAGTAGCGTATTGTATCGTAGTGTATTGTATAGTAGCGTAGTGTATAGTGTAGTGTATAGCAGTGTAGTGTATAGTAGTGTATTGTATAGTAGTGTAGTGTATAGTAGCGTATTGTATCGTAGTGTATTGTATAGTAGCGTAGTGTATAGTGTAGTGTATAGCAGTGTAGTGTATAGTAGTGTATTGTATAGTAGTGTAGTGTAAAGTAGTGCAGTGTATAGTGTAGTATACTAGTACAGCACACCGGTTGTGTGTTGGAGAGCCAAGCCACAACATTCACAAACCGAGTACGACGCTTCGCCAGTAATTACAACCAGCTTCATCAGGTGACAGCCAGATGTTTAGCCGAAGCGAGAGGTGTACCCAGGTGCAGGAATATAATGAATCCCCTAATGATTGTTGGCAATAAATTGAACCCCCCTCCCTTCCCAGAATCTGCTCGAGGTTGGTTTTTTTCGGCTCTAAGTCAATTATCTCTGTCCCTTTGGCCCTCTGTCACCATGGAGACACGTGGGGGAGATGCGACTCGTAATCGTCCTGGCCTCCGGGCCAGCGATGCCATCGTGTATAATTTTGTCCTGGGTTTTTGTCGTGGAGTGTGGCCCGGCATCAGAGATGCTGCTGCCCTGTGCAGAGACGGCTTGCGCATGTCATTGGGGTTCTTTATCTTTGTTATTTATTGTGAACGCCTGTTTTTACCCGGCAAGGCCTCGCCGAGTCACGTGACTCTCTCTTTTCTCCACGAGGGTCCTGCCAAGTTTTTTTTGTTTGTTTTCCCCGCAGTTAAGGAGGCAATCGCCCACCGTTGTGTATCATCCCGATTGATCATGGGGCCGGCCTACTCTTGCAAATGACGTCACGGGATCTTTGTATGGACGTCCACCGCACGGTTGGCTATGCACGGTGCAAAAGGAGTTCAAGAAGTTCAACACGCATGCATCATAAGCAAGACGGCGTGGACCATTACGGTTATTACACCCGCAGTATTAATCGGGGGCGGCTGCAGGATTCGAACCGTGAACCCCTGGGCCTTGTCACGGCCCCACTTATCAAACACACGCTGCTGTTATACGAAAAGGCGTGTGACCTCGAGGAGGCTGTAGTTGTGGTGCCATGGCGAAGATGGTTATGACCGCCAAGCGGGATTCCGCAGTTGTGCTGTACACACTCTCCGGCGTGTTTTCGTGTTGTACCGCGCGATGTTTGGCGCCAACGTCCGACGTTTTCGCTCCGCATGCTGAGAGCTTCTGCACGAACGTTCAGTTGCCTAAAGCATCCGGGCATCGTGCGGAGCGGTACAGCCCCGAAAACACCGCGGGAGAGCAACTCCGACCTCCGCAGTCGCAAATGTCGTTTTATATTTGACCTTCATTTCGCCGGATTTAATTTGTTGCGGCTGCCTTTGGCAACAGGATCTCCACTCTGCCCGTTCACATTGGTTACATTTAGATGTCGCGCAAATATAAGTTTATTAATGTCCGTTATTTTAGCACTACCGTTCCGCCTTCCATTACGGTTAACAAGCCTTCGCCAGACGCGTCTTGTGCATATTTTTAGGTATCGCTCTCCACTTCATTGCGAATAGGACGTGTTCCACCCCTGTCATGGTTTTTCTATTTGATTGTAAAATAGCAGTTCACCGATGACCAAAATACCATGAGATGGGGACGCTCTCAGCAGATCTCGCAAACTAAGCGGGGGTTTTAGCCTGGATGTTACAGCCGCCATGCCAAGGTGTAATGAGCAGTAGAAAAAAGCGTAGCGTACTGTACGCGTGTTGAACTTCTTCAGCACCTTACGTGGCCAACCGTGCTAACCGGGGGGGGGTGTGCTGGAACGACAACAAACGCCAGTCATCCATAATTGTGCTTTACTTGTGTGCTTTGTCATCTTCGATCATGCGCTGATTATATATGCAGTGAAAAAAAAGATTTCACTGTAGATTGCTATTCAGCACGTGGGCCATTTGAAATTATGCAGTGGACCGTGTCTGGCCCGCGGGCTGAAGGCTCCCTTTTCGGTTTCTCCACGCCTGTCGTAATGGTAAAACCCATGAGTGACACGTGACGGTTACCCCTTGCCACCCATCCCCACACCCCACGCGCAGGGATGAGAAGAAAGAGGAGCTCACCGACGTGAAGCAAGATGTGCAGCGGCTGCACTCCGAGGTTCAGCGACTCCGCCACGAGGTTAGTGAGTCCATGGGCACGCCGGGTCACTTGCGGTCCCTCCCTCCCTCCCTCCACGAGATTGATTGTGAGCTCTACACGGTATAATTTGCCACCCAGCTCGAGGCCAAATCTCCCTTGTGCGCTGCACAAAGGCAGCCCAGTTTTTGTGACGGCCAAGCTTGGGATCGCTTGTAACAACGTCAAGGTCACCCGTGGCGTGGCTACGGCCTCGATGCCGTGCTCCATAATATAATGCAGCGCATCTTAAAATAGCAAACGTCAAGTTTCGTGTAAAGTTTTATACCTCGTGTAAAAGGTAAGGGTGGTTGATGAAGGTGCGGGCCTGTAATTGCTTGCTCACATTACCGCTGGCGGAAGGCCCTCCACTAGAGGATGCACTACGTAGCCCTCCTCCAGACGATGAATTTGGCCTGCTCTTCCACATCGGCCAGACAACTTGGAAGAGGTGGATGTACCCATATTTTTTGCCCCACTATCCGCTGATCGACTAACTGCGGTGTACCGGTTTATACTTTTCGGTGGACAAACGAGGGGTGGATTTCATTCACTTGTCTCCGTTGTTTTCAACTACCGTTGCCAGGAGTTCGAATCGAACCGGCGGCGGCCTCTGAATCGCGAATCCCTTTGCGCGGGGCGCTGCACCGCGGCATGTCGTTGTGATGAATTAAATCATCTTTGTCGCCACACCGCTTGAAACGCAATACTGAGAAGAAAGCACAAAGGATGAGCAATGCGCCAAAATCGGCAAAGCGTTCCCTCGCCATTACTCCGCGGACATAAACTCGAGGATTTAGGAGACGTCACCCCCTGACCTCTCGTAAACTCGGCGACGGCTGCCGATGGTCAGGCGTGTGAGTGCGTGTGTGCGTGTGTGTGTGTGTTTGTGTGTGTGTGTGTTTGTTTGTGTGCGTGTGTGTTTGTTTGTGTGCGTGTGTGTGTTTGTGTGCGTGTGTTTGTGTGTGTGTGTTTGTGCGTGTTTGTGTGTGTGTGTTTGTGTGTGTGTGTGTGTGTTTGTGTGTGTGTGCGTGTTTGTGTGTGTGCGTGTGTTTGTGTGTGTGCGTGTGAGTGCGTGCGCGCGTGTGTGTGTGTGTGTTTGTGTGTGTTTGTTTGTGCGTGTTTGTGCGTGTTTGTGTGTGTGCGTGTGTTTGTGTGTGTGTTTGTGTGTGTGTTTGTGTGTGTTTGTGTGTGTTTGTGTGTGTGTGTTTGTGTGTGTGTTTGTGTGTGTGTTTGTGTGTGTGTTTGTGTGTGTGTGTGCTTGTGTGTGTGTTTGTGTGCGTGTGTGTGTTTGTGTGCGTGTGTGTGTGTTTGTGTGTGTTTGTGTGTGTTTGTGTGTGTTTGTGTGTGTTTGTGTGTGTTTGTGTGTGTGTGTGTTTGTGTGTGTTTGTGTGTGTGTGCGTTTGTGTGCGTTTGTGTGTGTGCGTGTTTGTGTGTGTGCGTGTTTGTGCGTGTTTGTGTGCGTTTGTGTGTTTGTGTGTGTTTGTGTGTGTTTGTGTGCGTTTGTGTGTGTTTGTGTGTGTGCGTGTGTGGGCCAACTGAGGGAGCCGGTGGTGTCGCGGTTAGCGCTACGCTGCACTACAAACCCGGCGACCATGAGTTCGATTCCCGCTCACGGCCAACACCGGTGACGATCATCGGAACCGGTCCTGGGCCTCCCCTAGGTCGATTCAGCCTCAAATGAGTACCTGGCACGATGTGTTACCATCGCCACTGGAGAGACAAAGGTGGCCGGGCGTTGTGCTGGCCACCCATCCCCCTCGTGTGCCGTGTCGGCCTTCACAGGTGTTCGCTAACAGCACTTGCCCCTACAGTCCGTTCAGGCTATACGGGGGATCTTTGACTTTGGGCCAACTGCCAGTCATCTGAGTCAGTCCACCCATGGCACCTGCGCCTGTTTTGGTGGTGTCCAATCAGCAACGAGAGCCTTTGACACCGCTGCACGTGGCCTCAAGGTGCTCTTAGACTGGCGTGACAAGCGCTGTAGTGATGTCATTGCCACATGGTGACAAGCTGTGGCTGTTGCTGTTGTGCGTGGGCGCTCCACAGAACTCTCAGCTCGTGTCGGAGGCGTGCTCGGCGCGTGCGTACCGCGATGAGTTGGATGCGGCGCACGAGCGTGCCGAGCGAGCCGAGCGGCTGTACGGGGAGGTGGCGCGACTCCGGGAACGGCTACGCGACGCCGACTTCTACAAGAGCCGGGTCGAGGTTGGCTCTCTCGTTCGCTCGCTCATCCACGCATTCGTTCGTCGGCTCGGTCGTTGTTAATAATGACTTCTTTAGTAGCCTAAGAGCCAATCCAAGTGTGATCTTTGTCGGTTGGGCCGCGTGTCGAGCAATTCCATTCTCGAAGCTTCCATTGCCGCGCTCTGCTGCAGGCGGTGTGGCGCGCAACGGCGGAAGCTCGAGGCAATTTATTTTCCTTTCTTTCTTTCCTTCTCAAAACGTGGCCAAACTTGGATCACGAGTGGCGGCGAAAACTTGCGTGCTCCGCCTACGACCAAGTCACCCCTGAATGCGCCCAACTTCATCGGATCTCAGAAGCCAGGCAGCCTGGCTATCGAGTTGCGTGCAGGCACAATGCAACTGCATCGGGATCCACGGGGCCAGAGACTCGGGAAAAATGTTCATCATCGCTTGGAAATGAAACTGCGAACGGGCTGAGTGAGACCATCAACTCCGCTACACTTCGGAACCAATTTTCTTCGAATGCGGCCGACCTGGTTCCCTGGATCCCGGCTTCTCAGACGTGCCAGCTCAGCGCTCTGACCCCCCCCCCCCCCCCCCCAATTCACTTGGTAATGTTTCCGCCCCTCACTTGGTTGCTCGTCGCAGGAACTGCGGGAGGACAACGCTCTTCTGCTGGAGGCCAAGGCACTGCTGGAGGAGAAGGTGGAGGCGGGGAAGGCGCTTGCGGTTCGCCAGCACGAGTTGGAGCGTGACAACGCAGCTCTAAGCGCGCGTCTGCTCCACATGGAGACGGTAACGCGTGCGTGCGTGCTGTATTGATACATCGGCTCGAATGAGCAGCTGGTGTGGAGTGTAAAAACATCGCCACTGGGGTGACAAAGGCGGTCGTGCGTGGTGCTGGCCACCCACCCACCCCCTTCGTGTGCCGTGCCGGCCTTCATAGGTGCTCGCTGACAGCAATTTCCCCAACAGTCTGTCTTTGCTGTATTGATATCCATGTAATGCATGTGATTATCGTACATATGATCATATCAGCCCATGAGGATGAAATGTATCTCTTCAAGGGAGACATTTTTTTTGCTGTCGAGGTGTGTGCGAGGGTCATTCAAGTCATTCCCAGACTCGTTCACAAGAGAAGAGAGTTTGAATTCCAGGATCGTGACAACTCTCACCAGTTCTTCAGCATGTCCATCTACAGTACAGCACTTACTCTTTGGTTCTATTCGGTAAAGTCACGTAGGTGAATTTACCGAATAGAACCAAAGAGTATGGATCCTTGCAGTCACGAAAGCTTTAAATCTAGTACAGCACTTGTGTACTATTCTGGCCCTGGGCCTCCCCGACGCTGCGGTGCGTGAACATCAGCACTGGGGGAGACAAAGGCAGACAGGCGGGTGTGCTGCTGACCACCCGTCCCGGCCTTCACAGGCGCTCGCTAATCACCGCTTGCCCCAACACTCTCGTGAAGGCCACCTTGGGGGGGATCTTTGTCTCTGTCCTACAGGAGCGCGAGGAGAAGCAGCACCGGCTGGAGGAGCTGACGCAGGACCACCTGGCGCTCGAGTCGGCCCAGCGCCGGAGTCTCGACGAGACTGCGCACCTCGGGGCCGAGCTGGAACGGCTGACTCACGCCAGCGGCCTCACCTGTACGCCCCCCCCCCCCCCACTGACCGTTTATAGCACAGGGGTGCGGGAACGTTTTTGTGGTCGTGGCAAGTGGGCGAGCGACAGCACGTTTCATAAAACAGTTTCACCGTGCGGCTCGACGGGAGGAGCGAGTGGCTCGCAGTGGGATAATTGACTCGGCCCATCATCTCTCCAGGGTCGATAAAATCGAGTACCGTATTGCGGGGAAGTCGACAGTGTTTTTGTCTATGGATGGACGCACCCAAATACCATAGCGTTGTGGGATGTCCACCGCTGACTCAGGGCTGTTAACAGGTGATGACTGCCGACTCGATGCTCACTTGAACAGGAAATCACTTGGACTTTGTATTTTATTATTCAGCCAGTGTTACGGATAGAGGCGAATTAAGCCAATAATCATGGACAAACTTAAACGGTGATTGAGAAACCTTTATTTGGCAGCTGGCAAGCGTACCGCAAGTGCAGTTGAAGTATTTGCTGGAGTTGGTTCAAGGCCACACACAAAAGCAGTTGTAAATGGCTCAGCAAATTAGTGATTACAAATGCCAGTGGTAATGACTTTTACAATCATTTACCATGCCACGTGCAGAGCTGCAGTTTACCCATCCGCTAAAAGAACTCGCCGCATCAGAGTCTTTGATTAAGGTTCGTGAGCCGCATTGTCATGCCTCATTATTTGTGTGGGGGGCGTTGTCGTGGTGAGATGTTAGCTACCTTGCCTGGTATACAGGAGGTCGTGGGTTCGATCCCAACCCTGACGCCGGTATATTTGGAGCCTGCGCATTCTCCCCATTGTTGCGCGGATTTTTCTCCGGGTCCTCCGGTTTTTCCCCTTCACATTTAGAATCGACATCACGCGTTCAGAGTATTTGGCCGCTATACATTTCCGCGCGATAAGCCCACTTCGTTGAGCTATCATTTGTGATAGCCAGGTCGCTTCTTAAAAAGAGCTACATAGCTCAGTGGGCCCTTTCCTTGTTAAAATAAAAAGTATTTATGGTTTTTAAATAGATACGGACGGACGCAGCGGTGGCACGGCGCTTAGCGCACCTCGCTATGAACCCGGTGCCCGGAGTTTTGACTCTACTTGGCCGCTTGTAAGGTGCAAAGCCAGCCCAGTTTACCACGGCCGAGCCAGGAATCGTTTTGTTCGTGTCAAAGGTCACCGTGGTGTGGCTGCGGCATCAATGCCGTGCTCAGTGACGCGATGCCGCGCCACGAGTAGTACGGCTTGTGTCTAATGCAAAGTCAGCTATGCATCAGAATCAGGATATTTATTTAGACTGGAGGAATCCGATGAGCTATAAAGCTCTCTTCCACATCTGGCTTAGAACCCAGCATGTCAGCAGTGCTACTGCTAATAGCATACCTATATATACGTGTGGATGTGCTTTGGATATCCTACACTTGAGCGTGTCTGCCTGTGGGTGCGCGTGCGCGCGCAGCCACGCCGAGCTCGCTGAGCGTGGAGGTGAACGAGTCGGCCTCGCGGCAGCTGCTGCGCGTGGAGCGTGAGAACCTGGCCCTGCACCGCTCCGTGCAGGAGCTGAGCGCCCAAGTGAGTGGGGAGCCCATTTTTTTTTTACCTTCCCCCCCCCCCGCCCTCTCCCGCCCCGTCTTTTCCGCGGCGCGACGGTGAGCGTTGGGTGCACCGCCCCCCGCGATCCAAGAGGGTCGTGTTCCTGGCAAGGCCGTTGGTTGGTTGCAGCGGGGGCAGTGACGTTTTTTCCTCTTGGCATCAGCTCTGTTCGTGGTTGAGGGTTACAACCTGCAGAGGACAAACCCCCCCCGCCCCCCCCCCCCCCTTCCCATTGGCTTTGACTTACGATCACGTTCTCACTTACGACATTTGTGGCCGCAACTCTTAATCGTGGCCTGCCGCATTTAACATTAGCAATGATTCTCGCGTTGACGGATTTTAATTTTCTCAGTGTTTTTAGCGGAACAAAAACGCGTGCCCAAGTCTCCTTTGCCAAGCGCATTGCCCGTCGTTGACGTCAACGTCGCCTCCGATTAGCACGGTTGGCTACGTACGGCGCGAAAGAAACTCAACGTGCATACACGCGTACACAATGGCCAGAAACAATGCATTTCAGCCGTCCCTTCGAGATGGGACTCTGACCCCTAACCTAGACCACCCTGGCTTCGTTGAACAACCGCAGCTGCAGAAGGCTCAGGAAGAAGCGCAGAGGCAGCGGTTGGTGCCGACGCTTCACGGCGCTGGAGAGGAGGCGGCCGGCGTGGCGGGGTGGCACAACGGCTACGATGGCGGCGGCGACGGCGGCGGCGGCGACGGCATGGCCGCCCGCAGAGCTGCCCCCTCCTTCTCCATCCTGGACGAGAAGTTGGAGGAGCTGGAGCGCGAGAACGAGCGGCTCGCCGCCGAGAACGCACGGCTGAGCCGCGGGCAGGGCTGCGCGCAGGTGGGCACGTTGGCACCTCGCGGTCGCCGTCGTCAGCGTCGTCGTCAGCGTCGTCGTCGTCATCGTTGACGCCATCGGCATCATTGTCGTCACTGTAGTCATCTCGTCTTTGTCGTCGTCGTCATCAACGCCATCATCATTGACGTCATTGGCGTCGTCGTCGTCATCAACGCCATCATCATTGACGTCATTGGCGTCGTCGTCATCAACGTCATCATCATTGACGTCATTGTCGTCATTGTAGTCATCTCGTCTTTGTCGTCGTCGTCATCAACGTCATCATCATTGACGTCATTGGCGTCGTCGTCATCAACGTCATCATCATTGACGTCATTGTCGTCATTGTAGTCATCTCGTCTTTGTCGTCGTCGTCATCAACGCCATCATCATTGACGTCATTGGCGTCGTCGTCATCAACGTCATCATCATTGACGTCATTGGCGTCGTCGTCATCAACGTCATCATCATTGACGTCATTGGCGTCATTGTTATTGTCGTCATCAACGTCATCATCATTGACGTCACTGGCATCATTGTCATCGTAGTCATCTCTTTTTTGTCATTGTCGTCATGGTCGTCATCGTCGTCGAAGCGATCATGGAAATATGAATAAGATTCATGAAATTACTTCATAATATGTCGCGTCAGGGTTTTTTCTGTTCGTCATCCAGTTTCAATAATAAATTAGTCATTTTTAACTATTGTCCAGACTTGCTTACATCCTTTTTTTTTAATGAGTTCATTAGTGTTGCTGCGTCAATTGTATACGATGCAGGAGTAGAATATGCTTGCTCACCCAGTTGAAAGGATAAACACTCTTTGTGCAAAATATTGTGAGTGAATAAAACATTAATTTTTTTAAAATATATATACAATATTATTTTACGTACTGTCAGGGGCCCGTTGTACACAGGAAATGCACTGCCACTCCGCAGCCCAGTGTAATTTCACAACGAAATGTCGCCACCTCCGCAGAAGCTGGAGTTTACGACAGAGATCCGCAGAGCACAGCAGCAGCAGCAGCAGGAGGCTGCACAGCTGGTGAGGAGCCAACATGAGCAGCAGCAGCAGCTGAAGCTGAGGCTGCAGGAGGCGGAGACCTTCAGCGAGCGCTTGCGGCAAGAGAACGAGAAGCTGCGGTGCAGCTTCGGCCTCCTTCAGGTGAGCCCCGTCGCCGTTCTCTCGCTGTCTTGGCCCTTGGCCGCGTGATTTCAAGTCGGGCGATGAGAGGTTTTGTTTTCAAGTCCCCCTTAGAGCCATCATGCGCAAGAGGAAGCCATTGTGCGCCGGGTCACTGCGTGGAATTTCTCAACTCCCACCGCCCTCCCAGTGCGCAAAAATTGTGGCGCTTCACTCTGTGCGAGGACATTCTTTGTTAATAAAGTATTAAAGCTTTCGTGACTGCATAAAATTACTCATTTTTTTTTCGGTAAAGTCACGTATGTAGAAATACAATAAAATTATATTAAAACAAAAAACAATCACGACGTTTCGATCACAACGCAAGCGATCTTCATCAGGTGTCAAGAACAAATCACGGAGGTAAATACAACAAAAAGATGAGAGACGAGAATTCAACAAACCTGAAAAAAACATTATGTGAAGCACATCCAGTCAGGCCAACAACACAGTTAGACACTTCCTGAGTACATTCTTTGTTATCTTTATCGGGTATTTAATGCCTGAAATGATGCGAATAGTTTATACCTGTCATCATCATCACCAGCTGTGGTCAATCTACTGATGAAGACCTCGCCACCCTAGCTGCTACCACGTGAACAAACTAAAAAAAAAACTGTTGATATTTAGGGGCTCTACTTTTTGGAAACTATGTGGAGAGTTTGTACCGTACCGGCTGCCTGTGATCGTACAAATGCCAGTGGTAATGAGGCATTACAGCAACTCTGGTGCGAGTGGGTCAACATTTTTCCCTTTTGATCGAAACCAAACACCCATCTGCTGCTGGGGTTGATGGGACCATCAAACAAGCAACAATTTGAATGATATTTCGATTCAAAGCTTTCGTGACTGCAAGGATTCATCTTCTTTGGTTCTTTCGGTAAAGTCACGTAGAATGAGAATAAAATAATAAATTGATAAAATAAATAATAAAATTCTCACGACGTTTCGGCCACAACACAAGCGGCCTTCATCAGGTGAAGGCCACTTGTGTTGTCTCGTCCCTTCACCTGATGAAGGCCGCTTGTGTTGTGGCCGAAACGTCGTGATAATTTTATTGTGTTATTTATTTTATCAATTTATTATTTTATTCTCATTCTACGTGACTTTACCGAAATAACCAAAGAAGATGAATTTCAATGATACTCAACGAATTAGACACCAAAACATGTTTTTATTGAATTGCAATCCTAAATTGCAACATGTATAATTGAGTGGAATTATTATTATTATTATCGCAATGACTGCATGCTTACCCCCTCCCTGCGGGCACGTCCGACGCATCTTCCCTATTTTTCCGAGGAGGCGAGGGAAGACCGAGCGAAGGTGGACCTGCGGCGGCTCGACGATGTGGAGAGCGAGAATGCGAGGCTCCTGCAGCGAGCGCTGTCCGACAAGCTGTCCCTGGCCATGCTGCAGGAGGTGAGAGGGGGGTGGTGGCACACCCACACGGCCGTCACGTGGGATCCAACCACGCCGCACCCTACGCCGCTGTCCAGTTAATCTTCGCGGTGCACGGCCCTTTGTCGATCGATCCACTTGCCGGTTAAACGAAAACCAAACTTTTTTCTACGACCAGGTAAGGCCCACGGGAGCTCCTTTTAGATTCGGAAGCGACCTGGCCACGAATGAGAGCACGGCAAAGTGGATTGTCACGCGGACGTTTACGGCAGCCAAATAATCTTAAACGCGTGTTCCTAAATGTGGAGGCGGGGGAAAAAAAAACGGAGGATCCGGAGAAAAAGCCACGCAGCCACGTGGAGAACTGCAAACTCCAAATATACGGGCGTTAGGGTTAGAATTGAACCCACGACCTACTGCATACCGGGAAAGGGAGATAACATCTCGCCACCACGGCGCCCTGAATTGCAACAGAACCAGAAATACCTGGAGAAAACCCATGTCTAACCGTGGGCCATAGATACAAAGGTCATCATTAGGAAGCAATAGAAGGAATCTGGCCTTGGTCTTCCACGCTAGCCAGTGGAATAGGTGGAGGGCCCACACTTTGCCCCCACCACACGGGACCTGACGATCAAATAACTGCAAGCGTGCAATTTATACTGCTGGGTGAACGGCGGCGTCGGGGTTTAAGAAACCCGCACCATTATTACAACTGCTGTACCGGGACATAGACTCGGAGCGAGGACCTCTGGATTGCAAGTCCGATGCATTCGTGATTCGCCACAGCAGCGTCCCACGATTCAGATTGCGGAACGAAATTTAGGGTTGATGGTGTTGCTCGTCACTTTTCCAAGGGCTGTGTGCAAGGTGTGAGAATGGGTTTGGCATCCGAGTCGTCGCGCTGCGATTGAGACTTGACCTCGCTTTGCGCTTCGTAACCAACGCCGCCGCCGCTGCTGCCGCCACGCAGGAGCTGTCGCAGGAGCGGCTGAGGGCCGGCCGCGTGAGGGAGGAGCTGGGCGAGCTGCGGGAGGAGATGGAGAACTCCACGACGATGGTCGGCTTCCTGGAGCCCAGTCGCGTCGACGGCCGCCTGGGCAGCTCTCTCCACCACTCGCCAGGCGGCGGCGGCGGCGGCGGCAGCCACCCCACGTGAGTGTTCAGGGCGGCGGCAGCGGTGGTCGCGGCGTGGTTGGCATGGACCCTTTTACCACGGATTAAATACCATCCCCCATTACCCATCGTGCAGTATTCCCCCTGATGCCTTTCGTAGCCTGGCGCCTGCGGCCCCCTCAAGGCTGCGATCTCCCCGGTGCACCGGCTGCCCACTGGTTATCCTACGCAAGCTGTCCAAAGTGGCAAGCTCACCGCAGTGTCCTGGCACAAGCAGCAGCAGCAGCAGCAGCGGCAAAATGATAATGAGTTATTAACGCTTTCCAAGTAAAGTTGGAAAACGATAACGCATGATCCCTGTCCATCTGTTACAAATGCAGGGGCACGTTAGAGCACGCGTAAAGATTATCCAATATGAGCTTATCGTTTTTATAAAGTTGGGTTGCTGTTTATTGAATTTACCCTTTATAGAAAACTGGCCAATTTGAACAGAGGATTTGCCCAAAATTTCGAGACGAAAAAACACGGCTCTAAAAAATGGATTTGACTTGGCATTTCCACTTTACCGGCGAGGCGGACACACCTCTGCCCCCCTCCTCCCCTCCCGCGTCATCTCCAGCACCGTGCCACATCCTCTGTTGGTGTGTCTTGAAACGTATCAATATTGTCGCATCGGATAACCCTTGCGAAGGGTGGTGCCCTTGAGTCCGAACGTTCTCTTTGCTGCGAACAAAATTGTCGAGCAGGCGAAGCGACGTTACTCAAACTGGACCGGCGTGAAATCACGTCCGCAAGATGCCGATTGCGTATGGATGACGACGATTTACCCCATGCGCAGCTCGCACGAGACCTGCAGGAAGGCTCTGGAAGGCAAGGCGGAGCAGATTTCCATCCTAGAGACGCAGCTCGAGGAGTCGATGGTTCTCAACACCCTCCTGCAGGAGGAGCTGCAGAACGTGAGTCCAGCGGCTGGCTCAGGCTCGTGGCGAGACGCAGACGCGTTCCTCCGCGATTGTGCTATCAGTGCCGTTTCCCGAGATCGGTGTTCGTCACTCATTTTCAGCGGGGGTTGGGCCACTTTTGCCGAGAAGACATCAGCGGTGTGAGGGCTGCCACACCGCCTGCAAGGGGAGGTGTTGTCACGTGTTGTGTATTGTCAGGGGCCGCACTAAAAGGCCACCAAGGACCGCCAGTGGCCCGCGGGCCTTGCAATGAAGAACGCGGCCCTGGCCAACGGGATCTGTTGTTTTTTTTGTAAAAAGGAAATCCCCACATTTTTTATCCCGATTTGTAGCATCCGATCGAATAGAAAACGGCCCACGGGGAAGCAGATACCAGAGAGACGCCTCCTGAGTGGTGTCCGGTCCACTCAGCAGGGAGAAGCACTTTCCCACCCACTCTGCTACCGAGAGTAATGTCCATTGGATGAGAGTCAAACCGATATCTGCTTTTTAAGTCTCGGAGCTGGAATTTGGCCCTTCCACAGGTTGTCATTTAGTTAACTACAACCTGTGGAATTTTAGTGCAGTCTTTTTCTGTGTTTTTTTTTCATTTAACTTTATTTTAATCCCTAAATGAATTCCACAGACCCTTGAGACTCGGCTAAAGCTTGTGTTTTCTCTGGGTGCTCCGGTTTCCTCCCGCGTATGTAAGCACACGTGCATTGGCTGAACACATCTTTAATATGCAGAAGACTGCAGAGCTTGGGCAGTTGTTGGGAGCACCGCCGGTTCACCGCCTGGCCGCTGAAGTCCAGCTTGTCTGTGCTTCCTCATGAAGCAATTTGCATGAACGACAACGCTCTATACATATGAAAAACTAAAACGTTAATATTCCACAAGATGTCGTCCACTAGACCAAGACTGAATAGACCAAAATCCTTAACACATTGACACTGTACAAAATTTGAATAATCTTGTTGCGTAAAGTGCCTTACATATCGAAATATCTCAGAGCGCTGTACTTAAAAAGAAAACTACACTCACAAGTGTAGATGAAATTTAATAGAAATACAGTAGGAGCCAACAACACTATTAACGACAATTAACACGTGCTTCAAGCCCCTACGATTGTAAGACATGCGCAGCCTCTTGTGACCTGGCGTGTGCTCGTGGGCGCGTGCGTCTTTGCGCGTCAGGTGATGAGAAATCGCGACGAATCGATCCAGCAGCCGGTGGGCAGTTCTTTCACCACGCCGGAGAGGTCAAGTGGTGACCTCCTGGCCGAGGTCGCGACCCTACGCGAGCGGACGGTCACCCTGGAGGCCGAGAACGCGAAGCTGCAGGTGCCGTTTCCGTCCGACGCGGGTTATAATCGCCGTCGTTAGCGTGGGCCCATGGTCTGCGGTTCCGGGTGGTAACAATCCTTCGCAGTCCTTTTGCTGGACTTATAATCGTCCCTCATCATCATGAGCCATGGGCTATATCCACTGCTGGATGAAGGCCGAACAACGCCATCTCCGTTCGTCACGTCATGCCCCTCTGTGACGCCATCCCGTTGTGCAGCTTGGAGCGTTACGTGATTGCCGCTAATTAAACCCTTCCGAGGATGAACGCATTTTGGAAAGCGTTACAGAATCAATGCGTGCGCATGGTTTTTCTCCTGTGTTGTTAAATTTCCATTACTCCAGGAGGGAGCATGCCAGGAATGATCTCTCGGCGTGGCGGTTGAAACAATGGGGGCAAGTACAGTGCCGGATTAAGCTAGTGCAGGACCTGTAGCATATGTTATAAAGGGGCCCTAAATTAAAAAAAACAACACAAATATTAAAACACACATATTTACTTGCATAGTAAAGTAATTGTATTTTTTTCATTTGCTATACAGCCAGATAATACGACAAATTGCTAACCTTCAACACCCAGTCGTTCATAAAAGTTGAAGACAGTATAGTACTGTAGTAATAGAGCAAGTGCAGAATCACTGAACCGGAATTGATGGCTTGAAAGCGTTTAGCGCGGGGCCCTTGAAAGTGCGGGGCCCGTAGCTACATATGTAGCTACTTTTGCTACTGGGATCATCCGGCATTGTGCAACTAACTAAAGTACCCCCCATCCCACCGCCTCTGTCCACCCAGCAGTATAAATGGGTAACGTCAGAGTTAGTCAATCGGCAGGCTGCATGTGCGATGGCGGAAATTGTGGGCACTCGCCCGCCCCTCTTCCATCGGCGCGTCTGGCCGACGTGCAAGGGTAGAAGGTACAACGCAAGTTACATTGATCTCGCGTTGAAATGCAAACGCACCTCCAGACGCTTCACATGGAACATAAAAAAACAACTTGAGCTCTGTGCGCGTGAAAACAAATGGGTCGTAAGTGTTGGCTCGAACAACGGCAGAGTCTCAAACCGCACGAAGTTCAAAGGGAGAATAGAATTATGGCCTGCGGGAGCAGCAGCTGAGAAGGAGCGACCCCACCCCCACCCCCCTATGGGAATGAAGGTTGATGACTGGGATTTGCGAGAAGGAGGCCTTAATTGCTGCTGCTGCTTGCTGCTGCTGCTCCTGCTGTTGCTTGCTGCTGCTCCTGCTGCTGCTCCTGCTGTTGCTTGCTGCTGCTGCTGCTCCTGCTGCTGCTGCTGCATCAAACGAGCGAGGAGAGGCAGGCAGAGACAAGACCACGGAGGATCCAAAAAAAAACCGCAGCCGCCGCAAATCAGAGACCCTCCAGCTCTTCCGCCACCAGTGAGGTGCGTGCGGGCGATTGCGGGACCCCCGCGCCTTGGCAAATTTTTTCTTCTTTTCTTTTCTCCCAGGAGGAGAGCGGCCCCGCGCTGACGCGCGCGGCCACGCTGACGGCGGCGCTGCAGCGCTCGCGCCAGCGCTCGACGCAGCTGGAGCTGCGCGCCGAGCGCTCCGAGCTGGCGCTGGCAGAGGCGCGGCGCGACGCGGAGGAGGCGCGGCGCGACGCGGAGGAGGCGCGGCGCGACGCGGAGGAGGCGCGGCGCTCGCGCGACGCCGCCGAGGCGGAGGCGCGGGCGCTCGCGGGGCTGGAGGCGCGCGTGGAGGAGGAGTTCCGCGAGGCGCTCGCCGCGCGGCAGCGGCTGCAGGCGGCGTACCTCCGGCTCGAGGAGCACAGCCGCGGGCTGGAGCAGAGGTGGCCGATGACGTCGCACTCCTCGCTCCCCGCCCCTCGCTTCTTCCTTCCCCTCACCTGCCTGCCTGCTTCACTTCCTCCTCTCCCTGCCTACCTGTCTCCCTCACTCCCTCCTCTCCCTGCCTGCCTGCTTCACTCCCTCCTCTCCCTGCCTACCTGCTTCACTCCCTCCTCTCCCTGCCTACCTACCTCCCTCCCTCCATCCTCTCCCTGCCTGCCTGCTTCACTCCCTCCCTCCCTCCCAGTCAGCCTTCCGCCAGCTTCTGTGCTCGACTCCCCCCGCCCCTGTTCCGGCCAAGGGACTCGTCGTCTGTAAGATCAGTATGCAGATCGTCTTGAGACGCAGTTCCATTTGGACGCTACGTAGGTGCCAATGTTGTTGTCGTCCTGCCGCCGCGCTTCCTCGTCGTAGTTTCGCATTGAACCTCCCCCCCCCCCCCCCCCCCGCGTTCGCCTTCGCAGCTTGGCGGAGGTTTCCGCTTGGGACCGCAAGGTAGACGCCCAGACGCCCGATCACCATCGCAGCAAGGGTCGAGACGACGCGTCCTACCTCGATGGCAGCTCGATCCTCAATGACAACAACCTCACCAGGTATTATTGACCCGCCAAGGTCTGGCGGCTCTCTCGCGCTCGCTCTCTCGCTCGCTCTCTCGCTCTCTGTAGCTTCTCTGTCCAGTGGTTGTCTGTTTTTTGTTCTGCAGTACTCGTGGGTACAATGGGGGGACAAAAAAAACTCAACATATTCATCAATAACACTGTGTTCAGCAAAGGCAAAGTTTAGAATTGGCAACGTTTCGGGTAACAGCCCTTCTTCAGAGGACAGCATTAGAGAGGCCGGAGAGATTGGAGTGAATGATAAGAGTTGGTGACTCGGAATCAGATTATTTATTTATGCTGGAGGAATCCGATGCGCTATAAAGCTCTTTTTTTTACAGATGTCTAGTAGGGACGGGTCAGTACGCTACACAACAACAAACAGTACAAAATACACAACAATAAACAGTACAAAATACACAACAACAAACAGTACAAAATACGATAGGAGTGCAAAGTAAAGGGGGGAGATAAATTACTTAAAAATAAATATACAAATAAAACTAAACAAATTTTCATCTTACCAGGTAAAGCCCACTGAGCTATTAGTTTAGTTTCCAGAAGCGACCTGGCCACAAATGATAGCTCCACAAATTGGCTCATAAAGTGGACTTTTATAGCAGCAAAATACTGTAACTTAAATCATCTAAATGCATGTTTAAACATTGGACCTCATGAGAATTACATTTGAAAAATGTTTTTCAATGAACAGTTTTTTTTTAAATGACTAATTAGTAGCTATTGATTAATCAAAAATATGTGACTGCACGAACTCATTTGTGTTGAAAGTAAAAATGATCAAGTGTTGCTGGCACACCGGGGCACAACGAGATGGATGGCTTTGTGGTCTTGCTGCGTGCACGATTGGGGAAGGCCGAGCTGTGTGTCGCTTCCGCCCCATCCCCACGCCCACGCCCGGTCCTCTTCGCTCGAGAACCTCGTGGGTCGAGGAGTAGGCCGGGGGTGGCCCGCAAGGCCTCGCGGGCAGTGGTTAAATCCACTGCTTTGATGAATGGCCTCACCAAGCCGCCGGTACCGCTCCCGAACCTGCGATGCAATAATTCGTTTAGCGCCTGCAGGCTGACCGATTTGAATTTGTTCCATCTCCTTGGTGGACTTATCTCTCCGCCACGTTCCATCCCTTAGCTGCCACTCCGTCACTGTTCTTGACCAGGAGGTCCATGATTCCTTCAAGCGACGAGTTCTGCCCAAGCCCCACTTAACTTTTCCCAGCAGTTTGAATTATGTTCGTAGCCCGTTTCTTCTCGAGCACGGTTGGCTACGTGCGGTTGCGAAAGAAGTTCAACATACATACACGTCTCTCAGTGTTATTCCGTAAATGCATCTCTCCGTGCTGCTTTGAGCACTTTTCAGTCGTTCTAAAATCCATCGGTAACGACCGTCTGCCTCTGGACCGTATGACGTGGCAGGTCGACCGCGCTTGATTGAAACTTTTCAAAAAAATGTTCCTGCAGTGTGGACGGGCGTTTGGGCTGCGAGACGGCCGTCATGGACCAGTACACGTTCGTTGAGTCGGGCAGGAGGTGAGGATGATGGGCCAGATTTGGGGGGGGGTGGGTGGGTGGAGGGTGGGGATGATGTTATCCTGCGGGGTGGACAACCGAGGTTGGATGCACCAGAATATCGACGACCTCCGGATTGCAAGTCCAGCGCGCTGACCATTACACCACACGCAACGTCTCCTTGTTCAAACGAGGAACATGTTGACCTGGGGGTGGCACGGTGGAGCGGTGAAGCTATTTGCCTCGAGGTGCCTGTCTGTCGTCGTCATCGTCGTCTGCAGTATCGATGTTTTTGTTGCTACTGCTGTCGCTCGCGCACGGCGGGCAACTGGCAAGACGGGATCGCCTGTGTGACAAATCAATTAAATCTTGATTTAATTGATTGACTTCCCACTTCTAGCCCCGCCCACCTCCCCCCCCCCCCCAGCCTCACTTCTTCTCCCCTAGCGCTCACGCAGCCCCCCTTCTCCTGCCCCACACCCCCCCCTCCCCTCTCTCTCCCCCCTTGCCCCTCCGCCCTTCCTCACCTATATAACCTCTTGCCACGGCAGCTCTCTCGCCGACTTCGGCAATTTTCTTGCTGTGGTTGTTCCACCTGATGAAGATCGCTTGTGTTGCGATCGAAACTTCGTGATTTGTTTTATTTTATTTCTACCTACGTGACTTTAGCGAAAGAACCAGAGGGTATAAATCAATTAAACTTTCAAACGTTGTCTCGTGATGAATTATCACATTGACAGAGTCTCTCTCTGTCATTCACCAAGAGGAGGTGTCAGGTTACAACTTGAACCAAATTCTAAAATTACATCGCAAATTACTCAACTGGTATTACATGAAGACAGAAAGCATCGCCCCCTACTGGCAGACTAATGCCCCACGTCACTGTTGCAAAACGTGGCTTCTCCCGGTTGTTTCTCTGTGTGCCTATGTGTGTGTCTCTCTCTGGGTTATCTCTCTCTGTGTGTCTATGTTGTGTGTCTCTCTCTCTGTGTCTCTGTGTTGTCTCTCTCTGTGTTTGTCTGTGTTATCTCTCTCTGCTTATGTGTCTGTCTGTGTGTGTCCGTGTCTTTGTTTTGTCTCTCTCTCAAATTTAGCAATCTTTGGAAGAACTCTCTGTGTTGTATTGCATTATATTTCTAAGTTTCCTAGGTTTGTTTTCTCTTTCATTTGTACCTGATGATGACTGCTTGTGTCGCAATGGAAACGTCGCATGCTATTCTTTAATTTATTTTCTTTCCGCGTGACTTCACCGAAAGAACCAAAGAGTAATTCCTGCAGTCACGAAATCTCCAAATCAAGTTTTCTCCCGGTCTGTCGAGTTCTCGGCCGGTTACAACCAAACTGAACGTGCAAAACAAACTCTCGTCCTCAGGAAAGGGGTTGGAGCCGGCGGGTGGCTCACGAGCACGGTCAAAAAACTCATCAAACCCAAGAGGGAGGCGGAGAGGGAGAGAGAGAAGGAGAGGTCGGGCGACCACGGTGCAGAGGGGACCACCACCAGGGACGCGGACGGAATGCGACATGGAACCGCGTCGAACTCCTCCAGCCCAGGTTCCGGTGTCATGGGTTCGTAAACAATTTGTATCATACTTAATTACATATAAAAGCTCTGTCTGTCTTTGTAACGGGACGGTGTGTTGCTGTTTGTGCGACTAACCCTGGAGAAAGCCGGTGAAATTAGTCGTAATTTCAACTTGTAATGCGCCACACACAAACATTGCCCGCTCTCGAAGAGAGCGAGAGAATGACTCGGAGGCCCGAGGAACCACGGGCAGGCAGGAAGGCAGCCGGCCAGGCCGTGAGCCGCCGCTGCCGCCACCAATAATTGCCCAAGCTCTGCAGTCCTCTGTATGTTAAGATGTTATCGGTCAATTCGTGAGCGTTTACTTGTGGGAGGAAACGGACCACTCGGGGAAAAAAAACTCCATGCCAGTGAGGAGGGCAATACGACACCATACAGATGGGACAGATGGAGCCCACATTTGCTGTGGTGCCGCCTTCTGGCCAGCCAGGGTGTGGCTCCTCTTCGACGCCCAGGGGAAGGGGGAGCTTGTGTGTTGTGTGACCGCGCATTCACCCTGTTTTTGATGTTTTGCAGTAACGAAGGCCAATAATTCTGGCAGCATTCAGAAACAGGAGAACAGGAGCTACATCGGAGGATCGTTCACTCGCAAAGGTAAGGCACTTGTGTATGTGTGGCGTAGCAACGCCAACTGGCGACCACAAGTGGCAACTGTGGATTACAAACAGTCTGCACATAAGGGGCAGACAGTATACAGGGGAGCGTCAGCAGAGGGGAGGAACTGGGTCAAGGGTCATTGAGGGGAACCATCTGGGAGCCCCGAGAACCCGCCAGAGAGTTCCAGAAAGGGGGGCGTGGCCAGGGCGGAGCCGGGCCACGCAGGAAGGATAAAAGGTGGTGAGAATCTGGGCTCGGGGCTGTCCATGGGAATCGGAGTCGTCTCGCCGTGGAAATCGTCCTTGCTTGCCATCCTTGTCATCGCCCGACGTCGCCATCGAGCTTGACGGGTCAGCGTTACGTTACGTGCTCAGTGAGTCGACTAGTGCGAGTACGAGTAAAACAAATAAAGGTGCCTCTATAGTTATTGTCTCCGGAGTCCTGTGTGTGTGTTGAACTTCTTTCGCACCGTACGTAGCCAACCGCGCTAATTGGAGCTGCGGGAGAGCTCGGCAAGCATTGTAAGCCAGGGTTGAGTTGGGATGGTGCTTGGATGGGCTGCTAGATTATGTGTTGGGGAGCAGAGGGGCAGTGTAGCCAAATAGATTGTTGTACCGTCAGGGGCGGAGCCAGGATTTCAGGCCGGGGTGACATTCAACAAATTTTTATTTCAAGAATGATTTAGAGAGTCAGGCTGTTGAACTAGATGCCATCGGTTGGCGGACACGCTCTGACAATACAGTTGCACGGAGTCCGCCAGACCGAGTGTCGTACACTTATACGCAGAATGTCACCCCTGTCACCCCCCACCCCCTGGCTCCGCACCTGTGTGCCGTACTTCTGTGATACCTCGACTTTTCTGCTCCCGCCGTGGGCAAGTATGGTTATACAACCTCCATGACCCACAGTATCGATGCACCCTCATCCACTAATTGCTGGACAAAAAAAAGCTGCATATGCGCATTGGTGAAGACGGGGATCGTAGAAGTATAGTACAACAACGGATGTTTCTGCACTGACCTCCGCTGCCCATCCACGTATGCTCGCATCACTGCACTCCCTCCTACCCCTTATACATATTATATTACGTACAGACATGTATGTTAATGTGTCATTCTTCGTGGAATGCGTTGTGGAAACGTCGCCAACTCTTCGCGACAATACAGACGACGCGCAGGCGAGCGGCAAGTGGAGCGTGAGCGGGGACGAGCGGGGGGCTCCGAGGAAGGGGGGGGGTGGTGGTGGTCCGCCGCCCCCCCCCAACCCCACCGCCGATGCGGAGCGTCCCGCAGACCGCAGCTCGGATCAGGGTCACCCCGTGAAGCGGAGCGCCTCCCTCTACATCCCCCGGGTGAGGCGGAGGAGGAGGTGGTGGAGGAGGAGGAGGGGGGAGGAGCTCCTCCTCCTTGGGCAGCTCCACGGTCCCGTCGTGTGGGTGTCCCCACGGGCCTCTCGCGCGTTGACTCTCGGAACGACGATCCAACGTGAACGACACCCGAGTGTAAAGTTGTCTTGCTCTGTTGCGGCAAATCGCCTGATGATGCTGGCCGTAATCACCAGCGAAGCGTCACGGCACGCTGTGGGTTTACTCTCCAACACACCGGGGTGTGCTGAAGTAGTCACTAATTGGCACGTTTTGTTTACGTGACAAACCTTACTTAAATGGCTGTCATATTTGTTTGCGAAAGCCTACGTGTTCAACTATTATGGACTGTTCATGGATTTACCCTCTTGCCCAAAGCTTGGAGGCAAAAAAAAACGGTGCTATAGGGACCTGCCTCGGCATACAGGCCCTACCGCTAACCGATCCCCCGTTGTCTCATCGCGCCCTATTGACGATCACTCCCATAATTGGTGATCCAATGTGAGCGACTATTTAGTGTGGAGTTGTGTTGCCGTCGGGGCTTATACGCTTGAGAAAACAGGCCAAGGGGTTGTCCACTGCAAAACACAAGCGGCCTAATTCCACCCTCTCCATCTTTGTTTTGTCCAAACTATCGCCGTCTAGCAAAGATTCGCGTCGCGTGGACAACCGCTGACCGGCAGTTTCCGCCAACCCACCCAGCACAGGAGCGGCACCGCGACAACATCAACGCCAACGGACGACCAACTTCACCATCCAGCCCATCCCTCCGACGTCCCCGACACAGAAGTTGCCGGCGGCTCTCCCAGCAACCACGGCTCGCTGCTGAGGCCCGACGACTCCGCGGCCAGCGCCCACCGTAACGTTTTGCCGCACGCCGGCACCACCAGCAGCCTGGGCCGGCCCCCGTCGGGCCCGCGTGGAAAGCCTCAGCCGAGGACTGCAGCAGCCGCGGTAGCGTCGGCGGCGGGAGCGAGCGCGCGCTGGTCCGTGTCGGGCGACGGTAGCGGCTGGAACAGGGCGACGCAGACGCTGGACCGTCCCCGTAGCCCCAACGCGGCTCACAGGCACCGCCTGTCACTGTCTCTGGCGGCGGTGCCCCCGCCGCCGCCGCCGCAGCAGCAGTCCAGGACCGGCTCCAACTCGTCGGCCTTCTTCTACGCTCCGCCGGCCGTGGCGGCGCCGGAGGCGAAGCCTTCGGAGGCGCCGGACAGCGACCGCGGGAAGACGCGCGCGGACTCGCCGACGCCCCCCCCCAGAGGCGGCGGTAAATGCGACAAAAGGCAAGAAGGGAACCTGAGCGCAGAGGCGGCGGGGAACGGCGACGTTTCCCGCGCGGACGACAAAGCCGATTCGCCGCTGTCATCGTCGGCCGAACAGACGGTGTGGTACGAGTACGGGTGCGCGTGACGGACGCCGCGGCGAAGTTCGACGCGGACGCGCCCGCTCAGGAAACATCCCCCCTTCCCCGAGGCGTCTGGAAGCGATGCCGGCGATGCGGTGTGTGGCCCGCCGGAGAGGCGTGCGACGCACGCTCGTGACCCCCATGCCGCGAGGGTGGAGTGAATGTGTCGGCGCCGCCTTCGGAGACCTGTGTTGATGCAGCCGACGGAGGCAATATTCGCGAAGACGAGTGGCGCTCGCAACGCAACGTGCAACTGTGCAACTTCCATGTGGCCATCGCCTGGCCGAGGAAAGATTGTGGTATGAGCGTGGGTGTGCGCGATTTTTACCGTATTCTCCATATTATAAGACTGTCCGGAAAGTAAGATGCACCCCAAAACTTGTGCCTTGTTGTCAATCAAGTTTTACAAATCTTATCTTTATATATATAATCCGGAGAATGCGGTGACGTGAATGTGACTTTAGAAAGCTTGCGTTGATTTAATTTGTCAGAAGCAATAATCGTGAAGATTCTTACTGACGATGCAATGTGCAGCTTTAGCGGAAGTTTGTAATTACATATCGCGGGTCTACTGTTTTGTAGCCACAATATTAGACGTTATTTTGTATGTTTTTAGTTTATGCAAAACAAAAATCTAAAACTCTTCCGAGTTTTGAAATGCAAATGTGATTTTACCGAATGTGGCCTTGGTAAGCGTGTTTGAGGTATCTAATTCTATAGATTATTTTCTGATGCTGCTGCTGTTTAATGCCTATAGATTTTACGTTGGAGAAATAATAAGCGAGGCGAGGTGACTCGAATTTGCAGTGGATTTATGTATTTTTTTTATTTAAAATGTAAAAAAATGATTGAAGAACTTCCAATTTCAATTAACCTCTTGCGGACGGTTCTAGAAGGTTGACAATTGAAGGTGATGGGTCCGAAACAGCTCTGAAGTCATTTTTAGTAAATAGCCTTTCTTTTGCGTGGTATTTTGCAGTTGTGTTTTTTTGGGTTGTGCCTGAAGAAGCTCCCAGGAAGTGGAAGTGATACGTCGGACTTCGTGCCAAGCAACACGCGGTACAACACGAAAACACACCCGGGAGATCCTTTCCTTTTCATAAAAAAGAGATAGAAATAAGATGGTTTAAAACGAGGCAAAAGAAATGTTTTCTTAAGTCAAATTATGAGCACAACAATGAAAATGTAGTTGAGTTGCTGGGACAATGCATTGTTATGTGGTAACTACTTTAGTTCTATTTTGATTTAAATCTTTCGTGACTGCAGTAATTCATATTCTTAGTTCTTTCGGTAAAGTCACGTTGAAGGGAAACAACAAAATAATAAAATATATATAAAACAATAAAAATTCTCACTATATTTTATTATTTTGTTGTTTCCCTTCAACGTGACTTTACCGAAAGAACTAAGATTATACTTTAGTTCTGCTCAGCACGACTGGTGCAAGATGTGTAAAATGTGATTTTGCATTGGAGCGTCTGGAACAACACACGGCGATGATGAACCACGACCTGGATATCAGATTACCGCTGGCTCGCTGAAGTTTTTAAGAATTGTGTTTCTCTGATAAAACATCAAGACGCCGCTGATTTTGGTAGAGCTGGGCTGTGTGATCATCGAAGTAATCCCATTGCTTCAAAAATGTAATCCTCTTGCCGGTTTGATTACTCGACTCGAATCGGTCAACGCGAAAATGATCGCAAAGAATTGAGCCCCTCCCCCCACTCTGTTCCCACGTGTGCCGCTGGATCGGAAGCAATGGGCGGGGCTTGGCGACATCATCGGCCTCGTCACGCTGGGCGTGGCTTGTAAGGGGTTACCTGCCTTCAAGGAGGCAGGATGTAGGACCGGGCACTGTTTTGAACGGGGCCATAATAATTCACCACGAAAGATTATCACAATTTGTTTTGTATATCGTGCAACTTAATCGACTAATCTTCTTTGCTCTACCGATTTTGTCACCATTCTTGAGGGCATGTGATGATAACATGCACACTTTCTCAAGTTAATACCTTCCTAAAAATGTTTTATTTTTTTAATCATGTCAAAAGTTTTCATTGCCATTTTCTCATCTAACAAGGGCTACCTTTTATTGAGCTGGAATCAATTTAATTGAATTCTGGTCAACTGTATTAAGTTGACCGGAATTCAGTGCACATGTGAAGTAGTTAAACTGTTTGGCAAACAATGTGCCGTGCAGAAACCTGAGCACATTTGTGTGCTTGCCCGTTTATTGCCACCGGCCTTGAATAAGTTAATATTTACTCGGTTCAAAGTCATGGCAGTAAAACTTGGGACTTTTTCTGGATCGATATCAAAGGTGAAAACTCTTCCATGAGATTTTATGACAAAACGACCATTTAACATTTTGCTAAGTTGATTCGATCTCTGCCGTTACTGGTGTGGCATGAGACGATTTAAAAAGAAGTATATATTTGTTCGAAACCCGCGCACAGCAGCGCCATCAGTCCGTGTGAGAGAGTGGCCCGCTGAAGGTGATATGGCAGAACTACATTTGAGATTTCTTGAAGTGACCTTAGCCACGCTAGGGTTGCAGCACTTTCTACATACCCTGTTGTAGATGTTTGTCACATGGCGGTAAAATCCAACGTTTTTTGTCAGAGCTGCCATAAGACAAATTAAGTGAAAACACAAATGTAATTGTGTGTTCTTTTGCTAACACCGTGAAGCCTGCTCTGCACCTTGAGAATCAAATTCAATCACGGCTGCCTGTCTGACCTCTCGGTCACCGCAAAAGAATCCCAGACTTTGCATCATTTTGCCCCCCCCACTGTTTTTCTTTGACACATCCACAAAAAAGTGCAATGAATACCACGAGAAGCAATATTTTCCAAAAATGTCCTTTGCAGCAATTAAAGGGAAAATTAAATGCTGCCACTTTTCACTTTCTAATGTTGGTGGCTCGGCTGAGCTACTGCGGGTGGCTTCCGGTCCGTTTGAGGTGCGAGATGTCAGACCTCGCTCAACGGCAGCCCATTCTGAAAACGCCGACTCAAGATTGTACGACATCATGCCGAGTGAAAATAGTTTTCATACGATCATAACTTTGACCTAAGTTTTAACTTTGCAATATCAGATTTTTTTTCCACATATACTTTATCGGCGTGTATATTCATTCGTTGGCAGTAATGTTACTCTCGTAAAACTTATGTCAACGCTAATAACACTACTATCTCCTCCAGTCATCCCCAATCTCTCTGCACCCGCGGTCAAGTTACTTGTCGAACCTCAAAACATTCTCGCGGACGATCGTGCGCCAATAACATTTTAATGACACATTCTTCGCAATTAAAACTACTCTAAATCGTGATACTGTATCCTGGAAGAGATCCGCGGGACCACTTGCTTGCCGCCTTGTGGAACTCACCGGTGGAGCGCGGTCCCACCGGGGTTGGGAACCAGCTCTCTCGTCAATGTGCGCACGTCTGCACGTGGCACAATGCCCTCTCCTTTCGAAGTTGCGCGGGTTGTGGGCAGGTCATCTTCTCGAGGAGTGCTGATCATCGTCTTCCCGTGCGGTGAAATGGAGCTGCACTGTGAAATTCAGTTGAAGACGTTGGCGTATTTGCCAAATTGGGATGCCGTACGGTCAATTCGGTTTTTGCTCCTGTTATTTAAACTTCCCCATGCCTCTTTAAGACTCGTGTGTTGTGTATCCTTTCGGTGGTCCAATTGAGATTAATCGTACCATACGTGTAACGTGCAAAGAGTTTTTTTTCATTTGCAAAAGTAGTGGTTTTATTGATGTTTTTTTTTTAATATACTGTAACACGATACGTTTCAAATGAGTGTTTGAGTTTTCTATTGTGTCCTTGGTGAATACGATTCATTATCTTTTCATATCACAGTTGAAGGGATGTTAAGATACATTTTATTTTTAATCGTTTCCGAGTTTTCACAGTGGGTATTTAACACTAAGAGGAAAACTTTGTACTCGAAACAATTTTTTTATTATCATAAATTGGCTGTGCGTAAATCAGACATTTATAATGCTGATCTAGACGTTACTTTCCCGACAATTTCCAAGGAAGTTTTACGTTGGTTAAAATTGCACAGGTATTCATTGAATGCATATCATCCAAATGCTAAGATATGTTTTGCCGATAAGATTACTTTATAATCGAAGAAGAGTGTGGGATATTTCTTTTGAAGACGATCAGGTTTTCACGGGGTGCGAATTCATTGCATTTCAGAAGAAACCGTTGGATGTTGTGGACAATTTATTTCGCGTACAATTCTACAGAAAAAAACTACTGTCAGCAATTTTCAGACGGAAGAGAGGAGCAATAGGATGATGGGCTGAAATGGATTCATTAACATCACGGAATGGAGTGGTCACAAGGACACCTCTTGTGTATCCTGCAGAAGAGTGGATGACGAATCGTTGGATTCATTATCGAAAAACCTATTTCGAAAAGAGGCGCAAGACCAATTAAAAATAATATTGCAGCATTTGCTCGGTCACATAATAATTCGATGTTGGGCTAGTTGGATATGAAAATGTAGAAATAGGTTGGCGGCAGGGAATCCAACTATTCATCGTCCACTCATCTTTTCGACCATCACGCGAACTCCGGTCATCCTTGCAGCGGATTTTGGTCGGCCAGTGAATAAAGACGGTGGTCACCGCATCGCGTGGCGCTTTCAGAATGCGCTTCCGCGGCTGTCTGAAACGAGTCTTCCTTCGCATATTAGGAAGCCACTGGAGCGATACACTTTTAAATAATCTCGATTGAAAACTCAATTCTTTCGAGCTGCATTTTTGTGTCTAGTTTATTGTCCTTCGCCCGCGATTAGCACGGTTGGCTACGTACGAAAGACGTTCAACGTACATGCATTCATACGTACACTAATGAGTATTTTGTTTAGTGTATTGTAGAATTGTACACGTGCTTAAAAATGTACGCATGGTACCCTGTGAAACCAGGGTCATGATGCGTGGTAAAATCACCCCCATGAACCACAAGGTGTGGGGGAGGCCTTCATCCAGCTGTGGATTGACAAAAGGGCTGTGCTTGCACATCCTGTGAGTTTTGCCAGGGAGCGAAAGTGTTTTTGTTCTTCCTGTATAGTTCTACAGAAAAGCATAAAGATAGGATTTTGCGTGAACTTCCTCGCCCAAAGAGACTCCCACATAACACTGTACATGAGCGGAACTTCGTTGTCTCCACATATAAATAAAAATACTCTTATGCTATTGGCCGATTTGCTTTCCAGACCAACATTATAAAGCTGCATTTGTTTAACAATTATGACAGCTGAGTTAGCTTGCTTAAGCAGACGATGCTCGATGGATATTGGCTGCTAAGCAGATGGACTAAAACGCATTTTCATCTATGCGGAGACGTAGAATGGAATGTTTATATTATTCCTACGCCAATAATGTTCAACAGGAACGCATGAGATAGTGTACATCATAACAATGGGTCACATTCATCTGTTGCCAGTCAACAGGCCAGCCTTTTAACCATGATGCATCTCTCTTACCAATTTATATAGTTCTTTTTGTCTATGACTAAATCACCCATAATGCTCCTGATCCCATCAAATTTTGGAAGCTAAGCAGGGTTTGTGGACATTGCTTGGATGGGTAAACATTGACTGGACGCTTTTATAGTCGGCCTCGTAACGGGTGAGATGAGAGGTAGGAGAGTGCATGAAGGGGGAGTGAGATGAGAGATATAGGATGCGCAGAGTGGTGCAGATTAAATTGACTGCGTGGAGAATCGTTATGAGTGGTGCGAGAGTGCATGATGGAAAATAGAAGCGATCAGAGATGGGAGGGTGTGTGGAGTTGAGTGAGATGGGAGGTAGAAGAATGCATGAAGGGGAGTAGAATGAGATGACAGGAGAGTGCGTGGAGGCGAGAAGAGAGGGAGGTAAGGGAGTCCAGGGAAGATGGCGAGTGTGATTTTTAAGTTGATTCGGTATTTGTATTTGGAGTCAAGTTAAATTCACATCAAAACGGCATGCAATTGTCATTTGATATTTATTTTACGGAGCAATACATTTACAAAATATTACACTTAACAATTAATTTTCTTAAGTTCATACGCAATTACATGTTTTTATTATAAGAGATATTCTGTGCATTGTTATGTGACAGGATTGCACTAATTAAGGTGCTTGTTTCTTGGGTTGTTATGGTGACACTGTGAATGTGAACCACGTGGTGTGGTTGTATTCCTCTCCTGGTCTCAGCAGGGCATTTGGAAAGTTGGGCTGTCGAGACAACAAAACGAAACGCACACACAACCAATTAGATCCTAGCAACATCTCACAACAACATTGGCATTTCCCCTCCCAGACGATTCCATGAATTGTAACTACTTTTGGCGATGCATGGTAAAATACTATAGACTCGTTTTTAAAGATTCCGGAGAACGTTAAACCCTTGATTCTTACGTGCACGCTCAGTCCCAAATTGCATTCCGCGAGCTCAATCCAAGTGCGTCAGTGTACCCTTAAGGTGTTTGTGAAGGTTCAGCCCTGCACCTTGCTTGCTTCCACCACCGCTGATGGAAGGACCTCCACTAGAGGGAGCTCTGGAGGGCCTGCCTCGAGGACATGTTGGCCTACTTTTCCCCACTGCCCAGTCATGTTGGAAGAGGGAATACCAAAAGCCTTACACCACCAAAAGCGACCTGCCAATTGTTTGTTGCCCTATTATTTATGGCTAGGCCACCTCTGAAAGAGAGCTACGTAGCTCCGTGGGCTTCACCTGGTAAGATAAATAAAGTTTCGTATTATTTGCATTTTTTTTATTTATCTTCTTACCTTTTCTATACCTTCCACTCCTATCGTGTGTTTGTTGTTGTAACCTTCTGAGCCGACCCCCCTACTGGACATGTGAAAAAAAAGAGCTTTACAGCTCATCGGATTCCCCCAGTCTAAATAATGATTCTGAAATACGGAGACCAAAAGGGAAGGGAACCCTTCTCCCGGCCGAGCACCCAGCTCACCTTATTGACTGCGTCGGGCCAGTTCTGTGTCTCGAGGCAGAAGGCCGAGTGGCGGGGGTAGGTACAACCATCCTTCCCTTGGAGGGAGCCGTCCAGGAAGTTCGCCGTGTAAAACTGCACACCGGGCTGCGTGGTCTCCACCGTCATCACGCACCCCCTGCCTGCATGGCAAGCCCTGGGAAAACACCCCATGTCACAGTGTGAACGGACCACGAGCGTGACAGCGACACCAAATGCACGCACGTTTTTTTTGCGTTTAATTTGTTGCCCTCCACACCCCGCACCTCTGATTACCACGGTTGGCTATGTACGGTGAGAAAGAAGCTCACCCCCTCACCCCCTTCCGTGTACTCAGTCACGTTTCCGTTCCGTTTCCCTCCTCGCTCCCCCCTCCATTGGAATAAACTCCCAATCCACATCAAACATGCAACTTCACTGACCATTTTTCATTCCTCCCTTTAGAATCTTTTTTCAATCGTGTATCCCTATACTACAACCTGTCCTCGTCCTTAACCTTTCCCATCCTTCCTAACCTCGTCCCCCTCCCCTGCTATCACCCTTCCTTGCCATCCCTTCCCCTCCCCCAACACTCAAATCCCATCCCTTTTCCCCATCGGCCAATCCTAGTGTACCATTTTTAATTATTGTAAAGCGCTTTGACATGGATGGGTAACATCATCGCAAGGGCCCTACCTATTTAACGTCGGGCTAATTCGCCGAACTTTGGCCAACATTTTGATAAATTTCCTCCAAATGAAGACGTCATTCACCTGGCGCATGTTTGTCGCTCCCCGCTCTGGCTCAAGCAGAAGTTGTGGTCAAAGCCATCACCGGGAAGCTGTGGCAGCCGATCCCGCAGAATCACGGGGGAGCGAAGGTCAAAGGGTGTGTCCTTCACCGCCGCCACCTCGCCTTCCAGAGGAAACAAACAAGTTAAGGAAATATGCAAACGCTTGGAGTAACGGTTGCTTTTATTATCGTCTGCTCGTCTTGGCGAGCCAGGCGACATTCGGCAAGGTCCGTCGCTTACCACATCAAAATAGCTTGCGATGCATGTTCCAGACCGCAAATGAGTACCGGGCCATTCTCATGCATTTAGGGTATAATTCCCATCTTGAATGCTCATTTTGTATAAAAACTAATTGTAAAGCAATAACGGTGGCTACATCGGTGGCAATGGGGACACTGGCCACTAAAAAAAAAAAAAGATCGGAAGGAAAATTAACATTCGCCGAGAAAAAAAAATCATAACTTTACACTAGCGGCGCACTTCGGTTTATCTGTGTGCTTACCAGTGGGGATGACGGTGTCGTCCACAGGTAAATATTCTTCAGCCATGATCGTGACCTCGTGGTCGTATATATCAGGCGAGCCCTGCAAAAACCATAGGTCAATAAAACGTGTTAAACCATATGGTACTAAGAAATGTTTTTGCACATTTGTCCTTTCTTTAGATCACATTGCACAAATGTTGCACGTTCTTTCATTTGTTAACATACCCTCTCTGCTACACGGGGAATTGTTCATCATCCGGCCATCAAATGTATATTAATAAGAGTTAGAATTTTTAAAAATATAGACAAGAGCTTGCATTACATTAAAAACCAGAGAGAATGTGATGGTTTATTTTTGTAATTTGCTGGTAACCAGACTGGGAAAATAAAAATATTAAAATCCATTTTAATCATGGGTAGCAACCCAGCACTGTACCTAACATCTCCATAGTGCTGGGTCAATACTCTGACCCCTAAGCCGATTAGCATGGTTGGCTACGTACGGCGCGAAAGAATACATACAAAAAGACCAGAAGTGCGATTTTCACTTCATGCAGCTGCGCATATTTAACGTTAATACTAAAATACGCACCCCTACAATTGTCTTGCTCACACCACTGCTGGCGGAAGGGCCACCACTACAGGGAGCTCCAGAGAGCTGCTCTAGAGGTTACTTTGGCCTACTCTTCCACACTGGCCAGACACCTTGTAACAAGGTGAGCAAACCCACACTTAACCAACCACATACATTGTGGGTCACCCATTTATATTTCTGGGTGGATAGAGGCAGGGAGATATAAGGCATTCCCAACTTTCAACTGCCGCCAATGTATATATATAGACTATGCATTTGGGCCAAACTGTACAGTGCCGTTTATGTGTGTGTCAGCGCCACGCCATTTGCGTCAGTGAGGTCACCTGCCCAGCCAGATTGAAGTAGGCATGGTTGGTGAGGTTGACGGGCGTCGTACGCGTGGTCGTGGCTCGGTAGTTGATGGACAGCTTGTTGTCCACCAAGCGGTACGTGACGGTGGCGCTCAGAGCGCCGGGGTATCCCTCGTCCCCGTCGGGGCTCGTGTGTGTGAGACGCACGCCGTCCTCCAGCTGCTCTGCCAACCACACGGCCTGTGGACGCAGCGCACCGGCAGCTGAGGGGGATGATGCGAGGCTCCGCAGTCTGGTTTTGAGGGTCTTCCGTTGTTTGACACAAACTCTCGGATAAAAATACCAACGTTTAACGCGTAGGCTCTCACGACCAATAGCGACCATAACAGGTTTTTTTCGGTTAGATCGCGAAAAAATGTGTCGTTAAAACCCGCCACCACCCGACACAGTCAACTAGTCAGGGTTGTCATATAAACAGAACATGCCAGATTGTAAATGTTGTGGCTTGGTTCTCCAACACACCGGTGTGCTGTACTAGTGACGAATTGGCATGTTCTGTTTACGTGACAACCCTTACTAGTTGGCTGTGTCGGGTGGTGGCAGGTTTTAACGACATTTATATATTTACGAGATTTAACCCAAAAAAACTATTATGGAAAAATACCAATATTGGCCACACTGTCAGCAGTACAGGAATATCGATTTTGTTGTACTAAGCTGCAACATCTACACCCACCTCCTTTATTAGTCCACACGGACAAGCGCAATGTGCCTTGGTCAAATAAACCCCCACGATCTGCACAGCATGGGGAGGCCCGCGTCCAGCGACTTCGCGTTTCTGTGTTTGTCATGGGAGTTGTTTGATCATGGTTCAACCCCAACGGTTAATGCGGCTTTGTGAAAAATAAGGGTTGGCCCGGGACCAGTTCAGGTATCACTCAAAACTGATGTTAGATAAGGCAAGGAATTAAACCGAGGTCACTGGCTATATACAGCAAGAGTGCTAACCACTGCAACACAACTTCCTTCAATAAAATCGCCACACTTGTTTCGTCACGGCTGGCTGAAACTCAAGAGTCCAACTCCACATCTCAGCAATGCCAGCTCAGTTGTTAATTCAACCACCTCTTTAACACTTAGCATTACTTAAACCTCTATTAAATCAGCTGGCAGCTGTCCAATCATTTAAGTAGACTAGAGTATGAAGGTGGCTCGAATTCACGACTGGTTTACACCAGGCAAATCCCAGTTCTGGTGGCCCAGGCAAACCCTGGTTACTACGACATTAAATGTATAACACATACTTTTGAAATGTTGATATTCAGCATTTGGTATTTTGTGCGTATGACATTTTTGTTAAAATAACGTGTAAAAATAATTTGCATACGGGGGGAGAGGAAGCAATCACTGTGCAGGTTTTTGGGGCGGCGCTCCTCTCGCTCTCCGTTGTGTTTTCGGGTTTAGTAACGCGTGTTTCTTACGCACGACGACCGGCGTGTTTCTCAATCCACGAGCTGGGGAGCTTCTTCCGGCACAGTTCTTCAACTTCCAAAGAAGAGGCTTCCCAACACGCGGAGGGACACGTCAAGACGTGCCGGACACAACACGGCGGCAACCAACCCGGAAAACACGTCGGAGAGCTAGACCCCGAAAGGAACTATCTGCCGACGACGGCATATCCCCTTCGCTTGCCTTGTCAAAGCCGACGATGCCACCGTGAAGGCTGTTGGGACCATTGTTGATGGCCAGGGTGTAATCCTTCCCGTCCACTGCAAACCGACCACCCGCAATCCTATTTGCGACCCGACCCACCACGGCGCCAAAGTAGGGGTGCTTCTCCAGGTATCCTGCAACATTCGGGTACATGTATGTATGCATGCTGAACATCTTTCACACCATACTCAGCCAACCGTGCTAATCGTACATCCAATTCAGCCTGTAGCGTGACCTCGCTTGTCATTGAAGTCAGTGTCCTTCATTGCAAGGTCCGCGGGCTACTGGCGGTGCCAGGTGGCTTTTAGAACGGCCCCCCCGACAATACAAAAATGTGAAAGCACCCCCCCCCCCCATCATCATCATCATCATCGTGTTGCCGTCAAATCCCAACAATGTTCCTAATGTGTTTTTGCCCTCACACACTGATGATGTCTTATCGGCGAAAGTGCCCCCCCAACCCCCCTCTAAAAATTAGTGAATAACACCGATTTAAGTATTTTGCCTGGAAAATCCCTCGGGATGGACCATCGCATTCGCAGCGATGCTGTTGGAGGTGTCAATTTAGAAACGTAGTGGAGTATTTGGCCGCTATAAATTTCCACACGATGATAAGCCACTTAGTTGAGCTATCATTTGTGATAGCCAGGTCGCTTCTGAAATAAGAGCTATATAGCTGATATCTCAGTGGCGGGCCTTACCTGGTAAATAAATAGAGTTTATACATACGTAGCAGACACGTAACGACACGTACATGTAAAACTTACAATCTATGCTGATGCATTTATAATATATATTTGAACAGTGTCAATAAAACAAAGGGAGCTCAAGGTGCAAGTATACAAGACACAGTATAAGTTGTATCCATATTCTTAAAGATAAAAGCGATACAGTAGCATGTACGATAGAGACGACAGCATACCCACATCGTCATTCAATCTTTTTAGCATTCAATATTTTTTTTGTTTAAAGTTCGTTTATGACATGTCCTCCACAAAAGCCAGCCAAACCCGAGCGTTTGACCACTTATTTCGGCAGGGGTGACCACACGCGTCGCATCTCCTTTGAGTTTGGTGGTTTAAGCAAGGCTAAGATCGTAAGACGTGCCAATTCGAGTGCTGTGAAGAGGAAGGCCCATTGCCATTGAATGTTGCTTATTTCATACGTATACATTTCCTTTCGAGGCCAGTGTTCTTGAGTTCGTATGCCCTCCTCAAGAAGGCTCATTGCCCTGAACGTCAACTATTTCATATACACATATACATCCCCTTCATTTTCAAGGCCACAGTGTTCTCGAATGCGTATGCCCTACTCAACAAGGCCCATGGCCCTGAACGTCGCCTATTTCATACACATATATACACACATGCCAGTTTTCTTGAATTCAATGCCCTCCTCAAGAAGGCCCATTGCCCTGAACGTCTATTTCATAAATGAAATATACACACCCTTAAACTTTCAAGGCCACAATGTTGTTCGAGTTCGTATGCCCCTCCTCAAGGAGGCCCATTGCCCTGAACGTCGTCTATTTCATACTCACATCTACACACCCTTAATTTTCAATGCCCTCCTCAAGAAGGCCCATTGCCCTGAACGTCTAATTCATAAATGAAATATACACAACCCTTAAACTTTCAAGGCCACAGTGTTGTTCGAGTTCGTATGCCCCTTTCTCAAGGAGGCCCATTGCCCTGAACGTCGTCTAACTCACATTTTTTTTATATATAAAAAAACAACCTACCCTTCACTTTCATGGCCACGGTCAAAGCAAAACCACCCGGCGATGATGGAAGCCACCGGCGGTGTTGCCTCGCATTGCTCACCGTGTATGGAAGGGAACCCCAGCACCACGTCCACCGGGGGTCCGGCCTTGCCCGGGGCCTCCAGGGCCTGGAGGATCCCCCCGAGGCTCAGCACCTTGGCCGCGACTCCTCCGTCGGCCGCGCGGAGCGTGAAGCGCTCCACGGCGAGACCCTCGGCGGTCTCGCCGAAGATTTCGCGACTGACCCGCGTGTTCGGCATTCGCGAATGTTGTCCGTCGAGCGAGGAGCGGCGGGGGTCGGGGGGGGTTTGGTTTGATAGCGGTTCGAAGGTGGAGGGGAGGGTGAAGGCCGGTGGTGGTGGTGGTGGGGTATGAGTTGGACAGAGGCAAGGGATGGGTGATGGAGGAGGAGGGAGAGCAAAGGTGGTGGAAGGAAGGGAGGGAGCAGATGGGGGGGTGTGTGGGGGGGCGTCGCCCGCACGGCGAGGCGGGGCCAGGGGCCCGCGTCCTCGCACGCGCCCGGCGAGGTGAAGCCCCGCTGCGCCATCTTGCGTGAGGTTGAGGGACATTTTAACATTTAAATATTCACTCACCGTTTTTATTTTAACCAGGTGAGGTCATTTAACTGTTCACTAACTATTTTTTTATTTTACCAGGTCATGTTATTTAACATTTAAATATTCACTCACCGTTTTTATTTTAACCAGGTAAGGTCATTTAACTGTTCACTAACTATTTTTTTTATTTTACCAGGTCATGTTATTTAACATTTAAATATTCACTCACCGTTTTTATTTTAACCAGGTAAGGTCATTTAACTGTTCACTAACTATTTTTTTATTTTACCAGGTCAGGTTATTTAACATTTAAATATTCACTCACCGTTTTTATTTTAACCAGGTAAGGTCATTTAACTGTTCACTAACTATTTTTTTATTTTACAAGGTCAGGTTATTTAACATTTAAATATTCACTCACCGTTTTTATTTTAACCAGGTAAGGTCATTTAACTTTTCACTAACTATTTTTTGTTTTACCAGGTCAGGTTATTTAACATTTAAATATTCACTCACCGTTTTTATTTTAACCAGGTAAGGTCATTTAACTGTTCACTAACTATTTTTTATTTTACCAGGTCAGGTTATTTAACATTTAAATATTCACTCACCGTTTTTATTTTAACCAGGTAAGGTCATTTAACTGTTCACTAACTATTTTTTATTTTACCAGGTCAGGTTATTTAACATTTAAATATTCACTCACCGTTTTTATTTTACCAGGTAAGGTAATTTAACTGTTCACTATTTTTATTTTTCTTCTTTGGTTCTTTCGGTAAAGTCACGTAGAATGGAAATAAAATAATAAAAATAAAACACAACAAAATAAAATTCTCACGACGTTTCGGCCACAACACAAGTGGCCCTCATCAGGTTATTTAACATTTAACTATTCACTCACTGTTTTTATTTTTTGTTAGCAGATAAGGTCATTTAACTGTCCAGTAACTATTTATTATTTTATTTTACCAGGTCACGTTATTTAACATTTAAATATTCATTATTATTTTTTACCAGGAAAGTTTATATAACATTTAAATATTCACTATTTTTTATTTTATTTTACCAGGCGAGGTAATTGAAATAATTATTTTTATTTTACCAGGTAAGGCCCACTGAGCTATGCCGTATTAATAGGAACTAAACCGGTCCGAAATTGTCTCATTGGTGTCAAAAGCATCTATTTGGCGTGTGGACATCATAACGCCTGCTGTTTTATTGCCAGAAAGGGTGACACCTATTCTTATTTTTCATACTTTGATACTGACTAAAAAGATTCCACGATATCATTGGTGGCCTAAGACAGGCAGACCCAATGCAGTTCTTAAAGAACTTTGATCAATCTAGAGGTGACGTGAACGATGATTAATGTTCGCAATATTATCGATAATTAATCTTTTCTGATTGCTTTACTTCATCGGTGTACCTTTGCTTTATTTATCTTGCTTTAATTATTATTTTTTGTGACCGGGTCACTTTTGCAAAACGAGACTCATTCTGGTCTCTGGAGTTCTCACGCAGTTACAAACAAAATACAATTAAAACGTAAACCATAACATGTAATAGACTTTAGTAATCAGCAATGCGATGCGGTGATGAGACGTAGTAACACAATCATTGGCAGCACAGACGTGTTAATTCACTGCTGGATAAAGGCCTCCTCCACACGTCATGTCGGTTGTAGGGGGTTATTTGACCATATTTCACCACAGCAGTGTACAACACCATTAGGATTGGTGTTACACTGCCCCCTGTTGCCCATAACGTTAAGAGGCTTGCGGGGTGTAATACAGTAGAGTATATGAAACAATTGAATTAGGTTTTATCCTTTCTGGCTATAAACTATTTGGGCGTTCTCTGGTCCGAGACTGGTGATGCCCTGAAGAAGGCTGTTTCTGGTGTAGGCCAGTGTGTTTCAAAGACAATGCCACACATTATTATCAGAGCATGTTTGTTTGCATATTCACCACAAGAACCGTGTCCGGTTTAAATGCAGACTTGATTCCTTGAAAAGGGTTTCTATTTTTGTTGGAACATCTAAAAACCTCCTGTTTTATTGCCAGCAACGGTAAAAACCTGTTCTTATTTCTTCATACTTTTATACTGGCAAAAAGGTCCCAATCCTTTTACAGTATTGTATACAAACGAAATGATTAATTGAATGCAGCTTAAACTGACAATTTAATCACGAATGTAATGCCGTGTATTGTAATGGTAAACGCAATCTGATCATGTAACGCGGTTGAGTGCAATCACTGCAGTAAGCTAATGACAATGCAATGTTACATATCGAGCAATGCATACCTGTTAACCCCATACCACTGCCCTACCTTATTAGCCGTGCCCCTTATAAATCTCAACGTTCATCCTACAAAGTCCCATCACAAGGAAGAAACACAAATGGACCAAAAATAAAATTCTGCCCGTATTGAATCGGCTGTACGCTGTGTGGACCTGAAAACTCAATTTCCCTACTGCACATGAATACGGGGCAACGCGTATGGGTTTACAGGTATGGTAATGCCATTATTATTGTTGAGGCGTAATGATGACACGAAGGCAGATCTTTGTAAGGGCTTTCGCCAACAGTTTATTAGGAGGCTTATGCCAGTAACTGATGGAGGAAATATTTCACTTGTCCCCAGTGGTAGGGGCACTGGGAATCCCCTAGCACACCCACAGGCTAACCTAACCCGGTGCTAATTTCCCCCTACCCTGGGTCCCATCGCTCCCCCAGGGGAAGGGTACTGGGGAGGTCCCTAGCACACCCACGGGCTACCCTAGCCAGGTGCTAATTTCCCCCTACCCTGGGTCCCAACTTCCACCCTTCACGTTCCCGGACTCTCCAGACGACTCTGAACACGTGACGGGTTGCAGCTTAAATACCCCAGGGGGCATGACGTCACCGTCCCGCCGCCCTGTGCAATGACGTCACCGACCCGCCCCCTGTGCAATGACGTCACCATCCGTGACATTGCACCGGAGGGCGAGCGTGCCATGACATCACTAACTACTACTCAACATCATGAATAATATCACCTACGGTGAAGTTTGATCAAACACCCCCCCCCCCCCCAACGGCGTGGGGAGTCCCCCTCCATCATCCAGCAGTGGATAATTAATCAATGAGACGGGGGAGGAGGAGGAGGCCAGCCGGTGCGGGTGTGTATAGACATCGGCACTGGTGGTGGGGGGGGGGGGGGGGGAGAGAGACAAAGGCGGTCGGGCGTGGTTGCTGGCCACTGCACCCACCTCGTGTGCTACAGTTCCGGCCTTCATCGGTGCGACAGCACTTGCCCCAACAGTCTGTGAAGGCTATACCGGGGGGGGGGGTGTTCGTCTTTGTTGTGTATAAACATCAGCACTGGGGAGACAAAGGCGGTCGGGCGTGGTTGCTGGACACTGCACCCACCTCGTGTTCCTTTCCGGCCTTCACATGTGCGACTCGCTAACAAGCACTTGCCCCCCTCCCCCCCCCCAAACAGTCTGCGAAGGCTACACGGGGGATCTTTGTCTTTGGTTGTGTATAACTTTATTGACAACGGCTGAAGAAGGCTGCCCCGCTATTGGCTTTGGTTGTGTATAACTTTATTGACAACGGCTGAGGAAGGCTGCCCCGCTATTGGCTTTGGTTGTGTATAACTTTATTGACAACGGCTGAAGAAGGCTGCCCCGCTATTGGCTTTGGTTTTGTATAACTTTATTGACAACGCGACGGCTGAAGAAGGCTGCCCCGCTATTGGCTTACGGCGGCCACGCCACCACCACCCCCTGCTGAAGCGGCGGATGAGGCCATCGCTCTCTCCTCTTCCTCCTCCTCCTCCATCCCTCACCTCCTCCTCACCCTTCGTCCTCCCACACGGTCGGAACGGGAACGCAGAGAGAGGTACCGTACAACATTGTTGCTGCCGTGACCCTGTGCCACCTCTTGTCCCGTCGCCCCTTTACCCACCCATCACTGTGAACGGCTTGACAGGCAGCCGGAGTGTTAGGTGGGCCATACATTCAGTGCGTACGCATGGAGGGGAGAGGGGAGAGGTTAACCAAAATGCGTACGGCTTGCGTATGGGGAAGGGGGGGGGGTCTACTCACAATGTACGGATAGGAAACAAGGGGGGGGGGGTGGTGGTGAAGCCTCGATAATAATTTGTCTAAATTGGCCTTCAAATGAGTTAGATAGTCCGATGGTGGACTGTCCGTTTGCACGCAGGTTGGTGCACGGTGCTTTTTTCAGGAATATTTTGCTGTGGTTTTTTTTGTCATGGATTTTGCTGTTTGCACGGTCACAAAGTCACTTTAAGATGTTTTTTCTTTGTACGTGTTTTAAATTTGTTTTGTTTGTTGTGGTTGCACCCGATTCAAGAGCCGAATGGCTCACAGGGCTATACCAAAATAAACTGAAACTACTTAAACACGTTAATATTATTATGCCTTGATCGTTTTTGCGTGTATTAAATATCGGCCGTTCTATAGGATTCGTTTGGGGGTGGGTGGTGGGTGTAAAAAGTCCGCGTGCGTACAGGTAGGGAGGAGGGGAGGAGGACTCAAGTTTTGACAGATTTTTGGGTACCGACTGAATGGATGGCCCCTTTAAAGTCGATCGGCAGGCAAAAGCAGAATTTCTCGCGTGTGGCGGGGGTAAATTGTGGGTAACTCCCAGCTGTTCGAACAAGACGTCTGTCTGGCCAGCGTGCAAAAGAGTCGGTCAACGCACCTCCTAGAAGGGTTTTGTTTTAGCGAGATGCTTGCCTCCAGTGCAGGGCCCTTTATTCGTATTTTTTTAAAATTATTATAAAATTCAGTACAACTGGCTAACAGAAGAATGATTTTCCCACCTGATGATGGACGCTTGGTGTTGCGCCCGAAACGTCGTGATTGATTTTATTTTATACCTTTCGTGACTTTACCAAAAGAACCAAAGAGTAATGATTAATTGTCAAATAAAGTTGACATTTTTGTATAAACATATGAATGCATGCCTCCTCTCCGTAATGATGTCATTATCACGGTTTATATTTTTTCCCCAATTATATTCGGATTGTGATTATCAGCGCCATGCCCCGAGACAAATAATTATTTTGGAAATCTTGGAGAGCAGTGCTACCCCCCCTCCCCGTGTTTGAGAACGGCCCGCGGAAGTTGATATCCCACAGCTACCTCCAAGTAACTCTTGGTTCAACGAAGTACAGTGGAGAGAGCAGCACCCCCTCTACGTTAATGTTTGTCGCGTGACAGTCCAACCAATATATTCTCATAACTCGAATGAAACCAAATGAAGAGTTGAACCAAATGTAACGTGATGGATTTTTTCGTGCAGTAATTCAGCAGTGGATTGACATGCACATGTTGCACTGGATGGCACCCAGTCAAAAAGACGGGTTGGCTCTTTTCCCCATCAGCCATGTCTTTCTCTTAGCCCTGCTCACATCCCAGATTGTCACGGCTAGTGAACCAATATACTGTATGTTCCTGTCCGATGGGTTATGACCTGATTTAAGAATAATTTAGTGTATTTGGTATTTGCATCGCAACGAAGGTGCTATGTTTCACAGACGGACAGAGTCTGCCAGGAGTGAGCGATGTTTGCAATGTGTAATCCCAATTGAGTAACTTGCGGCTAATATTTCACATTCGGAGCGTTATACCGGAATACAATGGGCCCATTTGTTTCGGACGACTTCAGGAGATTTTTTTTTACGTCCACTTGTGAAGCGGATGTTATTTATACGGTGAATCCACCCGCAGTTGTAACCAGAGCGGGCTGTCGGATTCAAACCAAGAAGTTCTGCGGCAAGTGGCGAACGCGCCACCCCCGGCTCTTTTGTGTGTGCCCTCAGAGACCGCGTGCGAAGAGCTGAGGCATCATGGCCGGGGAGGGACCAGGTCGCGTGCTGTCTGTCCTGCGGGCGTGGCTTCTCATCGTGGCGCTAATGGCCCTCGGCAACACGATTCAGACGTTCCGCAACCACAGCTTCCTCAGCACGCACCTCTACACGGGAAGCCCCAACATGGGTACACCACTTTCTTGTCCTTTCATACAGCGTGACCAAATCACCCGCAATGCATCCGATCTCTTTGGATTTCAGCTAACCAATTTCGGCCTTGCTAGTGCTTGGATTGAGGGCTGCTGTGCATAGTGGCGCAACACCTCTAATCCTGCACTGAGGTGGATCGCACAAATGTCGTGTGAAACTCCCCTCCCGTGTGTGTCGAGAAGGAGCCATGTCCTAGCTCACCAGGAGAAGGCAGTACAGCAAAATGTCGATTCAACCTGTTCTGTCTGCATAGGGTAGAGTGTTTCCGTCTCTCACACGTGGGTTTCCTCCGTGTGCTTCGGTTTCCTCCCACATGTAAACGCTCATTAATTGGCAGATAACATGTTTAATATGGATGAGGACCGGAGAGCTTGGGCAATTGTTGGCGCCAGCCCGCATGTCTGGCTTTTCGCATCTATGGATCATTCTCTTTGAGGCTGGAGACTGTGGGCGTTAGAAGTTTAAATTATTACAACAGGTTTTCAGAGGCTGCAGGCCTACGTGGTGGGCAGCAGACGACCGCAAATTCAATTTTTGTACTGTACTGGCCTGCCAGGTCTGTGCCCTGCTTTGATCAACTGGCACTGACCAGCGCGGCTGGGCAGTGCCGGTCCTCAAGAAGCTCCCGCTAGCTGGAGCGAAACGTCAGACATTGTGCCGAACAACTCGGGTTACAATCCAAAAACAAATCGGAGCTATACGGCACAACCGAAAAAGCCTCCACTGGTATTGGCTCAGCTAATCACGTTCTCTGTCTCAATATGCCTCCCACACTGCCCTTGCCATATTCAAACACCTCCTGATATCCCTGCCACTGCTGTTACGTCTGCCGCTGCTCCCAACCTAGTGAACGGATTGCACGCACGAGCATACGGGGTGTGGACGATGCTGTCTTCGATCGTCCGCCTAGCCTGCGCCATTGACATCACCAATAAATCGTGAGTGAGCGTTCATTTCTGAGCAAGTTACGTTTTGCCACGATATTACGTCTGTGATTACATTTTTAATCCAAAGAAATCTGATGCCCGTAATAGTGATAGCGGGGTGCCGCGGTGGTGAGATGTTAACTCCCTCGCCTGGTCGTGGATTCGATCCCAACCCTGACACCTGTATATTTGGTGTTTGCATGCTTAGAGTATTTGTCTACTATACATTTACACATGATAAACCACTTTGAGCTATAATTTTAAAAAGAGCTATATAGCTCAGTGGGCCTTACCTGGTAAAATAAAAAAGTTAATGGCAAAATTGGGAGAGAAGATATGCTCAACACATGGCCTAATCCAGATGGCCATACTTGAACTGACTTAAGTGTGTTTCTCATATTAGTATCCTTTATTTAATCACCAGGAAATGGCATAAACCCATTGAGCCACATGGAACATAATTGCCTCTTTTGCAAGGGCGACATGGGTTACATCATGCAATTTTAACTACACAATATTTTAAATAGATTTCAAATATAACGATTCTAGATTAAATAATAAAGTATTGAATAATACAGGTGAATTACACTTTAAACATTGACATATAAAAGCATTATACTGTCATTGCTGGAAATGAAACTGACTACATAAGGCAAGTAGGAGTCGATGTACACTTTGCATTGCACTTGCACGGTTTTAACATCTGCACGTTGCGTTGTTCTTTATATCTTTCCCAAAAGGCTTTACCTCGTGTGCTTGAGCACATTCGTGCTAGCTCTGGGCCACTTCCTGTCAGAAGCATTTGTGTACAACACAGCGCTGCTCACCGTAGGCTTGGCTGCCCCGCTGATTGTGGCCGGTACGACCTCAACACCAAAGTCTGTTCGTTTACCATCATCATCAGTCGTGTAGGCCTCTCCAAGCAATTTGTTTGTCATCTCTCGCGATCTTGTGATACTGCAAAAATCCGTTGATTTCCCGCACACTAACTACTTTCATCGCTCCCTTATAATAAGCAAGGGGTCGTTTAGCTCAAAGTAAAGTACGCTGCAACTCTCCAAGTATTGAATAAGCCGTGCAATGTTTGCTGAATGGGTGTAAAAGGCAAGCATTTAAAGTCTGTGCATTAGGGTGAAGACTCATTTGACATTCTGAGCAAGTAATTGCTTGCTCATGCCACTGCTGGCTGAAGGGCCATCACTAAAGGTGGCTCTGTTGTGCCTCGATGATATTTGACTTACTCATCCACGCTGGCCAGACATCTGGCAAGAGATGAAAATGCCCTTGCTTTATCCCACCACACGCAACCTGCCGATACTGTGGTGAACCCATTCATACTTCTGCTTGGACAGAGGAGGAAGCGGGGCTTTAAGAAAGTCTCACCGACAAGTTCAGTGTGCCAAACATTGCATACACCATGGCAGCATCCCCGAAATGGCTTTAAAGTTGCAAGTTATGCATGGCTCGCACGTAACCTTGGTATGAATACAGCTGATATTAACTCTTCTGTCTGGTTTGTCCCCCTAGGTTCGTCACTTGTGGCCATGCTGATTGGCCTGTTGTATCTGAATAAAGGAGGAGAGGTCGCGTCCAAGGAGAGGCGAAAAAAGGCCTTCTGATGGTGCGGTTCGACTCTGCAGTTGTCGCGTTAACCAGTGAAAATGCACGCAGCATATTGCCGTTCAAGTATTGAAAGCATTTTGCTCATCACTTTGCAAGAGTGTGTGTTACAAGTGACTCAAGTGACGTGTAGACTCATGTTTTGCATTATGCAGCAGTACAAGATATTTCAATATGCATGTGACATTTCATTGTTTAAGAACTATTATATTTAGGCTACTGATACATGCAATTGTGTGTATACATTTTAAATTAGTTTTTATCTATATGTAGTAATATCAATATCAATTGGGAGAGTGTGTACATTGATACCACTCTAGATTCGAAACGCACAACAGCAAAGAAAAAATCGCTTCTCGAATCAAATTGCGTTCCCCTAAATGTGACCATTCATAATCTACGACCAAATCACCCTCAACGCTCCCGATCTTGCCTGATCTCGGAAGCCAAGCAAGGTTGATTCTGGTTCGCACTTGAATGGGAGACTGCCTAGGAATGCCAGGTATTGTAGGTGTAGTATGAAATGGCTGTATATCAATAGGTACTTGTTAACGTGTTAAACTTTTTGAGTATCAAGCCCTGTCCTCGTGTATGTTTTTTCTGGGTACTTCTACATGCCACCTACAGTATTAAGGGATTCGGTCAAACATTCCGACGCAATACCCTCTTGAAATAAAAGGCCTGAGACTACGGGAGGTAATTCTGGGTAAAAAAAAAGAGAGAAATGTATATAATCATGTAATTGTTGGGAGTGGTGTGTCGATACTCATAATAAATCTAGTATTAAAAAGTCCAGGCTGCTTGGGTCCAGAAATAAGTACATTAATTAATGTACAATCGTTTGTTATATGTGCATATTATTTTTACATCTGATTATTATGTATTGCCCTGGAGTATTTTTGTGCAGCTGTGACTGTATTCTGGGAAGGCGTCTTTATTTTTTCTTTTTCGATGTGACGTGAAACCGGAGTGAGTTATCTTGTGCACGTTTCAAGTCCCAGCATGCATCTCGTGTTGCCGTGTCTGTTGGCTGAGTCACCCTTGAAAAAGAGCGGAAAATCTCCATGGGTTATTACTCGGATAATAAATTTGATTCTGCATCTCAAACCTGACCCCACTGGGTCCTCATCTGAAATTGTGCTCAACATTGTTACATCAAAGTGTTCATGTGCAACTCCTGTGCTGCTTCCCCCTTCAAGTTTCACATTCTCTGCAACAACTATAATGATTCGAACTTATTTATGTGGACCTCTGCACCTAACCCTTTAAAATAAATATCCTACACTCTTACCTGCTGCTTGTGTTCGGTCCGTATGTTTTGCCCTGTCGCGGTTGCATAATCAAGGGATGGCCAAACTTCCTGACCCTACAAGCCACTTTCCAACATCTTCATATGTCCGAGAGCCAGAAAACACACGCGATTTTACACATGGCTGTGGAGTTTCGCATTAGAAATCTGCAAAGCACCTCAGGAGTACTCGCATCTGGATCCGCTGCCAGGGGCGAGTGCTCGAGGCTTTTCCCGTTTCAAACATTCTACCTGTTACAAATGACGGTCTATTGACCAGTAAAATAAAATAAACTAGCCGTGTCTCTACGGAGCTGCACTTGAACTGCCCAGGGAACTACAGCCGGCTTTTGATTGGAGGTGTGGTCACCCCTGGTAGTCTGCCTTTGTATCTGGTGACATCTATTCCATCTCGTGTGACTTTTTCCTTTTGGAACTTGGTATTACAATTAATGAGCTTTTTTTTCTATCAAAGTAGGGATATCAAATTTTGACTTAACTTTCGTGACTGCAGGAATTCATATTCTTGGTTCTTTCGGTAAAGTCACGTAAATAGAAAACAAAAAATATAAAAAAAAGAATAAATAGAAAATAAAGCAAACAAATAAAAATAGTAAAATTAAAAGAAATTGAAAATAATAAGAGCAACAAACCCACGACGTTTCGACCGCTTGTGTTGCAATCGAACGTCGCGGGTTTTTTGCTTGTATTATTTTCAATGTATGTTATTTTTTATTTTATTTAACGATTATTTTTGCTTGTATTATTTTGAATGTATTATTTTTAATCATTTTAAGATTTAAATTATTATTTTTTATTTTATTTTAAATATTTTTGATGTTTTGTTTTCTACTTACGTGACTCTACCGAAAGAACCGAGAATAGGGATATCAAGTCAAGTATGGAAGCATTTGTTTACTTCCAGGCATTGTGTAGAAGCATCCATCCTCTGGCGCCAACCTCTAGGAGTCCCCCCCCCTGCTCGTCTCCCAAGCGAGCTCCATTCCTACGGATCCCCACTGGCAAAACCCCCCAAGTAAGCTCCCCTTCCTAGAAGTCCTTCCTGGCAAAACCTCCAAGCGAGCCCCAGACGATCTGATGCACCCATAAGGCTGTTGCCATCTCCTCAGCCTCCTCCATCCGTGAGGTTCTCTTAACAGAGAATCTGATTGGCAGGATCATCCAAGGGGGAGAAGCCACGTGCCCAAAGTGTGGTGGATGGCGTTCCTGTATGCAGACAGCAAGCATCATCTTCGTTTATTGCAATAGCCTTTGGGTTTGACAGGCATCGGGTCGTTACCCCAAGGTTTTACGATGGGACCTGGTGATTAATGAGTTGTGCCATTAATAGGGATATCGGCGCCTTGGAATGTACAGAGGTACGATTGTGCTGTTTTAGGCAATTTTTTCTGAGTAACCGCAACGCGTAGTCAAATCCTCAAGCGAGGAAATGTGATTTGCAAAAGCCAGAGACTGAAGAAATTGATAAAGAATGAAACCATAAGGAGCTCAATCACGATGAAAAATCAAAGCACAACACATTCATCAATAGCATTGCCTACAAATAATAAACCTTTACAATCTGCGACGTCTCGGGCAATGGCCCTTCATATCACGTGCTATGAAGGGCAATCCCCCGAAACGTTGCCGATTATATATACGAAGGCAGTGTTAATTTCGAATGTTGATTTTTGCGTGTGTTGTCAGCATTGCTATATTTAAAAAGTGTGACTTTCGGTACGGAAAGACTCAGATGTGCAGAGGGCTGCGTTCGAGGCCGGGTTGTGTGGTTCTCAAGTGTGGTGAGTTGATGGTCCCAGCGCAATCACCAACAACTACTTTAAAAAAAAAAACCCAATCACATTATCTTCTTTGGTTCTTTCGGTAAAGTCACGTAGAATGAGAATAAAATAAATTGATAAAATAAAATAACAATAAAATTCTCACGACGTTTCGGCCACAACACAAGCGGCCTTCATCAGGTGAAGGGACGAGGCTGTCTGGAGGACAGCGCTGGAGCGAAAAAGCCACGCTCAGATCGCTCCAGCGCTTTAAATCGAAATCCAATCACATTATTCAATGTTGCTTCTGCATTTTAAACCAATGCCATGTTTGTTGTCAGCTTGAACAATATAAATATCGGCTTTTTCTTGCCATATTACGAACATCATTCTCTCACGTGGACAGCCGGTGGAAAAGTGCTGTCCACTCCCCGTCTCGGCCAGATGTAGCGTTGTGTGACAATTTGGGTATGTGTTCGAATTCGGTGAGCATAACTCAGTATTTCAAAGAGCCACAGTTGCAAGTGGTGGTGAATACAAGAAAAGGTGGTCCCTCATCATCTACATATCAATAAGGGTCACGAAGTTTGTCCTTTAGCTTAAAGAGCCACATGCGGCTCTAGAGAGCCGCGTGTTGCCCGACCCATAGCGGCTTGGGGGAAAACCCAAAGACAAAGATCCCCCGTGTAGCCTCGACATACTGTTGGGGCAAGTGCTGTTAGCGAGTAGCAGCACCTATGAAGGCTGCCACTGTGGCACACGAGGGGGTGGGTGGCCAGCACCACGCCGCCTTTGTCTCCTCCAGTGGCGAGGTTTACTACACACCGCACCAAGTGCTCATTTGAGGCTTAGTAGACCTAGGGGAGGGCCCAGGACCTGAATCGAACTCGGGGCGCCGGGTTCGTAGCGCGAACCGGTACGCTACCACTCCCCACAATCATCATCACCACCACCACAATCATCATCACCACCACGATCATCACCACCACCATCATCACCACCATCACCATCATCACAATCATCTTAACCATCACCACCACCGTCATCACCATCACCACCACCGTCATCACCACAATCATCACCTTCCCCATAACCACCACCACCTCAATCATCACTATCATCACCACCATCATCATCACCACCGCCACCATCATCACCATCATCATCACCACCACCACCACCATAATCACCGCCACCATCATCACAATCATCATCACCACAATCATCATCGCCACTATAACCACCACCACCTCAATCATCACTATCATCATCATCATCACCACCGCCACCATCATCACCACCATCATCACCACCACCACCACCACCATCATCACCGCCACCATCATCACAATCATCATCACCACAATCATCATCACCGCCACTATAACCACCACCACCACCACCTCAATCATCACTATCATCATCACCATCATCATCACCACCGCCACCATCATCACCACCACCACCATCATCATCACCACCACCACCATCATCACCGCCACCATCATCACAATCATCATCATCACAATCATCATCACCACCACCACCATCATCACTGCCACCATCACAATCATCATCACAATCATCATTATCATCACAATCATCACCACCAACATCATCAACACCGCCACCATCATTACAATCATCATCACAATCATCATCATCACAATCATCACCACCATCATCATCACCGCCACCATTATCACAATCATCATCACCACAATTATCATCATCATCATCACCACCACCACGTGGTTGTATGAAGGAGGCGTGCGAGCCCCGGACTCCTCCCCCTCCCCCCTCCCCTCCCTCCTCCCTCACCCTCCTCCCTCGCCCCCTCCTCTCTCTCTCTCTCACTCGGCAGCCAAGCAGCCACCATGTTCGCTTCAGGCCGACGCCTCCCACGGAGCCTTGGCCGAATCCACCTCGCCAGGGGCTCACCCGCCGGCCTCGGGGTGAGTTTTACTGATGGGTGGTGGTGGTGAGTGAGTGGTGAGTGGTGGCGAGTGAGTGGTGATGGACACGCGCCGCGTCTTTTTTGTTAATTTATTTATTTTTGCGATGGTTGACCCCTTCAACCTTAGTGGAAGGTCAGTCTAGCTTGGCCGTCCGAGCAAGGCCTCTGTGTCCTTGTTACGTGGTTTTCATCTTGGGTAGCGATTACAGTTATAGTTGCGGCTTAAAGCTTGGGGGCCTCCGAATCAGAATGTGTAGCGATAGCGGAGAGAATCCTGCACACACGTCACACGGCAAAGATGCCTTGTGTGTTTTGTGTTACGAGCTGCTACCGCCGTGGGGTTTTAAAGTCACTTTGCCTGTAAGTTGTTACCGACGTCTGGTTTTGTTAGCCTTTCGCGTTTCCATTATTGCATTGCGAGGCCCGTGATGATAGTGGTGGTTGTGGTGGTGGTGATGGTGGTGGTTCACGATGCAGCGAGCTGTCCAACTGATGTGATGGTGAAACGCGTGAGGGTTTGTGTGTGTGTTGTGTGTTGTGTCTTCATCTCACTCCTCAGTGTGCTGGGAAAGCTCCTGGCAAGGATTATTCAGCATCGCCTTGCCAGGCACGCTGAGGAGAGGCTTGCGGAGCCCCAATGCGGTTTCAGGAAAGGGCGGTCCTGCACAGATGCCATATTTTCTGTCCGTCTGCTACAGCAGAGGTGTAGGGAATTCCAACAAGACCTACATCTCTGCTTTATTGACCTGGTCAAGGCCTATGATACCATCAGTAGGCCTGGGCTCTGGGTCGTTCTTCGTGCTTTTGGAGTACCTGACCCTCTGCTCACGATCATTAAGGACCTTCATGATGGTGAGCGGGCCCGGGTAAAACTACGTGGCCGGGAGTCAGAGCCATTCCCTGTACACCTTGGGGTGCGACAGGGATGTCCTCTGGCTCCCACATTATTTAACATCTATTTTGACCACGTAGTTCGTGAAGCCTTCAATAGCTGTACCGGGGGAATCTCCATATGGTACAGATATAATGGGAGGCTAATCGATGCCCGGGTGCGGTCAAGGGATGGCTCCCTATTGCTCAACCACGTTATGTATGCTGATGACTTGGTAATAGCTGCTCAGTCAGAGGAGGAGTTGGAGACGCTGCTGCTGAGACTGGAGCGTGCCACTAAGAGGTGGGGCCTTACCATCAGCCCCACCAAAACTAAGCACCTGCCTGGGTATTTTGTACCATCGGACACTCCGCCCCCACAACTCCCAATCGGTGATGGGGCAGTTGTGGAGAGAGTGGAGAGTTTCCCATACCTGGGCAGTGTGCTTATGACTGGCTCCAGTTTAACAGCAGAGGTCTCACTCCGAATCAGTCGAGCGGCAATATCTTTTCATCGGTTGCGTAACGCTGTGTGGAAGCTACCTGGTCTGTCGCTCCGCACTAAGCTTCAGGTCTTCTCGGCCACGGTCATTCCCTCCCTTCTCTACGCTTGCGAAACGTGGACCCCCCTAATGGAACATCTTCGCCGGTTAGAAACATTTAGGCTGACCTGCCTACGATCCATCCTGGGTTTAACCAGACTGGATTGTGTGAGGAGCTCACAAATCCTTGAAAGATCTGGACAGGGTCCCATCGGTGAGCTCCTCCGGCAGGCAAGGCTGCGATGGCTGGGTCATGTAGCCCGCATGCCCAGCCACCGCATGCCGAAACAGCTTTTGTTTGGCCGGATTGAGGGGGCTAAGCGGGCGCGGCACGGGCTAGAGAAGAGATGGAGTGATGTGGTACAGGAGGACGTGGAGCTGAGTGGACTTGCCGATGACTGGTACCAGCGGTGTCAAGATCGGCCTCTGTGGAGGAGGCTCGTGAAGGATGCTACTGGGCAGTTGGAGGCAGTCGCCCTCCAACAACAACGGAGGGCGGAGGAGCGACGCTCACAACAGCGAGCGGAGCGCCGGGTGGCTAAAGCACAGCAGGTTGGCACAGTAGGGGGCACAGGTGGTGCATCAGCCAGTCATCTCAGTCAGTCGACCCGTGGCACCTGGGTCTGCCCCGTGACCTCCTGCCAGCGGGCGTTCGACACTTCACGTGGCCTCAGGGTGCACATAGCCTGGCACAAGCGTCGTGGTGACGTCACCGCCACTTAGTGGCGAATGGCGGTTGTTGTTGTTGTTGTTGTGTCTGTGTGTGTGGTGTGTCTGTGTGGTGTGTGGTTGTGTGTGTTGTGTGTGTGTTGTGTGTCTGTGTTGTGTGTTTCTGTGTGTTGTGTGTCTGTGTGTGTGGTTGTGTGTCTGTGTGTTGTGTGTCTGTGTGTGTTGTGTGACCTGGTCAAGGCCTATGATACCATCAGTAGGCCTGGGCTCTGGGTTGTTCTTCGTGCTTTTGGAATCCCTGACCCTCTGCTCACGATCATTAAGGACCTTCATGATGGTGAGCGGGCCCGGGTAAAACTGCGTGGCCGTGAGTCAGAGCCATTCCCTGTACACCTTGGGGTGCGACAGGGATGTCCTCTGGCTCCCACATTATTTAACATCAATTTTGACCACGTAGTTCGTGAAGCCTTCAATAGCTGTACCGGGGGAATCTACATTTGGTACAGATATAATGGGAGGCTGATCAATGCCCGGGTGCGGTCAAGGGATGGCTCCCTATTGCTCAACCACGTTATGTATGCCGATGATTTGGTAATAGCTGCTCATTCAGAGGAGGAGTTGGAGACGCTGCTGCTGAGACTGGAGCGTGCCACTAAGAGATGGGGCCTTACCATCAGCCCCACCAAAACTTAGCACCTGCTTGGGTATTTTGTACCATCGGACACTCCACCCCCACAACCCCCAATCGGTGATGGGGCAGTTGTAGAGAGAGTGGAGAGTTTCCCATACCTGGGCAGTGTGCTTATGACCAGCTCCGGTTTAACAGCAGAGGTCTCACTCCGAATCAGTCGAGCGGTAATATCTTTTCATCGGTTGCGTAACGCTGTGTGGAAGCTACCTGGTCTGTCGCTCCGCACTTAGCTTCAGGTCTTCTCGGCCACGGTCATTCCCTCCCTTCTCTACGCTTGCGAAATGTGGACCCCCCTAATGGAACATCTTCGCCAGTTAGAAACATTTAGGCTAGCCTGCCTACGATCCATCCTGGGTTTAACCAGGCTGGATTGTGTGAGGAGCTCACCAATCCTTGAAAGATCTGGGCAAGGTCTCATCGGTGAGCTACTCCGGCAGGCAAGGCTGCATTGGGTGGGTCATGTAGCCCGCATGCCCAGCCACCGCATGCCGAAACAGCTTTTGTCCGGCCGAATCGAGGGGGCTAAATGGGCAAGGCACGGGCTAGAGAAGAGATGGAGTGATGTGGTACAGGAGGACGTGGAGCTGAGTGGACTTGCCGATGACTGGTACCAGTGGTGTCAAGATCGGCCTCTGTGGAGGAGGCTCGTGAAGGACGCTACTGAGCAGTTGGAGGCAGTCGCCCTCCAACAACAACGGAGGGCGGAGGAGCAACGCTCACAACGAGCGGAGTGCCGTGTGGCTAAAGCACAGCAGGTTAGCACAGTAGAGGGCACAGGTGGTGCATCAGCCAGCCATCTCAGTCATCTTAGTCGACCCGTGGCACTTGGGTCTGCCCCGTGACCTCCAGCCGGCGGGCGTTTCGGCACTTCACGTGGCCTCAAGGTGCACATGGCCTGGCACAAGCGTCGTTTTGACGTCACCGCCACTTAGTGGTGAATGGCGGTTGTTGTTGTTGTGTGTCTGTGTGTGTTGTGTCTGTGTGGTTGTGTGTCTGTGTGGTTGTGTGTCTGTGTGTTTGTGTGTGCGGGTGTCATGAAGTGTGGGGAGCGGTGGTGTAGTTGTTAGCACTACGCTGCGCTACGAACCTGGCGACCCGAGTTCGATTCCCACTCACGTCCAACACCACCGGTGACGATTATCTCCGAACCGGTTCTGGGCCCTCCCCTACTCGGCCTCAAATGAGTACCTGGTGCGGTGCGTATAAACATCGCCACTGGGGGAGACAAAGGCGGCCGGGCGTGGTTGTTGGCCACCCATCGTCTCATGTGCCGTGCCGGCCTTCGTAGGTGCTCGCTAACAGCACTTGCCCCTGCAGTGTGTTAATGCCATGAAGTTAACCTCACAATATTTGTCCTGTCAGATGAGGTAATTGATGCGGTTTTTTTTACACCATTGGAACAAGGAAGTCTTGAGGACAGGTTATTTAAAGTAGGCTCCTGCATTGGAACCAATGTCATTCAACCCAGGAGACTCGGGACTGATCCTATAAGTGTGGTCTTGCATTGCAATAATAATATCTTAACACCTGTATCATTGTCGGAAAGGGTAAAGCCTCATTATTTCTTATTCTTAATAATATAAACGTGTTCACTTTTCAAAAGGGCCCCGCATAGAAATAATAATGTCACTTATAAAGGAATGAGATTGCCTCACGTAGTCTCAAGAATTTCAGGAAGGTCCTTCTGCGTTAGGATGGTAATATGTTTCAAAGCCATTTGTCTACTCATTGCTCTGACGCGTGCAATACTCTCTTAGGTTTGACTCCCATATGTATAAACACCCAATTAATTGGCTGAAAACATCTTCCTATAGAGAGAACCGCAGAGCTTGGTGCAATTGTTGCCGTCTTCACCGCCTGGCTGCCTTTCAGATTGTCTTTGGCTCCTCGGCGCTTGATTTTGCGTGAACGACGACGCTGTTAGCAGGGTTGTGCCTGCGTATGGTGCGAAAGAAGTTCAACATACTGCGCGAAGGTCCTTCTCCGTACTTGGTCGGTTAGGCGGTGATGGTAGCGGTGGCCGGGAATCGAACTCAGGTGACCCGAGATATGGGCACAGTGCGCCGAACCCCTGTGCCAGCGAGCGATCCAACCCTATTATTAATTCCGTGTATTCAGGAAAGCCCCAGTGAGTTTCCAGGACTGTGAAGTATGGTCAAACATACCGCTATGTCCAATATACATAGCAGGGGCTTTCATCCAGCAGTGAATTGATAAAAGGCCGACCCATTACATTATACACATGGAAACGTTCTAGATATGCATATGACCATAAAACGATTTGTACTTTGACAGAGGAGGAAACTTTCTGTACTGCATGACTCTGCTTTGTTTCTGCCGGCATTGACTAGTTTCTGCGCTCGGTCCAGTCCGGTTTGTAGGGGATTTTAAACAATTGATGTCCATTCTGTTTAAATACTGCACAATACTGTATATGGGTAATGAACATCACGTGTGGAACATACCCGGCATCTTCAAAATGCCAGCACTATGACTAATATTGTACAGTGCCTAACTTATAGTTTCATCACAGCTACCTTCTGTAAAATAACTACAGTGCAACGTCGCAAATCCAGAATCGGAATCATAAAATATATTTATACTGGAAGAATCCGATGAGCTGCAAAGCTCTTTTTCACACAATCCGCCCTGATCAATTAACTTCCGATAACCCAGTATTTATGCATGGTATAACTGACCATTTTTTTATACAGATGTTCGCAAATCCAGCCTTCTCTTACATCTCGCGTACAATCACTTCTGAAGCACAATTGAGTATTTTTAGAGCAGTTTGCGCATTAGTTTTGTCCATGAACCTATTGGTGTGCACTCTTAAACTGCCATTCTCTCTGCTCCTTTTCACATTGCCAACATATCACATTTATTCCCTGCTTTATTTCCCAGAGAGGGGTTGTATGTGCGATGTTATACTCTGTGCATATTCAAAAGTCTCAAAGTGAATTCTTCCATCCATTTATATTTTCCACTGTGGTTGTTTTTTTGTCTTCTCATGGTTTCTCACTACCAGGCCAGCAGTAATCGACCTGCAAGACATCTGCTTACTTCGGGTGAGTGGAGTGTGTGTGTGTGTGCGCCCCTTACTCAAGTCTTATTAGGGTGTGGTCCTTGGGGTGTGGTTACTGACTACGTCCTAAGTGCTCATGTGAAGCCGGTCGTTATTGATCAAATGAACACAACCGTGCGCATCGTCTTCCACGACGTTTTCCCGCTGTTGTCGGGGAACCCACCGCAGCCACCCTCGCCAACGCTGCGGCGCCTGTTAACCGTTACGGGCCACGCGTTTTTCTGCTGCACAATGGGCGTTAAAGATTCCGTGGCTTCACTCGAAGACGCTTACGGCCATGTTGTGGCTTGTGCCACGTTTTCAATTTGCCATTTTGTAGGGAAGTCTGACATTGGTTGTCCTACGAGTAGACTCGATCCTGAGATGAGTCATAATAGCTGCTTACATGCTTGCGTCACACATTACGTGCCCGTTATAATAAGTACTGCACTGTAATAGCAAGTGCTTGGTTTACCCAGGAAAGGATCCGGCATTCTGATATTTAGCCAACGCTTAATAACGTACTCTTTGGTTCTATTCGGTAAAGTCACGTAGGTAAAAAAAAATAAAACAACAAAAATCACGACGTTTCGGCCACAACACAAGTGGCCTTCTTCAGGTGAAAGGAACAGACCTTGTGGTCGCGGCATCTTTTGAGGAAGGTCAGCGTCTCGATGAGCTGTGACTTCTTGTCTGGTTGTCTGTTAAAAGCTCTAACAGATAGGTGAAAACCCTCCCCGTAGAGGCTGTCAATTCTAGATTTGAAGCTTTCGTGACTGCAAGGATCCATACTCTTTGGTTATTTTTTTTTACCTACGTGACTTTACCGAATAGAACCAAAGAGTATGGATCCTTGCAGTCACGAAAGCTTCAAATCTAGCTTAATAACGTCGTGAGAAAAACAATGCAAGGCAGGAATTGAGCCCAGGTTCTTCTTACTTTGCCACCCTTGGACGGTCTGATGATTTACTGCCACCCATAGACATGTGGATTTAAGTAATCGATTCCTCTGCAGATAATTATCAGTCCGATTACTCAACTAATCTAAATAACACCAATATAGTTAGACTAAGTCTAACCTCTTTCTCCACGTTTGCTGCTGGACGGGAGGCCAGGGGATGGGTGGGGCTTGCTGACATCATAGTCATCGTCACGATGGGCACGATCCGGTTAAGTGTCCCAGCTACGCTTATATCTAGATTGAAAGCTCATTTATTCGGAACTGTTTCTTGCGTTTAGTTTTTTTCCCTCCACGTCCAATTATCACTGTTGGCTGCGCACGGTGCGAATGCCGTTGAACGTGCGTATTGCTGCGGAAGGAGCTGTGGCGCAGTGGTTTTGCGCACTGCGCTACGATAGCACACGGCGATCCGAATTCGACTCCCGGCCACGACTGACCCGTCAGTGGCGAGCGATGTCTGCACCGGTCTTGGCCCCCGCTACCCCTTTCTTGACCAACTCATATTGACCAGCCATGGTGCAAGTACGGTCAGACAACCCCTATCTAGCGGTTGCTTGACCAAGAGTGTGTGTTTCTAAAATGCAATTTATTGCTGATGTCCGATTGAACATCTTGCAAATGGTACTTGTTTTCCCACGTGAGTTCTCACCCTGGTGAAGTCACTCTATCGGGTTAAGTTAAACCTTATGTATATTTAAGCAATTTCCTAACTGTGCAGTTGACAAACTGAAACCTTCCAAAACGTTTCGCTAGCATGGAAGGGTAAACCAAATACTCTTAAAAGGGGTGTTCCAGACCTCTCTTTAATGCAGGCTATTCTGCCAGCAGTGGCATGAGCAATAAAAAAAATTCAGAAGCAACCTGGCCACAAATGATCTCCCAATGAAGTGGCATTTGTGAACATTTATAACAGCCAAATACTCTAAACTCGTGTTTGTAAATGTGGAGGGAAATACCGGAGGACCTGGCGAATAATCCAAGTGATCACGGGAAGATAGACACGCAAACTCCAAATATGTAGGTGTCAGGTTTGGGATCGTACCCACGACCTCCTGTATAACAGGCGAGGTAATTAACATCTCACCGCCGTGGTGCCAGGCAGCGCTGCACCTTTACATTATGAACTGAAATTATTTGGATTGGTCGCAGGGTCACCATAACGTCGCGATTGTTTTTTTGGCTGGGCCCGGCTGTTTGTTTGGGAGTGCATTTAAACAGTATCCCAAGGGCTATCATCCACTTTTAGATTCGTAGGGACTGCCGGATCTCCCAAACGGCAGTACCAGCTCGCCCAGTTTCCAGATGGCCTAGAACGGTGATTCTTAACCCGAGGTGCACGCACCCCCTTGGTATGCGAGGTTAAGAACCGTTGGCCTAGAATGTGCAGTCGTTTTTTGTATGTTGGGGAGTTTAAAGGTTATTTTGTTTAACTAGGTGAAAACTTTGAAGACCAGGATAGTCTTAAATTTGCAAGTGTGACCCGGGGTATTAGTCTGCCAGTAGGGGAGTGATGATTGCTCTGCTTATACAAAAATTGGTGATTTGTCGGTAACTTTAGAATTTGTAACGTTTGTGTTGAGCTGCATTGTGTATATGTTCATGGTGAGGCTGGCGATTGAGCCATTGGGTGGCTTCAGGAGTAGCCAGGTGAATATCTGAAAGTAAAAAAGTAAAAACTGATTTCCTGCTCAAATGAGCATTGAGGTGGTGCTCATCTGTTTAAAGCACTGAGCCAGTGAGTCTATGGATAGAATAACCACTCTTGACTTCTCCACCAAGTGACACTTATTTTATCAACCCCTAACAATGATGGGCCGAGTCGAACTGCAACCAGGATTTGAACTCGCAAACCTCTCAATTGTGAGTCGTTCACTTTACCGACGAGCCACTTGGCCGGATATTTGCAATGCCGTCAGCGAATGTTCGAAGCGAGCAGCGGTAAACTATCTCATCCACGGTTTAAGGTATTAATTCGCAGAGAGATTTATCGATTTGCATAGCGATCCGTACACTCGTATTAACACCGACAGATGCGCATAGATGCCCCATAGACTGACGTAGAAGACCCATAGACCTACATTAACACGTCGTCTGTATGGCGGAGAGTTAATCAGCAACGTCCATATGTTCATGTTGAGTTTGCTGAGTGAACCACGAGGCGGTTTTCAGGAGTTGCCTGGTGAATAACCCATTATTCTTCCAGTGAATAATTCAAGCAGGCATAGGTGTTACTCTGTGGTCCATATATTTGCGTTCGATAGGAGTAAATGTGGTTGAGATGTCTTCACGACTTTGGGATCAATATAAAATGTTGAAAATTGGGTATCGTTAGGACACATATTGGACGATCTTAGATATGTGTTTTGTTTCGGATTCATAAAAAAAATATGACCTCATGGGAAATTGCGTCACATATTATGTCACGAATATTCCTTTTCTGCCTTCATTGGTGTCATGTGGCATCAGGTGACATAAATTGACCTCTGAATTATTTAGCTGTGCAACGGCATCGACTGTTGGCTGATGAATTGCTTTTTTGCCACCATTCAATGCTTTTGATGGACAGTCAGCGGTTGACTGTGCTCCATCCTATATGTTCCACTCCGCAGTCACAGCCCAGCAAACGTTCAACACTGGGCCAACGTCGGCAGGTAGTTGGAACCGTCGGACCAACGATGGATGGACATTGGCCAAAAACGTTTCACTTTTACTGGGAGGTCGTCGCGAAAGCATTGGCATCAAGTGCCCAAGGAATTAAAAAAAATACTGTAAACTTACCATACGGACAGAGCAATGAACGCGCGTTTGTACCTCTGCCATAGAAATATGACGGGCAGTGCAAACCGGCGATGCACGCGTGTTCGTAGACCCGTACAAGAATGCTAATGCGATAAGGATGCCGCATTGCACGCCACGTGATGTGTGCCTGCCGCCGAAGCAACCGACGGCACGGTTGTATCAGGTTCGATCGAGATGTCATCGTCGCCAAAGCCCTTGATGCTACCGTCACTGCCACCACACCTCGCCAACGCTTTCTAACCTCTGCTAGATACCGCAGCTGCTACGCAGTTGACACGCAGTGACCTCCAAGGTCTGCCCTGACAGCGTCCCGTCATCTTCTCTTAGGTGTTCTCTTCCCCTTTGTCGCTAGACACTGAGGACGCGCTCCCGACTTTTGTACGAAGACAAAAAAATCAAACCTACATTCAAAATCTCAGACAATCCAAAGCATGTAGGTACAGGTGAATGAAATTCAGATGCAGTGATTATTTATTACTATAATTTAGCAATTTACAGATGAGTACGTTGAAAACAGTCTGGATTGTTAAAGTATGTAGCCAATATGCTGGTAGGGGCACACGTACGGGTGACAGGGCTAGTAGTGGTACCCGCATACTTCACAGGGCTTGTAAGGGTACACAGATGGTTGGTAGGGCTAAGCGGGGTACCAACAACAGGTCACAGGGCTGGTATTTATACCCGGATATTTCACAGGGCTTGTAGGGGTATGCAGACGGTTACACCAATGCCAAACTGGTCACAAAAGTCATTTCAATGGGGAACGTCCAAGCGGCGGACCTGCGCAATGATTTTAACCGTGTGTTACCTTGTACTGTACTGCCGGTCCACGCAACATTGCGGCATAATACATTGCGCATGTGACGCTTGTGCAACAACGTGGCTGTGGGCCCTTTGAGTCATGAGCAGCAAGGTCATCCAACTGTAGCGCCGTCGATGGCTAGTTTTGTCCGTCCTGTGTCCTCGTGTCCGCGTGCAATGACGAGCAAAGGTGATTCTAGAATGGAGGGAGACGGACACCGAATCGTTAGTTAAATGCGGTAATTCGATACGAGAAGGGTTGGAACATTTGCGCAGTGGGCAGAGCGCTGAACCCAGCGACCTGAGTTCCAATCCCGGCCACGGTTATCGTCAGTGGCGAGTGATAACTGAAACACTTTTTGAGTCCCCTTCGTGGTGAAGTACGTTCTAACGACCCCTGTGTTTGATGCTGTATTGGGGGGGGGGGGGGGGGAACCTTGATCTAGCAAGTGGTGTATTGTCAGCGGGCTTTAATTTTCTGCACAATGTGAATGGTTCCAGACTTGCAACTCGCTATTTGTCAACGTTTGATGACACTTTGAAAAATTCAAGTCGGAGCGATTTGCCTGCCAAATGAGCATTGGAGGTGGTGATTTTCGACTCTCCTGTTTACAGCTCTCAGCCACTGATGGAATTTCCACATTCCTATGACGGGGACGAGTCTTTAGGATAACCACCCTTGACTTCTCCACAAAGTGGTACTCATTTAACTGACCTCGAAAGGATGATGGGCTGAGTCATAATCACACTTTTCTATATTTAGTGGTGTAATTGTGCGTAAGACAAACAGTGCAAATAAAAAAACAAGATATTGGCTTTGATTTAAAGCTTTCGTGACTGCAGGGATTCATATTCTTGGTTCTTTCGGTAAAGTCACGTGACTTTACCGAAAGAACCAAGAATAAGCTATTGGCTCTTAAGCGTCACGATGCGTGTGTGCGTTGAATTGCGCACGTAAGAATCTGCGTTTTTTTATGTTCGTGTACGGTGCGTGTCATTGGGATACGTGCATTTAAGTGAGAGAGGGAAAGCGCCCCCGTGAGCTTGACTCTGCCGTGACGAGAGATGCAAAATTTAAAGGCCCCCGAGGTCAGAAAACCTCATCGTAAGCAGATTTAAAATTAGTATTCTGTGCGAGCGGCAGGCCTGCCAGCCTGCTCGATTGTCGCGTTACTTTGTAAGGCCCGGTTGTGTTGTCAGCTACAATAGCTTTCTGTGGGGTGGGGGGCGGGGGCACGTGCACGCTGCGAGGCCATTCATGGGTTATTTTGTCATTTTCACCGAATTCTATCCCAGCTATGCTATCGGCGTCGTGTCTCGACGAAGGTCCTTGCAGAGTTTGCTCGATTAAAAATAATAATTGCTCGATAACTTCGGTCTGGGAAGCCAACAGGCTGTGTACATATGTTCAGCTTCCTTCGCACCGTACAGAGCCAACCGTGCTAATCGGAGGCTGATGGGTTAAAGCAATATTTTTTGTGTATATATTGCCATACGGAAGAATATTTTTTATTTGCATGTGGAGACACAAACTTCTGTTTAAATGTTCTTTTGTTATGGACAAACTTGCACAGGTTAATTACATGAAATGAAACTATGAATAATCTTGATTTGAAGCTTTCGTGACTGCAGGAATCCATGCTCTTTGGTTCTTTCGGTAAAGTCACGTGGGTAGATAAAATCAAATAGATCACGACGTTTTGATCTCTCACCTGAAGACGGTCGCTTGTTGTTGCGATCGAAACGTCGGGATCTGTTATTTTTTCTACCTACGTGACTTTATAGAAAGAACCAAAGAGTATGAATAAAATGTAAGCGGTCTTAGGCAGGACACGTCATGGCTCAAAGGGATGATGGGTCGATGGTCAAGAATAATAACGGAGTGGCAGCCAACGAATGGAACTCGTGGAAGGCAACGTCTAGCAAGGAGATGGAGCGATGAAATAATCTCGTGTGCAGGTGCTGCGCGGATTATTACATCAAAAGATTGCGGTGGCTTCGGGAGGCCTTCATCCAGAAGTGGATTGACCATGCTGGATGGTGATGATGATGATGTTACACTATGTATTTCAGGAGCTACATTGTCATCTACACCAAAGCAGTTGACAAGTGAAAACCTTCAACCGTAAGTCATGACAATACATGAACACAAGGCACGGCTCCCAAATTACGTATGGGAGGGAAGATGGTTATAAGCGCACTTCCTCGAAGCACGTGTAAGCTGAGAGCTACACACTCGGAATTCCATGGAGAGACAGAAAGAGGGGGCACGGTGCATTGGAGAATGTACGCGGGTTAATGACCTCATTCACACTGCAAAGAAAAAGTAAGTGGCCTTGGGCGGGACACTTCATGGCTCCGAGGAATGATGGCCATCGAGGGCCTCCACTCGAGGGAGCTCCAGAGAACCGCTTTTTATTTCATAGCTCTGTTGCAAATGCAGGGACTCCTCTACTTACGAACATTCGACTTATGAACTTTTAGAGATACGGACTAACCTGGTCCGTATGTTCAGTTGCCTGTTCGGACAGAGAGTCGTAAGTTCAACAGTCGCGCAATAGATGGCGGCGGTGGCTTCTGCATCTGCAGCACATGAAGAACCAGTGGCATCTACAGGAGATTATACAACGTTGAAAGCCATTCCCCGTGTTTAGCGCACACGCCTAACGACACGTTTGGAATCGACAGGAGTAAAGTTGGTCTTACGAACAAAGCGACTTGCGAACAGACCTCTGGAACCTAACTCGTTCGTAAGTAGGAGTCCCGTTGCCAGGGTTGCAGCCAAGCGATGGAACGCGTCCTAGAGGATGTCCATTGAGGAGATGGAGCAATGAAATCGTCTTGTGTGTGAGCACTCTGAGGGTTTTTGCATCGCCGGATCATGAGAGATGGCAACAGCTTGTCACGGCTTTCATCTAGCAGTGGATTGATCATGGCTGACGATGATCGCAGATCAACATTTGAAGATTATTTATTGCTTCGTTGCGTGTTGGCGCTCATGTAGGGCGACAGGGTGGCGGAGAGGTAGCACTTGTGCCTCGCAGTAAGAAGAACCCGGGTTCAAGTACAGACTTGGGCGCCTTTCTATGTGGAGTTTGAATGTTCTCCCCCAGTGCGGCATGAGTTTCTTCCGGGTTCTCCGGTTTCCTCCCATAGGAATAAAAAAACAAGTAACAATGCAACTGCTATTGGCCAAAACATCCCAATACTGAAAAACTCCCTGCAAGATTTACTCAGTTGGGATCGCACACAGCAGCAACATCTCACCCCCTTCTGCGAAAAGTTGCCATGACCCTCCTTAAATAGAGCCTTGAAACTCGGTGAGACGTTCGTGGGTAAACCAGCGTCATAATAATAATTATAAAATCATGTTCTCATAGGAAGTAAATGTTAAATGAATGAATGTCCATCTTCTCACTTCTGACACTGCAGGCAGAGAGGTGTATTGTGGGAAAACTGGAGTGTCCGGAGCTTCAAAACCTCTGCGTATTTCTGTAAGTTCGCTGGCCGTTTTTCATTGCAATTAAACACAACATTCGCCTTGTTGCGTCAAACGATTAAGTCAGATTCATGAACGCGCACGGAAAATGACAGTTGCTGTGGACGGTTAATGGGTCGGGCACCGATGCGATGCGACGGTCGGATATGCGACGCTGTACCCCTTGTGAGTGCGCGGTGTGTGCGTCTCTCGTGCGTTTGATCTCAACAGGCGAGGAGGTCCGCGTGATTAACACGCCGGCCTTCGCGGAGTCGGTCACAGAGGGCGACGTCAGGTGGGAGAAAGGTACGGCTGGACGCATTCATTTTTCGTTCCCTCCCATATGTTTAAAACAAAAAAATTGGAGTAATAATGGAAAGTTGTTACGCGCCACCGCACGGTATTTGCTCGCTCTCGAAGGGAGAGAACGACTCGGAGGCGCCGGGGAACCGCGGACGAGTGGGAAGGCAGCAGCCGCGCCCCAGGTGGTTAGGCCGGCGCCAACAATTGCCCAAGCTCTGCGGTCCTCCGTGTATGTTTGGGTGTTATCGGCAAATGAATGGGTGTTTTTACATGTGGGAGGAGGCCGGAGCGCCCCGAGAAAACCCACGCGTGCGAGGGGAAAAACATTCCATCCCTTACAGACGAACAGGGCGAAGTCCACACTTTTGCCGCACTGCCTTCTCCTATGAAGCCGGCGTATGGCACCTCGATGCCCACGGAAAAGGGAGTTTAGCAACATGTGTGAGCGATCTACCAAGCCTCGCTGCCTCCACAGTGCTTGATTACAAGCCACGTGCTTAGCCGCCACCACCGCCGCCCGGCAAAACCGCGTACCTGGCGACCGCCATGCACCCGTTGTTTGCGGCGCTGGTGGTTGCCCATCCGAGCGATTGTCCAGCGTCAACAACCTTGTTTGTCTTCTGAGACCTGATGGGATCGGGCGCAATCCGGGCGCTTTTGGTCGTAGGCGTCGGTACCGGGGCGTGCCGCGGTGTTTGCGTTGGGGGAGGGGGGGGGGGGCGTCGCAATGCGTGTATGAATGTTTTTTGGGTGGTGCGTGCGCCTTGCCGCGCGAGATTTACGTGAGATATTTGTCATTGCAGCCGTGGGCGACTTTGTCAAGGAAGATGAAGTTGTGTGCGAGATTGAAACCGACAAGGTGAGACACTTGGCATCCGTCCTTGCCCGTGCCATGCTCGCAGCATCTCTTCCCGTGCCAAGCTCCTCCTCCATGTTGACATTCCTGTTTCCGTCGGCAGTGGCAGAACACGCGTGCAAACAAGGACACTCAATTGATTTCGATAACGTTGGAGTTCTGTGCAAAACTAGTTTCTCCTGGCCAAGACTAATTAGAGAATCTATCGAAATTGAGAGAAATGAAAATAATTTTAGCCGTTCGGATAGCTACAGCCTTCGCCCTACTTGGAAGCTAATTATCAAATAATACATTGTTTAAATGCATGGATTACCTTTGAACAGACAATACAGTTACTGCTATTTTAGTGCACTCAATCGACAGGAGGCACAAGAACAATGGGCTTGCATAATTCGGATGCATAATGTAAGTTGATTACCATATAAATAGCCCAAGCGGAAATGGGTACCCACTTCGCTCAAGAAGGGCTCATAAGTGATGTCATCACATCGACCCCTCTATTTAAGGAACGAAACAGGAGGATTTCTCCACAAGTCTGGCTGTTGCCTGATGAAGCTGGTTGTAATTACTGGTGAAACGTCGTACTCAGACTGTAAATGTTGTGGCTTGGCTCTCCAACACGCCGGTGTGCTGTACTAGTGACGAATTGGCCACGTTCTGTTTACGTGACAAACCTTACAAATTGGCTGTGCCGGGTGGTGGCGGGTTTAACGACACATTTATATATTTACGCGATCTAACCCAAAAAAACCTGTATAATGGATGATATTGGCCGCGAAAGCCTACGTGTTAAACTCTTCTTGATCTAACTTGATTTTATATGTCTCTCTTGGCCGCTGGTTTGCAGACTTCCATCCAGGTGCCGGCCCCGTCAAGTGGGGTGATCCAGGAGCTCCTGGTGGAGGATGGGGGCAGGGTGGAGGCTGGGAACCCGCTCTTCAAACTCAAGATCACCGGTACGATGCGCACACACACAGACAAAGATCCCGCCGTATAGCCTTTAACAGACTGTTGGGACGAGCGAGCGACGCCTACGAATGTTGGCGCGGCACACGAGGCGGTGGGTGGCCGGCACCACCTTTGTCTCCCCAATGCTGATGTTTACCCACCGCAGCAGATGCTCATTTTAGACCCTAGTAGACCTCGGTGAGCCCACGGACGGGTTAAAATATCCGCCGGTGTTATTGCTCACGAGCGGGAATGGACCACGGCTCGTCGGGTTCATAGCGCGGTGCGCTGACCGTTGTGCCACCGTTCCCCCACAACACACACACGACAAAGGTTCCTCGTATAGCCTCAACGAACCTTTGTCCGGCGAAAAACATACATGCAAATAACCACAGTAACTATATAACACTGGCGTGCGAAACCTAAATGAACAGAATTAAAAGAAAATAAACATAATAAATGTACAAAACGAAATGAATAAACAAAACTAAATAAATCAACAAAATTATACCTTTAAATATTTTTATTCTTGCATAAGTTAACACTAGTATTATAATAAATTTTGATTTGAAGCTTTCGTGACTGCAGGGATTCATATTCTTGGTTCTTTCGGTAAAGTCACCATGTAGAAGGGAAACAATAAAATAATAACAATATAAACCAATAGTATTATACTGTTATCACAAATGTTTGCAGTATAATCACAGAAATAAGTACAGTATTAATAATATATGAATAAACACAAATATAAGAGATGGTCACTGAACGACTTCTATTCAAAGGCTGAACGAAAAAAGACGGCGGGTGACAGCGAAAGTCGTGGAAGGTTTGGGATGAAATCAGACGAAAGCGCGTGGACGAAATTTGAAATGTGGTTATCATTGAAAATGGCAGAAAGGGCGAAGCGATGAATGTCAAGGTATTCTTAGCTCTTTCGGTAAAGTCACGTTGAAGGGAAACAATAAAATAATAAAATATATATATATGACACCTGATGACGACCGTTTGTGTTATGGTCGAAACGTCGTGAGAATTTTCATTGTTTTATATATATATTTTATTGTTTCATTGTTTCCCTTCAACACGTGACTTTACCGAAAGCGCTAAGAATACGAATTACTGCAGTCACGAAGGCTTTAAATCGAAAAATGAAAGTCAAGGTGTTGCCGCTGCCTTTTGTTACGTCGCAGACGCGGGAGCTGCTGCTGCCGCCGTCGCCACCAAGCCTGCCGCGCAAGCTCCTGCTGCCGCAAAACCAGCGGCAGAGGCGGCTGCCCCGCAGGCGCCCTCAGGAGCTGGGCCCATCCCAACCACGATGCCACCTGTGCCACCTGTGCCCAAGAAGCCACTGGAGTCGACGCCCGGTAACGGTCGTTTTGTCGCCTTTTTCGCCGCGCTTTCTTGCCAGGTTTGTTTTCGGCCTGATCGGACGCCAAAGGGAAGAAGAATTGTACGACTTGCGAGAAATGGCGCAAGCTCGTTTGAAGATGGGGCTTGTTGTGATTCCGATGAAGTGGGGGATTTGATGCTGAGCGTTACCTACAGTTTGATGAGATCGCGTGAACAATCATTGCTTTGAATGCGAATCGGAATCTTTATTTTAGACTGGAGAAATCCGATGAGCTATGAAGCTCTTTTTTTTTTTTTACAGATCTCCAGTATGGGTGTGGGTCAGCTTTGGGCTGAGGGTGGGGGGTGAAACGTTCCAAGCCGGATAATAAAGAATCTGTAATAATCAGACGATTAACAAAATAATTAAGCGGATGTTTTATCTCCATATAGTCGGCCCCGCCACGTTTAAAAGATTAAATATATTTTTACACTTGCAGTCAACCACGCAGCCTTCTGGGAGTGCAATAATACCCGAAGCATTGGTTAAGTGCAAGCACAACTCTGGACCAGTTTCGACACTCGATGTAACCCCAGCAGTCGGGCTCGCTTGAGCCAATGCTGATGTGAACTGTCAGTTGTATATAGGCTTGTCCCTTTTTTAAGATACGGGTCAGAAGATTTTGGAAACAACGCAACGCAATCATGAGTGTTGTTTTGGAGAATATAAGTAACAAAAAAAACCTTGAATTTTGATTTAAAGCTTTCGTGACTGCAGGGATTCATATTCTTGGTTCTTTCGGTAAATTCACCATGTAGAAGGGAAACAATAAAATAATAAAAATATAAAACAATAAAATTCTCACGACGTTTCGACTGCAACACAAGCAATCATCATCACTTTTTTTAAAATTTCCTTGCTTGTGTTGCAGTCGCAACGTCGTGATGATTTTATTGTTTTATATTTTTATTGTTTTATTGTTTCCCTTCTACGTGACTTTACCGAAAGAACCAAGAATATAAAAAAAACCTTTCTCCAATAATGAGGTTAATGATTAGTTTTGTCTGAATTAGGTCAGTATGAGCTGTGGAAGAGTAGGCCAAATGCCCTCCAGAGGGGCTCTCTAGAGCTTCCTCCAGCAGGGCAAACCCTTTCTCCTGCAGTGGAGTAGGCTATACATTCCAAAGGGCTGCACTTTTACCCTACCGTCTGAGACGTGGACACGCGGTTGGAGCTGGTGGGCATGCGTGACTCCACCACCAGATGGCGTGGACGTGGCATCGGAACAGGCCCTGGGGAGGTGGTGACTTGAGTCACGAGGGCGGATGTCGGGGCCAGTCTTAACACCGTGTGGATTTATATCGCGTCTCGAGACGCTGCACAGAGACAGTGGGCGGGTTGATTGGAGAGCGGCGGTCGGTCGTAGCCACAGGGGACAATGGAAGGTTTTGAGCCTGGACTTGAACGGTGGCAGGGAGTCGACAGCACGGATGACCTGGTGTGTGGGTGGGGAAGGGGGTTCTAGACAATGGGAGCAGCATAGGAGAATGAGCGAACTTCCCACTGAGTGATGGTCGACCGGGGGCCTTCGACAGAAAGCCTTGGTCGTGGAGGGGAAAGTGGAGTGGAGTACAGGCAGTCCCTGGGTTATGGAAGGGTTAGGTTTTCGAGAACGATCTGTAACCTGAATTTTCCGTATGTCGGAAACTGAACAATCTTCCCCGCAAAATCAACGATAGAATCCCATAGCCGGAAATAGTTGTGCCTCCCCTACCCGATTGCTGGGTTCGTTTTCTCTCGGTATTGTATCTTGCTGTCATCCGTTTTCTGTCGCTTCCTGTATCGTATTGCTGTCCATAGACTCTGCACTTCCTGTGATTCTTTCATTTGATCGAATATCAACCCTAGCACTACCCATAATGAAATTAGTGGAACATATACTGTACCCAATTGTTTATGAATACCACGAAACATGTTAATATTAATTGTTAACAGAAAGCAGTACCTTCCAAATGTTCCGTTGACCGTGCATTATTCTAGGCCTAGACATCTCCAATCCCAGTTGGCTGAGACCATAAGCAGTCGAAGTGTAATTGTTTTAAATAAATAGCTCATTAAATGAAGTAAAAATGAATAAAACTAGCAATAGAAACATGGGGGTTAAAAGATAGGTCTAAGCATAGAAAACAAACAATTACGTAATGCAACAAAATGCTATAAAAAAAAAATTCCATTTACCTTAATCCTGGTAAAGCCCGGGTTCGGTGTGAAGGCGGCGTTTGTGGCGGAGCGAGGCGTAAGGCAAGGGCCGCCTTACGCCTCCCTCCGCCGGTATTCACCCGCAACATCGCCGTGCGGCACTGCTGGCGCTCGCGTGACGAACGCAAACCTTTCCGCATGTTGATTTATTTTGTTTATTTGAACATGATTGAGTGAGACCAGAGGGGAAAGAGTTGGCAGAGCACGTAGAGTGAGACGAGAGGGCAGAGGTAGGCAGGAGTGAGCCCACGGAGGATCCGTGGAGACGGTGAACCTCATACTCGTTGGTTCTATTCGGTTAAGTCACGTAGGTAAAAAAAATAAGACAACAAAAATCACGACGTTTCGGCCACAACACAAGCGGCCTGCATCAGGTGAAGGGACCAGACTGTCTCGAGGACAGCGCCGCTTGTGTTGTGGCCGAAACGTCGTGATTTTTGTTGTTTTATTTTTTACCTACGTGACTTTACCGAATAGAACCAAAGAGTATGGATCCTTGCAAGTCACGAAAGCTTTATATCTAGAACGGTGAACCTCGTGCTTAAAATTGATCCGGGATTGGATTGGCGAGCCGGTGGAGGGATCGGAGGAGTACCGGGGTGAGCGTGGTCTTGTTTATCCACCGCGACCGCTTGGTCACTTTGACTGTTGCCGTAACTCATTTTCAATTGCGGTGACCCCACCCACCACCACGACCACCACCACACCCCCCCCCCCGGCTGCCCTCGCTCACTGGCCACATTTCAGGATTCTCCGGTGGCTGCGGGTCCCGCCAACAGAACTTGCGGCTGTGTCCTCAGTCCGCACACACGGCAAGATAAGCGAACACCTCTGCCGTGGGATATCGAAGGATGCGATCAGATGTGCGCATTCAACGATATAAACATCGATCGATTAGAATCGACTCTTACGCCGCCACCCCCCCCCCACCGCCTCCCCAGTGCATCGATTGCATTGTGCATTCCCGTTAGTTTGTATTCGATTCGTGTGCGGTTGGTTCGCGTTGACCACCTGCAGCCACCGTTTTCCACGATGTCTTAACATCGTGACCCTGAATCCGTGTCGGTTCGTCACGTCTCAACAAGGGAGACGCGGAATCCTCGTGGCGGGTAATAGCTCGATTACCAGTGCCTGTTTGCAATCTGCAAGGGTAACTCTATTCGGTTAATTGTGCCAAATAATGGTCGTGATTTCATTTGACGATCGATTATTTTCACACTGAACGCGCCACCTGGCCCTGCTTGGCCCCGAGCCAGCCCCTCCACGGTTTGGCGTCCGGCTCGGCAAATTACCCAGTGGGGAAAAAAGCCCACCCGTGCCGTGATGGCCCCGTGCCAGCCATCTTATCCCTGTCGGGGTGCGGGGGGTGAAGGGCGGGTGTGAACGTAAAGGCACCGTGAGATCAAAATGTTCCCGCGTGCTTGCGTGTTTCCACAGTGGCCGAAGTCCAAGTGACCGCGGCTGTCCCGTCGGGTGCCGGCGCTATCCCGACGCGAGGGGAACACCGCGTAAGAACATTCCCCTCCCCCCAGACGCACGGTGGAAAACGATCGCGGTGACCGCTGGCGCACGGAGGGCACCGGTTGCGCAACAACATGTGGAGATTGGATTTTTTTGTTTTGCGGTTTCCGAACGGGAGGCCCTTAAGCCTGTAATGCAAAGCAGCCGGCAACAGAGCGTAGAGCTGGAGGAAGAACATATGAGGCTAGCGTTGACGAGATGACTTGAGTTTAGTCGGGTCATTCGAGGTTCTGCCTGGCGACCCCATCTGGCCAGCAGTAGAGGGGGCTGCTCGCAATCGGAAGGTTGAGAGTTCAAATCCTAGTTGGGGGGTTGGCTCGGCCCACCATTCCCCCCCAGGGTCGATCAACGGAGTACCGCTTTGTGGGGAAGTCGGCAGTGGTTGGTCTATCGTAAGACTCGCCCCCACCAGAGGAATGTGGAATTTCCACCTCTGGCTCAGGACTACTGGGCCCCATGATGATCACGGAGAGCTCTTGCTCATGAAGTCTGGCAACACGGCAGCATTTGTTTAACAGGCTGCACGCTGCTGATGAGGCAAAAAAAAGACAAAACCATTTCTTCCCATTTAATTCCCGCAAACTCAAAGAAACATTTACCTCCGCGTTTTTGGGGTGCTTTTAAACGACACGGCATATCAAGAGTGCATTTCATCTCAACCTTTTCCAAGGGCGCCCCCGGCGGCAGACGTCCCTGGTGGCACCAGGTGAACCCGCACCGGCCTGCAAGCGGGCGTTAGTCTGCCGATATGGGGCGACGATTGATACGTGTAATCCGAAATTCTTTCTGTCGGGTGGGTGCCCACGCAGGTGAAGATGAACCGCATGCGGTTGCGGATCGCCCAGCGTCTCAAGGATGCGCAGAACACCTGCGCCATGCTCACCACCTTCAACGAGGTGGACATGAGGTGAGCGCGTAGCCCTTGACCTGCTCGCTATCTGCCTGCTGCCCCCCCCCACGTCTCGGTACGGCACTTCGAACGTTGAGCCAATGTTGGGGCAACGTTGGGCCGACGTTTCAAACCACATACCAACGTTGGCCTAACATTGCATGTTTCTGTAAAAGGGCTTATTATTACTATTACTCTTGTTTACCCAGGAAAGCCTAATCGAATCTGAAGGAACTTAAAAAAAAAAGCTGAACTGTTTTTATTTTACCAGGTAAGGCACACTGAGCTACATAGCTGGCCGCAAATTATAGCTCAACGAAGTGGCTTATTATCATGCAGATTAACAAAACGGCCGGTACAAACTCTATACTCGATACTCTTTGGTTCTTTCGGTAAAGTCACGTAGGTAGAAATAAAATAAGACAAATCTCGACGTTTTGGTAGAAAGTATGCTACTAGGGGGTGATGTTGCTGTGGCTATTACCCAGTTAATTAAGTTGCTGTTAATTTTAAAAATGTAGCAAAAATTTTGGGCCGTGACGCCGGCACACAAAACGGCCCACTCTTACGAATGATGTCACGGGATCCTTAACGGACGGTGCGTAGTGCGTTTATGGTTAATGCACCCGCGGTGATAACCAGGGCGGGCCTGCCGGATTCGCACCGCGTACCCTCTGCATCAAGCGGCGAACGCGTTATCGCCGGGCCGTGCCACCGCAATGCAATTGGGCTGACCGCAATTAAGTTGATCGGCAGGTCGTATGCGCTGGGGTAAAGTGTGGGATCTTCCACACCTTCCCAACACACGTCTGGCTACGGCTGGTCTGGCTTCCCAGCGTAATCCTCTTCGCCGTGATTGTCATGGGAGGTGGAATTGACCCCTCTCCTGTCTTTTGGGTAACCATGGTTTTTCCAGGACACGCCTCGTGTGTGACCATATTTGGGCCAGTCCAATTCCAATGATAGCCTTATACATGGAACGTAGCCAAGAATCCTTGAAGCTATGCATTTGAGCTTTTAATTTGCCAGGAATTCCTGAACCTTTGCACTAAAGCTTCAGTTTTTTTTAATATGGCTTAAGAAATGCTTAGAATGCAACTCCTTCAAAATTAGCGTTGCAAAATTTTATTGCATAGCTGTCAATCCCATATTGGTGCCCTACCTTATTTCAGACCAATTCAGACCTTATTGGTCACCCCGTGCCCTAATACATCTCAACGTTCATCCTACAAAGTCCCATGACATGGGAGAAACACAAAAAAATTGATGAAGAAATATATTTTTTGCCCGTATTTAAACGGCTGTACGCCATATGGACCTGAACTCCATTTCCCTGTACAAGAATACGGGTGAACAGTATGGGTTGACAGGTTTGTTATCGTGTACTGGTGGGCCATCATCCACTGCTGGATGAAGGCCTCCCCAGGGTGCCGCCACTCCCTCTTGTGATCCTGCAACGGAACAGTCCACCTAACACCTGCACACAAGCTGATTTCATCGCTCCATGTCCTCCACGGATGTCCTCTCAAGACGCGTTCCATTCCTTGGCTGCCCACCCTGTTATTATCCTTGGCCCCATCGTCCATCGTGATGTCATTAATCCGCACATGTTCACTAATCCACGTGTTTCCCTTTCTGTCTCTCAAGTGTAATTCCAAGCGTGCATTTCTCCAGTATGGGACCCACGGAGCCTTGGCGATTGTTGCCTCTGGCTATCTTCACCTATCTGCGTGATTTCCCACTTCTCCGAACCAGTCTCTCTCTCCCCCTCTCCGATTTAATAATCGAGAACCGCGTTCCGAAATTTCACCGTCGCTGACGATCATTTTTTGGCGCCCCCTTTGCAGCAACGTGATGGAGATGCGGAATCGGCACAAGGACGTGTTCTTGAAGAAGCACGGCCTCAAGCTCGGCTTCATGTCGCCCTTCGTCAAGGCCGTGGCTTTCGCCCTGCAGGAACAACCCGTCGTCAACGGAGGTACTCCCCTCCACCCAAGGCCATCGAAACGTCCCAAATGCTAGGAAAACAAACCTTGGGGGGGTTGGGGGGGGGGGATCCTGGCGCCTGGTGGGATGACAAGAACGTGGACTCATCCGAACGATCGGGGAGAGGAAGGACATCTGTATTGGTCTGGTGGTTAGTGAGAGGGGAATGAGCTGAAGGAGATGATTGGCCTGGTGGTTAGTGAGAGGGGAATGAGCTGAAGGAAGTGCTTGGCCAAGTGGTTAGTGAGAAGGGAATGAGCTGAAGGAGGTCATTGGCCAAGTGGTTAGTGAGAGGGGAATGAGCTGAAGGAAGTGCTTGGCCAAGTGGTTAGTGAGAAGGGAATGAGCTGAAGGAGGTCATTGGCCAAGTGGTTAGTGAGAAGGGAATGAGCTGAAGGCGGTGACTGGTCAAGTGGTTAGTGACAGGAGAATGAGCTAAGTGATTGGCCTGGTGGGCAGTGAGAAGGGAATGATCTGAGGGAGGTGATCGAGGCAAGATTCTTGGGGGAGAGACGAAGATGAAGGAAAGCAATGGCGTCCCGGTGTGGCAGTGAAAGCGGGTTACATTTCAACTCAATCCGCACGTGGCGAGAAAGCGAGCGCCGGGTCTTAACGCGAGGGGCTGGTGACGCGCGCACGTCACCGCGGCGCTGACTGCGAGCGTGTGTGCGCTGTGCGCCCCCATTCTCAGTGATCGACGACGTGACGAAAGAGATCGTGTACCGGGACTACATCGACATCAGCGTCGCTGTGTCGACCGCCAAGGTAACGCGACGACGGTGGTTTTTTGCGTGCTTTCGTTTCGCGCCGACCTTCCCGTCGTGCGTCGTGCGCCGTGCGCATGTACGTACGTTGAGCTTCTTTCGTACACCCGTACATAGCCAACCGTGCTAATCGTCAGCCCATGTTGAGGACTCGTGACTACCAGACTCATCAACACCACGTTCAACCACCACACTGCACACCCACTCACTCGCCACACTGAAGGTCACAGCAATGCCCTCGCTTGCTCACTCATTCGCCACACTGAAAGTCACAATAACACGCTCGCTCACTCACTCACTCGCCACACTGCAGGTCACAATAACACACTGGCTCACTCACTCACTCGCCACACTGCAGGTCACAATAACACACGCTCACTCACTCGCCACACTGCAGGTCACACTAACACACTCGCTCACTCGCTCGCCACACTGCAGCTCGCAATAACACACTCGCTCACTCACTCGCCACACTGCAGGTCACAATAACACACTGGCTCACTCACTCGCCACACTGCAGGTCACAATAACACGCTCGCTCACTCACTCGCCACACTGCAGGTCACAATAACACACTGGCTCACTCACTCACTCGCCACACTGCAGGTCACAATAACACACTGGCTCACTCACTCACTCGCCACACTGCAGGTCACAATAACACACTGGCTCACTCACTCACCACACTGCAGGTCACAATAACACGCTCGCTCACTCACTCGCCACACTGCAGGTCACAATAACACACTGGCTCACTCACTCACTCGCCATACTGCAGGTCACAATAACACACTCGCTCACTCACTCGCCACACTGCAGGTCACAATAACACACTGGCTCACTCACTCGCCACACTGCAGGTCATAATAACACACTCGCTCACTCGCCACACTGCAGGTCACAATAACACACTCACTCACTCGCCACACTGCAGGTCACAATAACACACTCGCTCACTCACTCACCACACTGCAGGTCATAATAACACACTCGCTCACTCGCCACACTGCAGGTCACAATAACACACTCACTCACTCACTCGCCACACTGCAGGTCACAATAACACACTCGCTCACTCACTCACCACACTGCAGGTCATAATAACACACTCGCTCACTCGCCACACTGCAGGTCACAATAACACGCTCACTCACTCACCACACTGCAGGTCACAATAACACACTCACTCACTCGCCACACTGCAGGTCACACTAACACGCTCACTCACTCGCCACACTGCAGGTCACAATAACATGCTCGCTCACTCACTCACCACACTGCAGGTCACAATAACACACTCACTCACTCACTCGCCACACTGCAGGTCACAATAACACACTCGCTCACTCACTCACTCGCCACACTGCAGGTCACAATAACACACTCGCTCACTCACTCGCCACACTGCAGGTCACACTAACACACTCGCTCACTCACTCACCACACTGCAGGTCACACTAACACACTCGCTCACTCACTCGCCACACTGCAGGTCACAATAACACACTCGCTCACTCACTCACCACACTGCAGGTCACACTAACACACTCGCTCACTCACTCGCCACACTGCAGGTCACACTAACACACTCGCTCACTCACTCGCCACACTGCAGGTCACAATAACACACTCGCTCACTCACTCGCCACACTGCAGGTCACACTAACACACTCGCTCACTCACTCGCCACACTGCAGGTCACACTAACACACTCGCTCACTCACCGCACTGCAGGTCACACTAACACACTCGCTCACTCACTCGCCACACTGCAAGTCACGCTAACACACTCGCTCACTCACCACACTGCAGGTCACACTAACACGCTCGCTCACTCACTCACCACACTGCAGGTCACACTAACACGCTTGCTCACTCACTCACCACACTGCAGGTCACACTAACACACTCGCTCACTCACTCACCACACTGCAGGTCACACTAACACGCTCGCTCACTCACTCACCACACTGCAGGTCACACTAACACGCTCACTCACTCACCACACTGTAGGTAGGTCACAATAACACGCTCGCTCACTAACCACACTGTAGGTCAAAATGGCTCGTTCTCTCGCTCACCCACTCGCTCACCACGTGTTTGTCATCACAACAACTCACTCACCTACCCACTCACCACCCTATAGGCCACAACGCTTCTTTTTCTGCTTCTTTCTCTTGTACTGCTCCACTATGGAATTCCTTACCATATTTGCCGCTCTCTTTTTTCCCCCCCTAAGCGCTTATATCTTTGCTCGATTAAAAAAAAGTATCGGGTGTGGACCAATCAATTTCAAGGACAGTGCATACATTATCAGAGTTGTTTTTTGTTTGCATTCCGACCGCAGGTATTGTGGTCAATGTAAACATGACTCCTTGTATAAAAAAGGTGTCAGTTTTGTTGCCAGATAAAAGGGTAAAAAAACAATTATCATATTTTGTTACTGGCAAATGAGGTTTCCAATGGTGTAAATGCTTACCCCGAGCTCTCATACTCTGATGGTGCATTGCCTTTGAGTTGTGCGCCTTTTGGCGTCTTCTGGTCCAACACCATGTGAGACGAGGCTCTAAAGAAAGCTGTCTCGGGTGTGGATCAATCAATTTCAAGGACAGTGCCACATACATTATCAGAGTTGTTGTTTTTTGTTTGCGTTCTGACCGCAGGTATTGTGGTCAATGTAAACATGACTCCTTGTATAAAAAAGGTGTCAGTTTTGTTGCCAGATAAAAGGGTAAAAAAACAATTATCAAGTATTCACTCTTTTTCTATTGCACTTTTGAGGGTGCCGTTCATTGCTAGCCACCTGGCGATGTGGGCCTTTTGGCCCTGTGCTTGGCAACTGAGTTAAAAAAATATATAATTTTGAATATTTCAAGGTCGTCATATTTCAACGTGATTTCTCCAGGTACTCCCAAGTCTCCTACCATGCGCGTATAAATCTATTCCCAAGATATGTGTTGGCACCTGATCTGGAGGACAATACACAAGTTTTCTGGTGATACTGCTTTGGCAGTGGTGCACAAGCACAAATAACAATCTCTTTGTTAAGCATATTAGTTAACACCACCGTGTGGCCCTAAGACAAAACATGTAGCAGGTGACGTTTTGGGCAATGGGCCTTCTTCAAAGCGCACAGGAAATACACAGCTAACGTGGGGCATAATGGGCACACACGGCATTCCCCGGGGTACAGCGTGATGGTGAAACAACACTCCGCGTTTTTGTATGAGAGTTCTCCGTCGCTGACCGTGTCAACGTCCTATCCTGGACGGAGCTGTGTCCGAGTGATTATTATCTGTCGCCAAGATTTAAAAATTGTTGTGTTATAACAGTGTTTTAAATATCAGAGCAATAAATTGGTAGTGGAGCCGTTGGCCCAGTCACTGGCTCACCGCAAATTCGAACCAAGCAACCTTAATTTCGTTTTCGAGCCCTCACAGCCAACATCGGTGACGAGCTCGTGATACCTGGGTATGCTCGAACAAACCCGTACGGCCAACAACGGTGTAGGGGAGGCCTTTATCCAGTAGTGGGTTGACCAGGGACTGGTACGTGAAAATGTATCTTGCGTACTCCCATGGTGACGATGTTGACGAAGATTTCGTTGGACTTTTCATCTTTACTGTCCCAGCTCTCGCTTCGCGTTGCTCCTCTTTCTCAACGCGTCCTTTGGCGGTTAGGGGGTGACAATTTTTTTCTTGTTTGCTTTCTAACGGACCCCTCCTTTCCAGATCCACTGTGTACTATTATGCTCGGTAACCCATTTGTTCATGTGGTGTGCCATCCATTATATCAGTTTATAACCCAGGTTTCCCTTTAACAGGGGACTTGTGTTCACAATGGCTCGTCCGGTTTTTAGAATCAAAATCTGTTGTGCGGTGAATCTCTCTCTGTTGATGTCATTTATGTGGTTGCTCGAGGCCTGTTTGCGCCACTATTTGGTGGGGAAAAAAACGGCCAAAGTTCCGCGAGTTTTTGCAGACTTAGTAATTTGTTTTGACATAAATTAGGGAAAAATGTTGTATTTTCCATTAAGGTACGGGTCAGGTCCAAAGTGCTGCATATCACACTTTGTAACAACGTGTGTAATACTAATTAACTCTTTCACAACTGCGCTCTTTAACCGTGTATCACCCCGCAGTGAGTCACTTTTTATAAGTTTCCATTCTACGTGACTTTACCGATAGAACCAAGAATATGAATCCCTGCAGTCATGAAAGCTTTAAATCAAAATCTGTTAACTTTGTTCGATTTTTGGTCGGTTTTTGGAACGAATTAATGAATGGGGCATGACCCCTGGTTAGTCCTTGTGTCCAATGTTTTTTTATTTATTTTCCAGATATTGCCACTAGACAGCAACAGAACACATCCTCTGTGTGTATGTGGCCCGTAAAAAACAAAAACCCACTTTCAGTCGCGAGAATTAAGAATAGATGGTACCTGCTCTGACGAGGGGGTTAATGCATATGCTTGCCTGCAAATGTATGTTTTATATATATCCAGTAAAACCTTAGATTGCGAGCATAATTCGTTCTGGAAACGTGTTTGTAATCCAAAGCACTCGTATATCAAAGCACTCGTGTATATCAGTTGTGATCAAGTGATGCTCGGCAGTACAAAGCGTATACGTACTGCTCGTATTGCTAAGACCTCGCTCGTTTATCAAATTAATATTTATTTTAAAAAATTTGCAAGTCTTGCAGAAACTCGCAGACCAAGTCACTCGCAATCCAAGGTTTTGCTGTATGTTGAACTTATTTTGCCCCCTACGTAACCGACCGTGCTAACCCGGAGGTGAAGATATTGATTGCTCGGGTGACAATTGTTGTTGAACTTTTTGCCGACAGGGCCTGGTGGTGCCCGTGTTGAGGAATGTCGGCCCCATGAACTTTGCCGACATTGAGAGGGCCATCTTCGAGATGGGCGAGAAGGTATGACGCAGTGCCCACCGTGCGTTTGTGTATCGCCACGGTGGCGAAGATTGTTAACTCCCTCGCCTGGTATGCAGGGGGTCGTAGGTTCGATACCGACCCTGTGACGCCTGCTGTATATTTGTAGTTTGCATGCTTTCCCTGTGGTCGCGTGGATTTTTCTCCGGGTCCTCTGGTTTTTCCCTCCACGTTTAGAATCAACGTGCGCTTAGAGTATTGGCTGCTATACATTTCCATGTGACAAGCCACTCCGTTGAGCTATCATTTGTGGCCAGGTTGCTTCTGAAAAGAGCTGTACCGCTCACTGGGCTTTACCTGGTAAAATAAAAAAAATAATTTTAGTTTGACCGCATCTCATGACGCTCTACACAAACAAACGGTGGCCGAACCCGAAAATGAACGATGAATCGTAATATTGGCTGCGAAAACCTACATGTCAAGTGGAACTATTCTGTTTTTTAGAGAGAGAAGCAGTTATCTATCGGCAGAGAGGAAACAAGGAATTTGTTTAACCCGGAATATGAACGTGGGGGCGGAGAGTGTACGAGTCTGCGAGTCCATGTTTAATTCTGTTGGTCTGCGTGAGACTGTGGGCCTCTGTACAATCTATAGGGCTCTGTGATTGTCATTGGCCGGTCGGCTTAACAAAGATTCCAATGCAATTCCGTAAGCCGGCATAAGAGCCTGCATACAAGCTTAGCTTGTGTAATAATAAATGGGTATTTCTAAAGCATATGAAGAATTTAGGTGGCCGGGTGGCTCTGAGGTCAGAGCGCTGAGCTGGGACTGTTGGCTGTGTGATCCTGCGTGTTTGATTCCAGGCAGCCAGCTGTGATTAAAAGCCAGTTCTCAAGTCTGGGACTGTTGGCTGTGTGATCCTGCGTGTTTGATTCCAGGCAGCCAGCTGTGATTAAAAGCCAGTTCTCAAGTCTGGGACTGTTGGCTGTGTGATCCTGCGTGTTTGATTCCAGGCAGCCAGCTGTGATTAAAAGCCAGTTCTCAAGTCTATTGATAGAGACCCGTGGACTCGCGTGGAAGACCCATAGACTAACGTAGACTATTTTGTGATTATACTGCATTCTAAAGTCTAATGTTCTGAGAGTCTCAGCCCCGTCGTCAATAACTGCGCACCATAAAAACCCATCGCATTGAATATGGCTGTGTGCCCAATTTGGCCAATCTCCAGCGCTATAATTGTAATTATTGGGTTTTTCTACCATGCGGCAGTCTGTCGCATGCCGAGTGGGTGGGGAGGTGTGCAGCCCTCTAATGTGCGGACCAGAGGTCACTTGAAGGCAACTCGGAGGGAGCTCTGTGATGCCCCACTTGCGTGGGCCATGCCCTCACCGCAATAGGACGACACGATTATCGCGGATCTTGTACCGTGTCGTCAGTGTCGTCAGTATCGCCACGTCCACGGGCAAGCCTGTCCAGTGATCTAACAGCTTTTGGTGAGTGTTGATGATAATAATATTAATGCGGGCGACCCCCCCCGGACCTGCGACCTAATTGTTTCCTGGACTACGTTCGCAAGTTGAGCCATCGTAAGTCGAATCTTGACTTCTCCATAGGGCCGATGTTATCAATTGGGGTTCCGTTCCTGGAAACAGATTACGTACCGTAAAAGCACCAATGTTGACCACGAAAATAAATGAAAATAACCCTAACGAACATTTATTGTAGCTTGACGTAACTTTTACAAACATTTATGACGTAAAAGCCAACACATTTGAAAACCCTCAAGTACATTTCTGCATGTGCGTCACATTTCCTCTTCTCAGGCATAGCGAAATGGGGTGGGACAAAAAAAAATCAAAATTTTACGAAAATGTATAAAAAAAAGTAAGGTGCGTTGCGAAAGAGGATGCTGCTTTCGCTCTAGGCAAAGCTGCAGAGACCGTAGGGCTATACTGTACACACACACATGGCGGAAGAGCAAAGCGGCGCCATCAGGCGACGAGTCTGCGCATGACACTGCGCAGACTCCGTCGCCAATCAACTTACTGTCGTCGGTAGCAGTCGTTAGGCGGTCGTAGATACGAGTTTTGGCCGTTACTGCGGTGGTCTTACTTGCTATAAGAACGGTCGAAAAAGTAAGTCGGGGGTCACCTGTAGTTTGGTGTGTTTGGCGTTTGCACCATTTTTAGAGTGGAAGGCTATCATGTAGGAAGGCGCCGTGTTTCACAAGTCTCCAATAGTTTCAGAGTAGCAGGTGTCGGCGCTGCTGCTGCTGCTGCTGCTGCTGCGTGCGATCCCAATTGAGAGTATTCAGAATTAGCGTCTTTCTGCGTGACGATTGTAAGTCTTCCTCCCGTCCCGCGTGGGTTTCCTCCCCGTAGATTATGAAAGTAAAAAAGCCACACAATCGCAACTGGTATTGGCCAAACGTCCCGTAGCTGAAAAATTCCCTGCAAAACGACTCAAATGGGATGACGCACACAGCGGCAACATGCGCGACAATTGACAGGAACCTCCCTGAAAAACGGTCTTGATGCTCGGTGTGAGGCTTTCCCGGTTTAAACACAAGTGTCGCAATTTGCGTGACATTTTCACATTTCACCAAAATTTGGACCGTCTTATAGCTCGACAACCACCGGTGCACCCTCCCCGCCTGTCGCGTTGCATCTTGCCCCGGGCCGCGAACTCTCTCTCTGTCTCTCTGTCTCTCGTCCTCCCGGCGCCAACATGACGCAGGCGCGCAAGAACGAGCTGGCCATCGAGGACATGGACGGCGGCACCTTCACCATCAGCAACGGCGGCGTGTTCGGCTCGCTCTTCGGCACGCCCATCATCAACCCGCCGCAGTCGGCCATCCTGGGCATGCACGCCATCAACGACCGCCCCGTGGCGATCAACGGCAAGGTAACGTCGCGCATCGCTCCGCCCGCCCGCCCGCCCAGCTCCGCATCCCCTCCACCCTCCCCCCCTCTGCATCCCTCCACCCGCATCGTCCGTTCTTGCAAATTGCATCTCGCAATCGCCAAGGAGCCACGGGGGACGAGCTGGAGGGTCGGCAGCGCGGCGGCGAGCCGGTGCTGCCAACGATTGTCCGAGCTCTGCAGTCCTCTGTATATCGTTTTCGGACAATTCATGAGCATTCATACATGTTGGAGGTAGCCGGCGCACCCAGAGAAAACCCACGCATGCGAGAGGGCAACACCCCATTGACAGATGGTACGAGCTCGCACCTCACATTTACCCGCCTTCTCATGGCAAGCCAGGGTGTGGGCACCTCCCTCGATGCCCACCGATGGGGGAAGAGAGGTTCGCAACATTTGTGCGATCCACCAACCCTCTCTGCCGTCACCGTGCCGGATTCCAGGCGTGCACCGCCACCACCGCGTCCCATCAACCTGTGCACACGCGCGTCCGACCTGTGCCATTACGTCCGCGCGTCTTGTCCCCCCACCCACCCCACCCACCCCTTCCGTCCTGCGCAGGTTGAAATCAGGCCGATGATGTACGTGGCGCTCACGTACGACCACCGGCTCATCGACGGCAGGGAGGCCGTGACTTTCCTGCGCAAGATCAAGGCAGCGGTGGAAGATCCCCGCATCATGCTCCTCGACATCTAACGATGCCTGTCGGCAGGGCGCCTCGCCAGATTTGGGGCTCTCCAACAATCCTCCCTGCTACGCCATCCACCACCGTTACCCTCTTCACACATTGGTCCCAGTCTCCCCCTATCGCTCTCCACTGTCGCTTGCCCCCCCCACCACCACCCCCCCCCATCTGCACACTTGAATTTAGAACAAACTGTGCCCTAAATCAGGAAAATACTTTTTGTCTGGCCTGTGACAGGTGCACTTGCTTCCCCCTTCCGACCCACGCCCAACCCTCACTGCACTTACACAGGGCTCTATACACATGTGCTTGCTATGGCTGCTGGAAAACCAGGCTGTCTGGTGGACAATGCTCCCCCGGGTCCTTAGTCCGTATCTGCGCTCTTTCAGAAGTGGCGGTGAGCAAAAGGGATCGATGGGTCCATTGCACCGTAGGCCCTCCACAAGAACCCATCTCTTGAGCCGTGTTGTTGGGCCAAGTGGCTGATCCGTGCTCTATTTTCCCACAAAACGCTTTGTTCGTTTTCACTCGTGTTGAATCTTTTAACCATTCACGTACCCGCAGAATAAAAAGAAAAAACTCTATCCCACAGCCTCCACTTGAAACCACTTCCCAGTTTCGCGTTGCTTCCCCTTTCATGGACCTCTCGTTCACTCCCCTTTCGTACTCACGAAAACTTCCAAGTCTAGATTTCCCCTTTCGTATTTAACAAATAAACAAAACTCCCAGTTTTCCGTCCCAATTTGGCTTTTCCATCCAACTGCACCCCCCCCCCCCCCATTCTTCACATCACCATGACTTGATTTTTGCGAGAAACTAAGATAGCACCCGGGAAAGCGTGCTTTGGCTTGTCCGAAGCACAGCAGGGCATGTTTGCAACTGCTGCTTGCGCTTGAAACGTATCCGAAACGTCCCGGATTGCACCACGAGTTGCGCCGCGGACGAAGACGCCGCGGCGCCGGCAACCCCCACCGCGGCTCGCGCTGCAACCGCGAGCATCGGCTCGAATTTTAACTGAAGGAATCCACCGCTTGCGTAGCTAGAACAAACTAAATTGGCGCTTCCCCCTTTGCCGTTCGCTCGATTCGCTCGCACGCCGCCTCGCTTCGCGCTCCTACGAGGCGGCAGGAACTATCGTCTGTTTCACCGCTAATCCTAGTTTTAACACTTTCAACGATTCAAAACTTTTGTAAGAGCAATGTACGCACAACCTACGAGCCTCTTGAGTGAAGGGAAAATTATGGATCTGTAATTTTATCTCTCATCGCGTCGCTAAAGCTGCTGTAGTCTTTCCGAATTTATTGGCGATTTTGAACGGTGGCACGTTACGCTTCTGGCTGCTATCTTTATTTTTTTTGTTGTTGAACAGCTGCACCAAAAATATATTTTTGTCTTTTTCTGCTAGAGCTCTTTCAGGTTTCACCCCTTTCCAGAAAATCTAAATTTCAGATTTTAGTTGTCAGATGTCAAGGTAATTGTTGGTCCCACCTTTATTTGGGGACGGGAGGAATGGATTACGACATCGTTTATCCGACTGGACAAAGGTATAGGTGCTGATATGTGAAGGTCGGCAAATGCCACTTGCTCTATTGTCAATATGAATTATAAAAGGGATATAGATTTAAAAAAAATTGTTTGGGTAGATTTTTAACTGATACGTATTGACACCGCATGATTACAAAAAAGATAGAATGATTTTACAACTGTATTCGGTTTGCAAATGTAGGCAGAATTTACCCATTTGATCGCTGGGTAATGTTAAATCGTAATCGTTTTCTTCCATTTTCCACAATATCCCGAGGTGTGCTATCGGCGTCACGGGAATGCCAAGTTATCCGTTTGTAACTCTCACAGAGCGGCGCTCCCATGTCACCGGAGAATGGCCCACGGAAGCGGAGATCACAGAGCTACTTCTTGAGATCCCCCTCCCTGCCAAGTGACTTCTGGTCCACGCGTCAAACTGCAGCACTTAAGCGATAAACTATTAAAAGGAAAAAAAAAATATCTCGCGGCCATTTCCACACAACGCACGACCGCGAGCCGTTTGTTTCTGCCAGAATAATGGAAGGTGGTGGTGGTGGTGCTTTTCAGGGTTTCGCTCGGCCATTTGGCCACGTGTTACACGTGTACAGCCCTTGTCAGTCCACTGCTGGATGAAGGCCTCCTCCAACGCCCTCGTAGGGGTTATTTGAGCTTGCTTCACGATGGGCAGTGCCGGATGAAGGCGTGGAGCAGTGAGCATGGCACCATAGTACGGTACAACTTTGGGTTTTGCTGCACAGCCTATGACGTAGCCCCACAGCAGCCTATTTAACGCTATGCCTTGTAGTCACCCAGCCAAGCACTATAACTCAAGCAATTGTGTATTATGTATTATTATGGTAAGGTGATAGTTCTGACACATTGGTGAAGGAATACTGGTGTAATGTTTAATCACTCGATAGCATAGCGATCGGTCCATGACCCAGAGCAGATATTTCGCTCGTCAGTACCACCTGGGGTGGCGTCACTTTAACAGTTCGAATTTGCCTCCGTTTTGGCCAACGGTGAATTATGCGACGACCATTTGAAACGAGTGGGCTATCAAATAATTTTCTCGTATCATCCACGTAACAAAACAACAAATCTGTGCTACGTCAGGAGGTGCCGAGTTCCGCTCTTGTTTCATCGGATTAATTCTCGTGGGGAGATGGTCCCAATTTTCGCAATAATCTGTCAAAGAGGGCGTGGATACGAAGTCTCGACGCCTCCTCCCCCACCCCCCGAAAGAATGTCCGTTTTGGGACTCGTCGTCAAGTGGGACGCCGCGTGCACTCCGCCACGCCTGTGCCGTGCCTGCCCGGAGTGGCGCTGCGGGACATCGAGTGATGGCGCTCTGCCGGGCGCGGAGGGGCTACTCCCGATTGTTACCTCGAAAATGTAAACGGTCGGGGGGTGGTGGTGGTGGTGTGGAAAGCACGGAGCCCGTCTGCTATATTTAAATCTGGAACTTGTCCTCACCCGTCCTGTTTCTATCTCCCTCTCTCTCTCTCTCGCTTGGCTACCCACGACTTGAGGTCGCCAACTCGATTAATTCTCCCCGGCGTGGCAAGTTTCTCAAAGCCTGTCCGCCCCGCAGCGGGTGTGAATGGGGTTCACCGCAGTCGGGGGGGATGGGCAGCTCGCGCCTGGTGGGGTTCAAGTGTGGGTAACTTCCGCCTCTTACTAACCGTCTGGTCAACGTGGGAAGAGTAGACCAAGTGCCCTGAGAAGAGCAGAGGGAAGAGAGAGGGAGGCCCTTCCGTCAATGGTGGCGTTGAAAAGCAAATTGCAGAGCGGCACTTTTACTCGTCTCTTGCCCACCAATCCCCTCCGTCCCGTTTGGAATTATAATTCTTGGGCAGAATCCATCGGTTCTAGGTGGGGGGGATGAGCCGGACTGCACGCACCGCACATTAATTTAACGCGTCTGTTGTTCACATGTACTGTTTTTCTTTCTCGTTTTGGTGCTGTTGTTTTTTTCCCGGGCTGCAGCAGTGTTGGGGAAGTTGAGTTGTTGGGATTCACACTTTAGCTGTGCGTGTCTGAAACTGTGGTAGTTACAAAATTAAATAACACCCCCAAAAAGGGCATGGCTTAAAAAAAATATCCGATTGAACATTCGAATTTCTTACCATTTGGTCGCTTCAAACCATTGGCATTACATAAGCTTATCGGTACCACCCAGGATGGCATTTGGTGAATGACTGTCTTTTGAAGCGTTTTATCTCTAGATCACAAATGTGCGGTGGCAAAGGTGACATTGGTTGCTTGTTTTATGAGGAACATGCCATTTAAGAAAAAAAAGTGGTCCCCGGAGTGTGTTCGAGAATAGCTATTTCTTTGTGGTGAAAATCTCTACGGAATACCTCGGGCGTGTGTGTCTGTGTGGCTCGCGCGCCGCGCCATGAACCCGGCGACCCGAGTTCGATTCCCGCTCACGGCCAAGACCAGTGACGATTATCTGAACCGGTTCTGGGCTTCCCCTAGGTCGACTCGGCCTCAAATGTTTACCTGGGGCGGTGTGTAAACGTCGCCACGAGGGAGACAAAGGCGGTCGGGGGCGTGGTGCTGGCCACCCACCCCCCTCGTGTACTGTTCAGGCCTTCATAGGCGCTCGCTAACAGCACTCGCCCCAACAGTCTGTTAAGGCTACACGGGGGGGGGGGGTTGGGGGGTGTTTGTCTTTGCATGAAACGCGCAGTGTGTGCACAAGCCGCCTTCTGCCGATGGTGGTGGACACTGGGTAGCAATTTTCCACCTTGGGTGATACCGACCCGGCCCTCTAGGCACTCGTAGGGCTTCATGCGACGAGGCACCAACTTATTTAACACTTTAATATTGTCGGCGAAGCGGTGCGTAAAATATTCGGCACACCTTTTGCTTTTGGCCAAATTGTAGCACGGCTCTCGCGTTCAACCGCTACGCAGCATCCAAACCTGAAAGGGACAACGAGGAGCGTGATGGGGAAACGTGATCAATAATTCCGCGCGCATTCGTAACGATAAGAACGAAGCACGCGGATTGGCTAGGATTGTAAACATGCCATTTTTTTTGCGGGACCTCGCTGCAGTTGGATCGATTCGTACTGTTAAAATGCACGTCGTGATTTAGGTTGCGGTGTCATTGTTGGCACGCTAGACTTGCAATTTAGAGGTCGCCGATTTGACTCCCGTCTCGCTGCAACGGCATTTGGTACAACGGGGGGGAGGGGGGTGGCGCATTGATGGAACTCACGAACTCCCCTCGGCGTGCTCCTTGCCCGCCCAGGGGAATTCCCCCGTGGGTACGGAGCCCCAGGGTATTCGTTCGATCGGCAAGGACGCACGTGGTGGAGTAAAGTGCGGGGGGTACTCCACGAACTGGGAGAGTTGAGGTCAGACAACCCTCTGGATGAGCTGTCGAGCTCCCCTCTGTTGAAGGCCCCTCCTCCTGCAGACATTGGCAGGGCTGCACCTTTAACCTACTACCTGTCCGTTAGCCCTCCCCTACGCTTGCTCTGCCCTACCCAGTGCCCTCCTCCATTGCCGACAATGGGGGGTGGAGGGGGGGGTGTGAGAGCGATTCACATTCAGCTGCGTTATTTGTTATTTGTGATCATTTTCCCAATACGATGGGTGAGGAATAAATCTGATGCTTGCTCTCATTTCTGTTGCGTCCGCCCCAACCTCACCGTCCCCCCCCCCCCCTACGGTAATAATATTAAGACGCTAGTGAAATATTGTGATTTAGGGATGAGGGCTTCCGTTTAGAATCGTCACTAACAAACTGAAAGGAATTGCATGACACGAGACACGTTAACTCACAGGACAAAAATCGCTGAAATGATTTACATTGTATTTGGGTTTTTTTCTTTTTTTTTGAGAGAGTGATTAAAGTTGGTGAAAATTACCCGGAACGTGTCGAGGAATTCCATCTCCAACCAGGGTGGTGACCACGGCCCCTGCGGTGTCGCGGTTTTTTTTGCCCCCGTTTGTTGCGGAAGTTCGCGGTTCTCTCTCAACTCTTATATAAACAGTTTTTTTTAAATTATTTTTTTGCCAGATAAGAAGGCACCCACTGAGCGACCACGTAGCTCTTTTTTCAAAAGCTACCTGGCTATCTCAAATGATAGCTCAACGAAGTGGCTTGTGGTCATCATCCGGTGGAAATGTATAGCAGCCAAATGCTCTAAACGCGCGATGTTGATTCTAAATGTGGAGGGGGGGAAACCGGAGGACCCAGAGAATAATCCACGCGACCACGGGGAGAGAGAGAGACACACGCAAACTCCAAATATACAAGCGTCAGTGTCGGGATCGAACCCATGACCACCTGTATACCAGGCGAAGTCGTTAACATCTCCACCGCAGTTCACGCCCGGCGTCCGCCCTGGTAAATCCCGAGGGTATATGAAGCATAATTGTGCATTGTACCAGTCGTGGCGTCATGGCTGGAAGGGATGCTTCTCCGGCGTCAGCATGGTGAAGTATAGTCAAACGGCCTCCCAACTCCACTTCCCCCCCCCTCCCCGTCGCAGGGCGAAAGGATTCATCCATCAGTGACTTAAAGGACTATCAATCAATTAGTCGCATAATGCATTGACATGTATAAATGAAGGGGTAAGTGAGAAAATAATGAAAAAAACGTGAACAGCCACGTCATGAGACCAATGTTAAAATGTGAACGTAGTTTATTTGCTCTAAACAAAAATCTGGTTTATCATTTTTATCTGGAAGCCAATGGGCTGAAGCACTAAACAATGTTTTCATTTATACGTGGAAACAAGGCAATTGTGGTTATGTTTGCTTTTGCTGTGGACAAACGCCCGCTGCATAATGACATCAAACTGGTAATGAAAGTGGGGGGGGGGGGGGATGATGGTGGGGCCCAGGAAACTTGTACGTGGAGTAGGCAAGGTACATGAAGACGTCTATGAACAACTCTCAGGTAATCGATGCATCCTCGTTAATTACAATATAGAAACCCCTCGCCAACCGCGTTTTTAGTATCCGCGGTATTTGCATTATTTTCCTTGGGCATACCAATTTTATAACTGCGGTATGCATATTCTTTGGGTCTTTCGGTAAAGTCACGTAGATAATTTCAAAGAGAACAAAAAACACAACTACGACGTTTCGATCGCAACACAAGTGTTCGTCATCAGAAGAGGGAGTTTTGTGTATCCGTGGTATGGAGTTTTGTGTATCAGTATCAGCTGTATGGGGTTTGCGTATCTGTCGTATGGAGTATTGTGTATTAGTATCAGCTGTATGAGGTTTTGTGTATCAGTATCAGCTGTATGGGGTTTTGTGTATCAGTATCAGCTGTATGAGGCTTTGTGTATCAGTATCAGCTGTATGAGGTTTTGTGTATCAGTATCAGCTGTATGAGGTTTTGTGTATCAGTATCAGCTGTATGGGGTATTGTGTATCAGTATCAGCTGTATGAGGTTTTGTGTATCAGTATCAGCTGTATGAGGTTTTGTGTATCAGTATCAGCTGTATGAGGTTTAGTGTATCAGTATCAGCTGTATGAGGTTTTGTGTATCAGCTGTATGCATTTTTGTGTATCCGTATCAGCGGTATGAGGTTTTGTGTATCCGTGGTATGAAATTTTGTGTATCAGTATCAGCTGTATGGGGTTTTGTGTATCAGAATCAGCTGTATGAGGTTTTGTGTATCAGTATCAGCTGTATGAGGTTTTGTGTATCAGTATCAGCTGTATGAGTTTTTGTGTATCAGTATCAGCTGTATGAGGTTTTGTGTATCCGTGGTATGAAGTTTTGTGTATCAGTATAAGCTGTATGAGGTTTTGTGTATCAGTATCAGCTGTATTGGTGTTTTGTGTATCAGCTGTATGAGGTTTTGTGTATCCGTGGTATGGGGTTTTGTGTATCAGCTGTATGGGGTTTTGTGTATCAGTATCAGCTGTATGGGGTTTTGTGTATCAGCTGTATGAGGTTTTGTGTATCAGTATCAGCTGTATGAGGTTTTGTGTATCCGCGGTATGGAGTTTTGTGTATCAGTATCAGCTGTATGAGGTTTTGTGTATCAGTATCAGCTGTATGAGGTTTTGTGTATCAGTATCAGCTGTATGAGGTTTTGCGTATCAGTATCAGCTGTATGAGGTTTTGTGTATCAGTATCAGCTGTATGAGGTTTTGTGTATCAGTATCAGCTGTATGAGGGTTTGTGTATCCGTGGTATGAAGTTTTGTGTATCAGTATAAGCTGTATGAGGTTTTGTGTATCAGTATCAGCTGTATTGGGGTTTTGTGTATCAGTATCAGCTGTATGGGGTTTTGTGTATCAGTATCAGCTGTATGAGGTTTTGTGTATCAGTATCAGCTGTATGAGGTTTTGTGTATCAGTATCAGCTGTATGAGGTTTTGTGTATCAGTATCAGCTGTATGAGGTTTTGTGTATCAGTATCAGCTGTATGAAGTTTTGTGTATCCGCGGTATGGAGTTTTGTGTATCAGTATCAGCTGTATGAGGTTTTGTGTATCAGTATCAGCTGTAGGAGGTTTTGTGTATCCGTGGCATGGAGTTTTGTGTATCAGTATCAGCTGTATGAGGTTTTGTGTATCCGTGGTATGGAGTTTTGTGTATCAGTATCAGCTGTATGAGGTTTTGTGTATCAGTATCAGCTGTATAAGGTTTTGTGTATCCGTGGTATGGAGTTTTGTGTATCAGTATCAGCTGTATGAGGTTTTGTGTATCCGTAGTATGGAGTTTTGTGTATCAGTATCAGCTGTATGAGGTTTTGTGTATCAGTATCAGCTGTATGAAGTTTTGTGTATCCGTGGTATGGAGTTTTGTGTATCAGTATCAGCTGTATGAGGTTTTGTGTATCAGTATCAGCTGTAGGAGGTTTTGTGTATCCGTGGCATGGAGTTTTGTGTATCAGTATCAGCTGTATGAGGTTTTGTGTATCCGTGGTATGGAGTTTTGTGTATCAGTATCAGCTGTATGAGGTTTTCTGTATCAGTATCAGCTGTATAAGGTTTTGTGTATCCGTGGTATGGAGTTTTGTGTATCAGTATCAGCTGTATGAGGTTTTGTGTATCCGTAGTATGGAGTTTTGTGTATCAGTATCAGCTGTATGAGGTTTTGTGTATCAGTATCAGCTGTATGAGGTTTTGTGTATCCGTGGTATGGAGTTTTGTGTATCAGTATCAGCTGTATGAGGTTTTGTGTATCCGTGGTATGGAGTTTTGTGTATCAGTATCAGCTGTATGAGGTTTTGTGTATCCGTGGTATGGAGTTTTGTGTATCAGTATCAGCTGTGTGAGGTTTTGTGTATCAGTATCAGCTGTATGAGGTTTCGTGTGTCCGTGGTATGGAGTTTTGTGTATCAGTATCAGCTGTATGAGGTTTTGTGCATCCGTGGTATGGAGTTTTGTGTATCAGTATCAGCTGTATGAGGTTTCGTGTATCCGTGGTATGGAGTTTTGTGTATCAGTATCAGCTGTATGAGGTTTTGTGTATCAGTATCAGCTGTATGAGGTTTTGTGTATCCGTGGTATGGAGTTTTGTGTATCAGTATCAGCTGTATGAGGTTTTGTGTATCCGTGGTATGGAGTTTTGTGTATCAGTATCAGCTGTATGAGGTTTTGTGTATCCGTAGTATGGAGTTTTGTGTATCAGTATCAGCTGTATGAGGTTTTGTGTATCAGTATCAGCTGTATGAGGTTTTGTGTATCCGTGGTATGGAGTTTTGTGTATCAGTATCAGCTGTATGAGGTTTTGTGTATCCGTGTTATGGAGTTTTGTGTATCAGTATCAGCTGTATGAGGTTTTGTGTATCCGTGGTATGGAGTTTTGTGTATCAGTATCAGCTGTGTGAGGTTTTGTGTATCAGTATCAGCTGTATGAGGTTTCGTGTGTCCGTGGTATGGAGTTTTGTGTATCAGTATCAGCTGTATGAGGTTTTGTGCATCCGTGGTATGGAGTTTTGTGTATCAGTATCAGCTGTATGAGGTTTCGTGTATCCGTGGTATGGAGTTTTGTGTATCAGTATCAGCTGTATGAGGTTTTGTGTATCAGTATCAGCTGTATGAGGTTTTGTGTATCCGTGGTATGGAGTTTTGTGTATCAGTATCAGCTGTATGAGGTTTTGTGTATCCGTGGTATGGAGTTTTGTGTATCAGTATCAGCTGTGTGAGGTTTTGTGTATCAGTATCAGCTGTATGAGGTTTCGTGTGTCCGTGGTATGGAGTTTTGTGTATCAGTATCAGCTGTATGAGGTTTTGTGTATCCGTGGTATGGAGTTTTGTGTATCAGTATCAGCTGTATGAGGTTTCGTGTATCCGTGGTATGGAGTTTTGTGTATCAGTATCAGATGTATGAGGTTTTGTGTATCAGTATCAGCTGTATGAGGTTTTGTGTATCAGTATCAGCTGTATGAGGTTTTGTGTATCAGTATCAGCTGTATGAGGTTTTGTGTATCCGTGGCATGGAGTTTTCTGTATCAGTATCAGCTGTATGAGGTTTTGTGTATCCGTGGTATGGAGTTTTGTGTATCAGTATCAGCTGTGTGAGGTTTTGTGTATCAGTATCAGCTGTATGAGGTTTCGTGTGTCCGTGGTATGGAGTTTTGTGTATCAGTATCAGCTGTATGAGGTTTTGTGTATCCGTGGTATGGAGTTTTGTGTATCAGTATCAGCTGTATGAGGTTTCGTGTATCCGTGGTATGGAGTTTTGTGTATCAGTATCAGCTGTATGAGGTTTTGTGTATCAGTATCAGCTGTATGAGGTTTTGTGTATCAGTATCAGCTGTATGAGGTTTTGTGTATCAGTATCAGCTGTATGAGGTTTTGTGTATCCGTGGTATGGAGTTTTGTGTATCAGTATCAGCTGTATGAGGTTTTGTGTATCCGTGGTATGGAGTTTTGTGTATCAGTATCAGCTGTATGAGGTTTTGTGTATCCGTGGTATGGAGTTTTATGTATCAGTATCAGCTGTATGAGGTTTCGTGTATCCGTGGTATGGAGTTTTGTGTATCAGTATCAGCTGTGTGAGGTTTTGTGTATCAGTATCAGCTGTATGAAGTTTTGTGTATCCGTGGTATGGAGTTTTGTGTATCAGTATCAGCTGTTTGAGGTTTTGTGTATCCGCGGCTTGGCACGCCTTTCGGGCGCTCGTTATTTCAAAATCGCCCCGCAATCCGCGTTCCCCTTCCTTGCACCGTCTCCATCTCCCAGATCCCACCACCACCATCACTCGCTCGCTCGCTTGTTCGCACGGCGACTGTTTCTGTCTCGTGTGGACGCGGGGAATCTCTTGGTCCGGTGTCGACACAGTCCGTGTCACCGCGGGCCGCTTTGCTTGAATCGATGCCGGTCAACTTCCAGATTTTGTCACGTCCAAGTGCCCTCTGCCGTTCACAATTCGGGTCAGTTTACGCCTTCAACAATTCGGATTGTTGCCGGCCGCTTGGCGTATTTGACCCGGCCTCTCTAGCTCAAGGTTACTTCTCAGTCCGCCGAAGAGCCTGGCGTAGGATGAAGTAGGAGTACAGGGTGCTTCAAAAAAGTGTTAACACTTACATGGGACTCGTTTTTTAAGGAATGGATTATCATATACCGTAAACATGATAACAAATGTATGTTGTTGATAGCTCCACTCGTTCGCCATCGTTGTCAACACGTGGCCTGGAACCTTCTCCAGGTCACGTGTTCGCCATCGTTGTCAACACGTGGCCTTGAATCTTCTCCAGGTGGTCTCTAAGAGCCTGGAGGCAGCAGCACATGTCACGTGGTTTTGCAAATTCTCAGAAGCTTTATAAAATGTTTACGCACAGAAACCGTCTTTTTTGTTGTTACAAACGACGACACGTTTTATGATACCCGCACATCAGCCGGGGGTGCAAAGCTCAGAATGTCACGCTCATCGCTGCACCACCGCTCCCTCCGCGCGGCGTGGTGGAGAGATAAGCGGCGTGCGTGTGACACGCGGGGTGTGTGTGGTGTGTGTGTGGTGTGTGTAGTGTGTGTGTGGTGTGTGGTGTGTGTGTGTGGTGTGTGTGGTGTGCGTGGTGCGTGTGTGGTGTGCGTGGCGCGTGTGTGGTGTGTGTGCGTGGTGCGGTGTGTGATGTGTGTGGTGCGGCATGTGGTGTTTGTGGTGTGTGGTGTGTGATGTGTGTGGTGTGTGCGTGTGGTGTGTGCGGTGTGTGTGTGGTGTGTGCGGTGTGTGTGTGGTGTGTGATGTGTGTGGTGCGGTATGTGGTGTTTGTGGTGTGTTATGTATGTGGTGTGTGTGTTGTGTGTGGTGTGTGGGGTGTGTGTGTTGTGTGTGTGTGGTGTGTGATGTGTGTGATGTGTGTGTTGTGTGGTGTGTGATGTGTGTGATGTGTGTGGTGTGTGTGGTGTGTGCGGTGTGTGTGTGGTGTGTGATGTGTGTGGTGTGTGATGTGTGTGGAGTGTATGTGGTGTGTGCGGTGTGGTGTGTGATGTGTGTGGTGCGGTATGTGGTGTTTGTGGTGTGTTATGTGTGTGGTGTGTGTTGTGTGTATGTGGTGTGTGTGTGGTGTGTGCGGTGTGTGTGTTTGTGTGTGTGTGGTGTGTGATGTGTGTGGTGTGTGATGTGTGTGATGTGTGTGGTGTGTGATGTGTGTGGTGTGTGATGTGTGTGGTGTGTGATGTGTGTGGTGTGTGCGGTGTGTGTGTGGTGTGTGATGAGTGTGGTGTGTGTGTGGTGTGTGCGGTGTGTGTGTGGTGTGTGTGTGGTGTGTGATGTGTGTGGTGTGTGTGTGGTGTGTGATGTCTGTGGTGTGTATGTGGTGTGTGATGTGTGTGTGTGGTGTGTGCGGTGTGTGTGTGGTGTGTGTGTGGTGTGTGATGTGTGTGGTGTGTATGTGGTGTGTGCGGTGTGTGGTGTGGTGTGGTGTGTGTGTGGTGTGTGATGTGTGTGGTGTGTGTGTGGTGTGTGATGTCTGTGGTGTGTATGTGGTGTGTGATGTGTGTGTGTGGTGTGTGCGGTGTGTGTGTGGTGTGTGATGTGTGTGGTGTGTGTGTGGTGTGGTGTGTGTGGTGTGTGTGGTGTGTGTGTGGTGTGCGTGTGTGGTGTGTGTGGTGTGTGTGCGTGGTGTGGTGTGTGATGTGTGTGGTGCGGCATGTGGTGTTTGTGGTGTGTGATGTGTGTGGTGTGTGCGTGTGGTGTGTGCGGTGTGTGTGTGGTGTGTGCGGTGTGTGTGTGGTGTGTCATGTGTGTGGTGCGGTATGTGGTGTTTGTGGTGTGTTATGTGTGTGATGTGTGTGTTGTGTGTATGTGGTGTGTGTGTGTGTGGTGTGTGCGGTGTGTGTGTTGTGTGTGTGTGATGTGTGTGGAGTGTGATGTGTGTGGTGTGTATGTGGTGTGTGTGGTGTATGATGTGTGTGGTGTGTGTGGTGTGTGCGGTGTGTGTGTGGTGTGTGATGTGTGTGGTGTGTATGTGGTGTGTGCGGTGTGTGTGTGGTGTGTGATGTGTGTGGTGTGTGTGTGGTGTGTGATGTGTGTGGTGTGTATGTGGTGTGTGATGTGTGTGTGTGGTGTGGTGTGTGCGGTGTGTGTGTGTGGTGTGTGATGTGTGTGGTGTGTATGTGGTGTGTGATGTGTGTGGTGTGGTGTGTGCGGTGTGTGTGTGTGGTGTGTGTGGTGTGTGTGGTGTGTGCGGTGTGTGTGTGGTGTGTGATGTGTGTGGTGTGTGTGTGATGTGTGTGGTGTGTGTGGTGTGTGGTGTGTGATGTGTGGTGTGTGTGTGGTGTGTGTGGTGTGGTGGGTGTGTGGTGTGTGGTGTGTGTGTGGTGTGTATGTGGTGTGTGTATGGTGTGTGCGGTGTGTGTGGTGTGTGTGTGGTGTGTATGTGGTGTGTGTGTGGTGTGTGCGGTGATGTGTGTGGGGCGGTATGTGGTGTTTGTGGTGTGTGGTGTGTGATGTGTGTGGTGTGTGTGTGTGGTGTGTGTGTGGTGTGTGTGTGGTGTGTGTGGTGTGTGATGTGTGTGGTGCGGTATGTGGTGTTTGTGGTGTGTTTGTGGTGTGTGTGTGGTGTGTGATGTGTGTGGTGTGTGGTGTGTGTGTGGTGTGTGGTGTGTGTGTGGTGTGTGTGGTGTGGTGTGTGTGTGGTGTGTGCGGTGTGTGTGTGGTGTGTGATGTGTGTGGTGTGTGATGTGTGTGGTGTGTATGTGGTGTGTGTGGTGTGTGTGTGATGTGTGTGGTGTGGTGGGTGTGTGGTGTGTGTGTGGTGTGTGTGTGGTGTGTGTGTGGTGTGTATGTGGTGTGTGTGTGGTGTGTGTGTGGTGTGTGTGTGGTGTGTGTGTGGTGTGTATGTGGTGTGTGTGTGTGTGTGGTGTGTGCGGTAATGTGTGTGGGGCGGTATGTGGTGTTTGTGGTGTGTTATGTGTGTGGTGTGTGTTGTGTGTATGTGGTGTGTGTGTGTGGTGTGTGCGGTGTGTGTGTTTGTGTGTGTGTGGTGTGTGATGTGTGTGGTGTGTGATGTGTGTGATGTGTGTGGTGTGTGATGTGTGTGGTGTGTGATGTGTGTGGTGTGTGATGTGTGTGGTGTGTGCGGTGTGTGTGTGGTGTGTGATGAGTGTGGTGTGTGTGTGGTGTGTGCGGTGTGTGTGTGGTGTGTGTGTGGTGTGTGATGTGTGTGGTGTGTGTGTGGTGTGTGATGTCTGTGGTGTGTATGTGGTGTGTGATGTGTGTGTGTGGTGTGTGCGGTGTGTGTGTGGTGTGTGTGTGGTGTGTGATGTGTGTGGTGTGTATGTGGTGTGTGCGGTGTGTGGTGTGGTGTGGTGTGTGTGTGGTGTGTGATGTGTGTGGTGTGTGTGTGGTGTGTGATGTCTGTGGTGTGTATGTGGTGTGTGATGTGTGTGTGTGGTGTGTGCGGTGTGTGTGTGGTGTGTGATGTGTGTGGTGTGTGTGTGGTGTGGTGTGTGTGGTGTGTGTGGTGTGTGTGTGGTGTGCGTGTGTGGTGTGTGTGGTGTGTGTGCGTGGTGTGGTGTGTGATGTGTGTGGTGCGGCATGTGGTGTTTGTGGTGTGTGATGTGTGTGGTGTGTGCGTGTGGTGTGTGCGGTGTGTGTGTGGTGTGTGCGGTGTGTGTGTGGTGTGTCATGTGTGTGGTGCGGTATGTGGTGTTTGTGGTGTGTTATGTGTGTGATGTGTGTGTTGTGTGTATGTGGTGTGTGTGTGTGTGGTGTGTGCGGTGTGTGTGTTGTGTGTGTGTGATGTGTGTGGAGTGTGATGTGTGTGGTGTGTATGTGGTGTGTGTGGTGTATGATGTGTGTGGTGTGTGTGGTGTGTGCGGTGTGTGTGTGGTGTGTGTGGTGTGTATGTGGTGTGTGCGGTGTGTGTGTGGTGTGTGATGTGTGTGGTGTGTGTGTGGTGTGTGATGTGTGTGGTGTGTATGTGGTGTGTGATGTGTGTGTGTGGTGTGGTGTGTGCGGTGTGTGTGTGTGGTGTGTGATGTGTGTGGTGTGTATGTGGTGTGTGATGTGTGTGGTGTGGTGTGTGCGGTGTGTGTGTGGTGTGTGTGGTGTGTGTGGTGTGTGCGGTGTGTGTGTGGTGTGTGATGTGTGTGGTGTGTGTGTGATGTGTGTGGTGTGTGTGGTGTGTGGTGTGTGATGTGTGGTGTGTGTGGTGTGGTGGGTGTGTGGTGTGTGGTGTGTGTGTGGTGTGTATGTGGTGTGTGTATGGTGTGTGCGGTGTGTGTGGTGTGTGTGTGGTGTGTATGTGGTGTGTGTGTGGTGTGTGCGGTGATGTGTGTGGGGCGGTATGTGGTGTTTGTGGTGTGTGGTGTGTTATGTGTGTGGTGTGTGTTGTGTGTATGTGGTGTGTGTGTGTGGTGTGTGCGGTGTGTGTGTTTGTGTGTGTGTGGTGTGTGATGTGTGTGGTGTGTGATGTGTGTGATGTGTGTGGTGTGTGATGTGTGTGGTGTGTGATGTGTGTGGTGTGTGATGTGTGTGGTGTGTGCGGTGTGTGTGTGGTGTGTGATGAGTGTGGTGTGTGTGTGGTGTGTGCGGTGTGTGTGTGGTGTGTGTGTGGTGTGTGATGTGTGTGGTGTGTGTGTGGTGTGTGATGTCTGTGGTGTGTATGTGGTGTGTGATGTGTGTGTGTGGTGTGTGCGGTGTGTGTGTGGTGTGTGTGTGGTGTGTGATGTGTGTGGTGTGTATGTGGTGTGTGCGGTGTGTGGTGTGGTGTGGTGTGTGTGTGGTGTGTGATGTGTGTGGTGTGTGTGTGGTGTGTGATGTCTGTGGTGTGTATGTGGTGTGTGATGTGTGTGTGTGGTGTGTGCGGTGTGTGTGTGGTGTGTGATGTGTGTGGTGTGTGTGTGGTGTGGTGTGTGTGGTGTGTGTGGTGTGTGTGTGGTGTGCGTGTGTGGTGTGTGTGGTGTGTGTGCGTGGTGTGGTGTGTGATGTGTGTGGTGCTGCATGTGTTGTTTGTGGTGTGTGATGTGTGTGGTGTGTGCGTGTGGTGTGTGCGGTGTGTGTGTGGTGTGTGCGGTGTGTGTGTGGTGTGTCATGTGTGTGGTGCGGTATGTGGTGTTTGTGGTGTGTTATGTGTGTGATGTGTGTGTTGTGTGTATGTGGTGTGTGTGTGTGTGGTGTGTGCGGTGTGTGTGTTGTGTGTGTGTGATGTGTGTGGTGTGTGATGTGTGTGGTGTGTATGTGGTGTGTGTGGTGTATGATGTGTGTGGTGTGTGTGGTGTGTGCGGTGTGTGTGTGGTGTGTGTGGTGTGTATGTGGTGTGTGCGGTGTGTGTGTGGTGTGTGATGTGTGTGGTGTGTGTGTGGTGTGTGATGTGTGTGGTGTGTATGTGGTGTGTGATGTGTGTGTGTGGTGTGGTGTGTGCGGTGTGTGTGTGTGGTGTGTGATGTGTGTGGTGTGTATGTGGTGTGTGATGTGTGTGGTGTGGTGTGTGCGGTGTGTGTGTGGTGTGTGTGGTGTGTGTGGTGTGTGCGGTGTGTGTGTGGTGTGTGATGTGTGTGGTGTGTGTGTGATGTGTGTGGTGTGTGTGGTGTGTGGTGTGTGATGTGTGGTGTGTGTGTGGTGTGTGTGGTGTGGTGGGTGTGTGGTGTGTGGTGTGTGTGTGGTGTGTATGTGGTGTGTGTATGGTGTGTGCGGTGTGTGTGGTGTGTGTGTGGTGTGTATGTGGTGTGTGTGTGGTGTGTGCGGTGATGTGTGTGGGGCGGTATGTGGTGTTTGTGGTGTGTGGTGTGTGATGTGTGTGGTGTGTGTGTGTGGTGTGTGTGTGGTGTGTGTGTGGTGTGTGTGGTGTGTGATGTGTGTGGTGCGGTATGTGGTGTTTGTGGTGTGTTTGTGGTGTGTGTGTGGTGTGTGATGTGTGTGGTGTGTGGTGTGTGTGTGGTGTGTGGTGTGTGTGTGGTGTGTGTGGTGTGGTGTGTGTGTGGTGTGTGCGGTGTGTGTGTGGTGTGTGATGTGTGTGGTGTGTGATGTGTGTGGTGTGTATGTGGTGTGTGTGGTGTGTGTGTGATGTGTGTGGTGTGGTGGGTGTGTGGTGTGTGTGTGGTGTGTGTGTGGTGTGTGTGTGGTGTGTATGTGGTGTGTGTGTGGTGTGTGTGTGGTGTGTGTGTGGTGTGTGTGTGGTGTGTATGTGGTGTGTGTGTGTGTGTGGTGTGTGCGGTAATGTGTGTGGGGCGGTATGTGGTGTTTGTGGTGTGTTATGTGTGTGGTGTGTGTTGTGTGTATGTGGTGTGTGTGTGTGGTGTGTGCGGTGTGTGTGTTTGTGTGTGTGTGGTGTGTGATGTGTGTGGTGTGTGATGTGTGTGATGTGTGTGGTGTGTGATGTGTGTGGTGTGTGATGTGTGTGGTGTGTGATGTGTGTGGTGTGTGCGGTGTGTGTGTGGTGTGTGATGAGTGTGGTGTGTGTGTGGTGTGTGCGGTGTGTGTGTGGTGTGTGTGTGGTGTGTGATGTGTGTGGTGTGTGTGTGGTGTGTGATGTGTGTGGTGTGTGTGTGGTGTGTGGTGTGTGTGTGTGGTGTGTGCGGTGTGTGTGTGGTGTGTGTGTGGTGTGTGATGTGTGTGGTGTGTATGTGGTGTGTGCGGTGTGTGGTGTGGTGTGGTGTGTGTGTGGTGTGTGATGTGTGTGGTGTGTGTGTGGTGTGTGATGTCTGTGGTGTGTATGTGGTGTGTGATGTGTGTGTGTGGTGTGTGCGGTGTGTGTGTGGTGTGTGATGTGTGTGGTGTGTGTGTGGTGTGGTGTGTGTGGTGTGTGTGGTGTGTGTGTGGTGTGCGTGTGTGGTGTGTGTGGTGTGTGTGGTGTGTGCGTGGTGTGGTGTGTGATGTGTGTGGTGCGGCATGTGGTGTTTGTGGTGTGTGATGTGTGTGGTGTGTGCGTGTGGTGTGTGCGGTGTGTGTGTGGTGTGTGCGGTGTGTGTGTGGTGTGTCATGTGTGTGGTGCGGTATGTGGTGTTTGTGGTGTGTTATGTGTGTGATGTGTGTGTTGTGTGTATGTGGTGTGTGTGTGTGTGGTGTGTGCGGTGTGTGTGTTGTGTGTGTGTGATGTGTGTGGAGTGTGATGTGTGTGGTGTGTATGTTGTGTGTGTGGTGTATGATGTGTGTGGTGTGTGTGGTGTGTGCGGTGTGTGTGTGGTGTGTGATGTGTGTGGTGTGTATGTGGTGTGTGCGGTGTGTGTGTGGTGTGTGATGTGTGTGGTGTGTGTGTGGTGTGTGATGTGTGTGGTGTGTATGTGGTGTGTGATGTGTGTGTGTGTGGTGTGGTGTGTGCGGTGTGTGTGTGTGGTGTGTGATGTGTGTGGTGTGTATGTGGTGTGTGATGTGTGTGGTGTGGTGTGTGCGGTGTGTGTGTGGTGTGTGTGGTGTGTGTGGTGTGTGCGGTGTGTGTGTGGTGTGTGATGTGTGTGGTGTGTGTGTGATGTGTGTGGTGTGTGGTGTGTGATGTGTGGTGTGTGTGTGGTGTGTGTGGTGTGGTGGGTGTGTGGTGTGTGGTGTGTGTGTGGTGTGTATGTGGTGTGTGTATGGTGTGTGCGGTGTGTGTGGTGTGTGTGTGGTGTGTATGTGGTGTGTGTGTGGTGTGTGCGGTGATGTGTGTGGGGCGGTATGTGGTGTTTGTGGTGTGTGGTGTGTGATGTGTGTGGTGTGTGTGTGGTGTGTATGTGGTGTGTGTGTGGTGTGTGTGTGGTGTGTGTGGTGTGTGATGTGTGTGGTGCGGTATGTGGTGTTTGTGGTGTGTTTGTGGTGTGTGTGTGGTGTGTGATGTGTGTGGTGTGTGGTGTGTGTGTGGTGTGTGGTGTGTGTGTGTGGTGTGTGTGGTGTGGTGTGTGTGTGGTGTGTGCGGTGTGTGTGTGGTGTGTGATGTGTGTGGTGTGTGATGTGTGTGGTGTGTATGTGGTGTGTGTGGTGTGTGTGTGATGTGTGTGGTGTGGTGGGTGTGTGGTGTGTGTGTGGTGTGTGTGGTGTGTGTGTGGTGTGTATGTGGTGTGTGTGTGGTGTGTGCGGTGTGTGTGGTGTGTGTGTGGTGTGTGTGTGGTGTGTGTGTGGTGTGTATGTGGTGTGTGTGTGTGTGGTGTGTGCGGTAATGTGTGTGGGGCGGTATGTGGTGTTTGTGGTGTGTGGTGTGTGATGTGTGTGGTGTGTGTGTGGTGTGTGTGTGGTGTGTGTGGTGTGTGGTGTGTGTGGTGTGTGATGTGTGTGGTGCGGTATGTGGTGTTTGTGGTGTGTTTGTGGTGTGTGTGTGGTGTGTGATGTGTGTGGTGTGTGTGTGGTGTGTGTGTGGTGTGTGTGGTGTGGTGTGTGTGTGGTGTGTGCGGTGTGTGTGGTGTGTGTGTGATGTGTGTGGTGTGTGTGTGGTGTGTGCGATGTGTATGTGGGGTGTGTGTGGTGTGTGATGTGTGTGGTGCGGTATGTGGTGTTTGTGGTGTGTGGTGTGTGATGTGTGTGGTGTGTGTGGTGTGTGTATGTGGTGTGTGTGTGGTGTGTGTGTGTGGTGTGTGCGGTGTGTGGTGTGTGTGTGTGGTGTGTGATGTGTGTGGTGTGTGTGTGGTGTGTGCGGTGTGTGTGTGGTGTGTGTGTGGTGTGTGATGTGTGTGGTGCGGTATGTGGTGTTTGTGGTGTGTGGTGTGTGATGTGTGTGGTGTGTGTGTGGTGTGTATGTGGTGTGTGTGTGTGGTGTGTGCGGTGTGTGTGGTGTATGTGTGGTGTGTGATGTGTGTGGCGTCTATGTGGTGTGTGCGGTGTGTGGTGTGTGGTGTGTGTGGTGTGTGATGTGTGTGTGTGTGGTGTGTTTGTGGTGTGGTGTGTGTGTGAATGTGGTGTGGTGTGTGTGTGGTGTGTGTTGTGTGTGGTGTGTTTGTGGTGTGTGTGTGGTGTGGTGTGTATGTGGGGTGGTGTGTGTGTGGTGTGTGTGTGGTGTGTGGTGTGTGTGTGTGGTGTGTGTGTGTGGTGTGTGTGTGGTGTGTGTGTAATGTATGTGATGTGTGTGGTGTGTATGTGGTGTGTGATGTGTGTCTGTGGTGTGTGTGGTGTGTATGTGGTGTGTGATGTGTGATGTGTGTGGTGTGTATGTGGTGTGGTGTGTGCGGTGTGGTGTGTGTGGTGTGATGTGTGTGGTGTGTGTGATGTGTGTGTGATGTGTGTGTGTGGTGTAATGTGTGATGTATGTGATGTATGTGGTGTGATGTGTGTGGTGTGTGTGTGGTGTGTGTGGTATGGTGTGCATTGCGTTCCTTACTCTGGTTAAGACGCGGAAGCGTTTGAGGGGTCCCTTTAAAACGAAAACGGAGCCGAGCGGTGGAACTCTCCGTCCACTCGATGCGTACGTTGATGTGTCCCCCCCCCCCTTCGTTAATGCGGTAAAAGTTACGCGAGCGAAGAAGAAGACAACGTTGGAAATTTCCCCCCCCCCCCAAGTATATATTTAACCAGATCAGTCTTGGACCCTGTTTGTGTCTTCGGCTTGAGGTCGTCCGAGTCGGTGTGGTGCGCGCGCGCGTGCGATGGTCTGCAGGGAGCGGTGGTGTAGCGGTTAGCTATTGGGGAGACAAAGGCGGCCGGGCGTGGTGCTGATCATCCACCCCCTCGTGTGCCACAGTGCCGGCCTTCATAGGTGCCTACTAACAGCACTTGCCCCTACAGTCTGTTCAGGCTATACGGGGGGGGGGGGATTTTTTGCGTGATGAAAAGTCGCGTTTGTGTGTGTGTGTATTCAGCAGTGGTTATTTAACATTTTAAAGAACCCATGTGCGTGTCGGACTGTACTTCATGCTCAGTCGGCATTGTTAATTGATAGGGACGTCTCTGTCCCTCGCTTGCCCGCGTGGAGCGGTGGCGCAGCGGTTAGCGCGCTGCGCTACGAACCCGGCGACTCGAGTTGCGTTCCCTCTCGCGGCCAGCTCCAGCGATTATCTAAAACCGTTCCTGGCCCCTCTCCTATGGCGACTCTGTCTCCAATGAGTACCTGGTGCGGTGTGTAAACATCGCCACTGGGGGAGACAAAGGCGGCCGGGCGTGATGCTGTGGCCAATTACCCCGTCGGCACACCGTGCCCGCCCTTTAATAGGCGCCGCTCGCTAACGGAGCTTGTCCTAAAGCATTACTTAAAGGCCGGTAGGTGTGGATGTTTGTCTTTGTTGTCAACGAGAGAGACCTGTGAGCCATCCGTAAAGTCGCCTGGAGGAGCAGTGGTGCACGCGTGTTAGGTAACTTTTCTTGCGCAAGTGCTCGCTGCAACTCGTAAGACCTTATCAGGCCATGTTTCACTGGAAAAAAAATGTGTACATCTCGTAAATAATTACAAATTTATAGTTGTACTATTAAACCCACCAAATATTTCACTATATATATACACACACACAGCGGTAAAGTTGTAGTCAGGTTATGTGGACATTTTCGTGACTGGCAGGAACACGCACGTACAGCAATCTCGCGGGCTATAAATCACACGCAAATTATTTTTTTTGCGCAATTGTTGCTTCGCTGGAACGTTTAAGAACATTTAAGAAGACACCTCCCAAAGGTGGCGTAGAGCCTCGTGGCAATGACCACGAACGAGGCCACTCGCGAGGTGGGCCAAGAGTTCATCGACGATGTCAGCAGCCACGAGACATCGGAGAGAGCCACTCACTTGCCAGGACCGGTCGTGGACGAGACCACCCCGACCGGGCACACGGACGCCCAGCCAGAGACGGGACTCTCGTCACGTCGGTGGGTCCTGGTCCTGCTCTTCAGCAGCTACTCGCTGGCCAACGCCTTCCAGTGGATCGAGTACGGCACCCTCAACCACGTCTTCTCCAGCTACTACGACGTAGCCACGGGCTCCATCGACTGGCTGTCCATGGTCTACATGGTGGTGTACATCCCGCTCATCTTTCCCGTCACCTGGTTGCTCGACAGCAAGGGTCTGCGGGTCATCGCCATCGTCGGCTCGGCGCTCAACGCGTGCGGCTCGTGGTTGAAGCTGGCCAGCGTGAGGCCCGACCACCTGGGGTTTGGCATCACCATGATGGCCCAGTTCATCTGCGGCGTGGCCCAGGTGTTCATCCTGGGCATGCCGTCTCGCCTCGCCTCCGTGTGGTTTGGCCCCAAAGAGGTCTCCACCGCCTGCTCCATCGGTGTCTTCGGCAACCAGGTGAGGCGCCTACGCCCTGGCAGCGGGCACCCACTCGCGCAATCACCCAGCCAGCCATCCATCCAGTCACTCGCTCGTCCAGTCACCCACGCGGCCACTCACTCAGCAATTCACCCACCCAGTCATCCACATAGTCACTCGTCCAATCGGCACCCCCACGCAGTTGCTCACCCACTCAGCCGCAAACTCATTCACTTGCCCACCCACCCACCCACGTGTGAACGCGGAACGTTGGTCTAACGTTGGGCTAACCACGTGCCGACGATGGCATGTTTACTGGGGAGGCATCCATTCATCCAGCAGTGGATACAGTCTAAATGTTGGTGCAAGGTTTGCTCGTGTAACTCTACGTGGCGAGAGCGAATAGGAGATTAATCACCTGGTTACTCATTAAGTTAATCGTTTTAACTTTTTGACTTTTGTGATTTGGGCGACTCGGGTCAACTCTTGCAAGTTGGACTTATAACCCAAAGACAAAGATCCCCCGCATAGCCTTGATAGACTGTCGGGGCGAGTGCTGTTAGCGAGCACCTTATGAAGGCCGGCACGGCACACGAAGGGGGGTGGGTGAACAACACGACGCCCGGCCGCCTTTATCTCCCCCAGTGGCGATGTTTACTGCACACCGCTACACCAGAGTCAACGTAGGGGGCAGTCCCAGGAACCGGTTCAGAGATAATCGTCACCGGTGTTGGTCCTGGGCTGGAATCGAACTCGGGTCGCCGGGTTTGTAGCGCAGCGCGCGGAACGCTACACCACCACTCCCCCACTCACCACCACTCCCCCCACTCACCACCACTCCCCCACTCACCACCACTCCCCCCACTCACCACCACTCCCCCACTCACCACCACTCCCCCACTCACCACCACTCCTTCACTCACCACCACTCCCCCACTCACCACTACTCCCCCCACTCACCACCACTCCCCCACTCATCACCACTCCCCCACTCATCACCACTCCCCCACTCACCACCACTCCCCCACTCACCACCACTCCCCCCACTCACCACTACTCCCGCCACTCACCACCACTCCCCCCACTCACCACCACTCCCCCCACTCACCACCACTCCCCCACTCACCACCACTCCCCCACTCACCACCACTCCCCCACTCACCACCACTCCCCCCACTCACCATCACTCTTTCACTCACCACCACTCCCCCCACTCACCACCACTCCCCCACTCATCACCACTCCCCCACTCATCACCACTCCCCCCACTCACCACCACTCCCCCCACTCACCACCACTCCCCCACTCACCATCACTGCCCCACTCACCACCACTCCCCCACTCACCACCCCTCCCCCCACTCACCACCACTCCCCCACTCACCACCACTCCCCCACTCACCACCACTCCCCCCACTCACCACCACTCCCCCACTCACCACCACTCCCCCCACTCACCACCACTCCCCCACTCACCACCACTCCTTCACTCACCACCACTCCCCCACTCACCACCACTCCTCCACTCACCACCACTCCCCCACTCACCACCACTCCTTCACTCACCACCACTCCTTCACTCACCACCACTCCCCCACTCACCACCACTCCCCCACTCACCACCACTCCCCCACTCACCACCACTCCTTCACTCACCACCACTCCCCCACTCACCACCACTCCCCCCACTCACCACCACTCCCCCACTCACCACCACTCCTTCACTCACCACCACTCCCCCACTCACCACCACTCCTTCACTCACCACCACTCCCCCACTCACCACCCCTCCCCCACTCACCACCACTCCTTCACTCACCACCACTCCCCCACTCACCACCACTCCTTCACTCACCACCACTCCCCCACTCACCACCACTCCTCCACTCACCACCACTCCCCCACTCACCACCCCACCCCCCATCCATCTCTTGAGTGTTCTATATTAATTCTAGATTTGAAGCTTTCGTGACTGTAAGGATCCATACTCTTTGGTTCTATTTGTTGTTTAATTTTTTACCTACGTGTTCTATATTATCTCATTCTCTCATCCGCTTAAACTAAGCAACTTTAAAACCTCAAAGTTTGTTCGCATTGAGTTTGCACGGCGAGCCGACAAGTTGATCGTTAACGCGGATGGGGGGGGCAATCCCCCCTAACGTGACCGTACAGAGAATCACTTAATCCAACGCAAAGTGTCACTTACGGTCTATAAAATAATATCGGTCGCGTTTGGTTTACGCGACAAACCTTACCGGGTTGTCCGTGTCAGGTGGCGGCGGGTTTCACGACGCAATTTATTGTTCGCGCGACGATCTTAACCCACGCCAAATAAACAAAAATCTGTATTAGGGATCTCTAAAACGATGTTTATGTCGTGATGAGTCATCCTTTTTTTAAAGTTCCGTTTCACGCGGGGACTTTGTTAAAATCGACGTCCGTTTCCAGGCATTCCACTTCGCAAAAATAAAAAAAGATAACGTCCTTTGGGAATATAAAAAAACCCCAACACGCAGACAACCTCCTTGCGTGTACGGTACCCAATGTGTGTTGAACTTCTTTCGCACCGTACGTAGCCAACCGTGCGAATCGCAGGATGGGACGGTGGTTGTTGAAGTAACCCGTCGTGGAATGACAGAGACAAATATTCCACCCCACCCGTACGGGCTGAACAGACTGCCAGGGCAAGTGCCGTTAGCTGAGCAGGGGTGGTGGTTGATGTGGCTACAGGAGCACCGCGCCCGGCCACCTTTGTCTCCCCAGTGCCGATGGTTACACGTCGCACCGAGGTTACACACTTATGGTTGAGATGACCGAGGTGAGACACCTCCGATTAGCACGGTTGGCTACGTACGGTGCGAAAGAAGTTCAACATGCGTGTACAACCACCACACCGTGGATGACCACAACAGCTAATCCCACGTATAGCCTGTAACAGACTGTAGGGGCAAGTGCTGTTAGCGAGTACCTGTGAAGGCCGGCACGGCACACGAGAGGATGAGTGGCCAGCACCACGCCCGGCCGCCTTTGTCTCCCCGGTGCTGATGTTTACACATCACGCCAGGCACTGATTTGAAGCCGAAATTACCAACCCCCACTGACCTGCCTGGTGAACTATGGTCAAACAACCCATCGAGTGGCGGATTGACACAAAGACTTTACCGATTGACCCCAAGGATAGAAACTCCGTTGCCATTGTCGACTGCAGGAATTCATATTCTTTGGGTCTGGCCACGCCCCCTTCCACGCCCCTTTCCAGATCCTTCTCGAAGACTCTGGCACCTACATCACGTGTCCCTCTCACCCCTTCTGGGCCCCCCTTGCCACCTCGTCCGGTCACGTGCCCTCTCGGGTTCACTCAGAGGGCCATGTCCTCGCCCGACCTCTCTCCCACCGTCCACCAGGGCTTTGCCCCCCAGAAAGCCTTTCCATGCCACACTCGCTCTGGCCTTCGAGAGAGACCTAATACACGCAGTTCCACTCTTCTCTCGATACTGGCGCTACACTACCGTGACTCCATATACATCCCTACATAATGAACGAAACAGTAGGATTTCTCCACAAATCTGGCTGTCCGCCTGATGAAGCGAGTTGTAATTACTGGCGAAGCGTCGTACTCATTGTAAATGTTGTGACTTGGCTCTACAACACACCGGTGTGGCTGTACTAGTGACGAATTGGCACGTTCTCTTTACATGTCAATTCGTTATTAGTTGACTGTATTGGGTGGTGGCGGGTTTAACGACACATTTAAATATTTATGCTATCTAACCCAAAAAACGTGTTATGGACTAACTACCTCGCCTGGTATGCAGGAGGTCGTGGGTTGATCGCGACCCTGACGCCTGCTGCTGCTGCTGCTGTATATTTGGAGTTTGCGTGTCTCTCTCTCCCCGCGGTCGCGCGGATTTTTCTTCGGGTCCTCCTGGTTTTTCCCCTCCACATTTAGAATCAACATCACCACGCGTTTATGGTGTTCAGCAGCTTGACATTTCCACGTGATAAGCCACTTCGTTGTGCTATCATTACCTGTGGCCAGGTCGCTTCTCAACAACAAAAAAAGCTCTACAGCTCGCTGAGCCTTACCTGGTAACATAAAAAAAATTGTAGTAATGGTACAAATGATCAGATTAATCCGTGCTCGTGTGATGGCTAAGCAAAGTTTTTAAACATCTGTTAACGACCGATTGAGTAAAGACGCGCGAGTTTACAGTTATGAGTTTGGCCCGATCGTTTGGCTCGATTGTACGATCAGCTGATGCGGATTTTGTCACGCGATTTGACCGGGGCTTAGAGGAAGCCAAAGGATTTCCTGCACAGGGGAAAACCATGGGAGGTACAACCACCACTCGTCTAACGTTATGGCGATGCGTCTGTGTACATTTCATTTCTCTCGCATCGTGCGCAGCCGTAGCATTGTGGGGCTTTTGCTTCGGTCGTAAGATAACTTTACGCAGTCCTGGGTTAGCATTAAAAAGACCGGCTACACCTTCCACTTCAAAGGGGGAAAAAGGTTATGGTACCATTGTCCACTGTGTCCCGGGAGCTTCACTCATTGTAGCTGCCGTTGACCCCTAAGAGAAGCACTGTGAGCCTCTAGCAGGAGACCTCGATGGAGGGGGAAATGCCACGTGGTCGATAATAGTGACCATAGGAACGAATGGGATACGCCCGAATGGATTTAACTCCGCGGAGACGGAGCGATGGAATCGGCTGGCGCGCGGGTGCTGGCTGAATTGTTTTGCGTGGCTGGATCCCACTCCCCACCCCCCCGAGAGATGGTTTGATGGCCTGCTCCAGCAGTGGATAGATTGTGGCTGCTGCTGCTGCTGATGATAATAATTGTCCTTCCAGCCCCGACCGTTTGTATCTCAAATGTTGCTGTTGGCGTCGAGTCCACAGTACGAAGATCCCTTTCTAACCTGTCACGTGGCGGCGATTTGCGAGCCCTTTGCGTGTTAGAGAGCGCCCCAGGGAGGCGGATATCTTAACCTCAAATAAATTTACATTAGCGCTTTATCCAGGGCGCTTTAAACATAATTAACTACGGTGCAGCGTGTGGATGTAATGGCAGAGATGCGATGGTATGAAGCAATGCGGGCGAATCTGTGATGCGTGAATTCGGTGAAAAGCGAAATTGATGACGGTAAATGATGATGATGAATGGATTGAATGAAGGGGTTAATGAGTGAGAGACGTATAGTGAGGATATGAGATGAAGGGGTGGTGGGGTGAGCTAGGGAACAATAAGTGGGCTGTTGACCTTCACGTGACCTCTGGCCTCAGGTCCAATGGGTACCTCGGTAAGGGCATGTAATTTGGGGGGGGGGGGGGCTTATGAACGAGGTGGGAGGATGAGGGGGGGAGGAGCGGGGAGGAGAGGAGGAAGAGAAGAGGGAAGGAGGAAGATGAGGGGGGGGGAGGAGGTGGGGGAAAGGAGGAGGAGAGAGGGGGAAGGGGGAGGGGGAAGGAGGGAGGGAAGGAGAAGGAAGAGGAGGGGGGAAGGAGGAGAAGGAGGAGGGGGGAAAGAGGAGAAGGAGGAGGGGGAAAGAAGGAGGAGGGGACTGTCGTCGACTGACTGGACCAAATCTGCCCGAATGGCTGACTAATTGATGACTAATTGATGACTCTTTGATGACTCTTTGATGACTAATTGATGACCAATTGAACGCCGCTTCTGACCGATGTTTTTATCGCCCCCTCCCCCCCCCCCTCATCTCCCAGCTGGGAGTGGCTCTGGGCTTCGTGGTGCCTCCTCTGCTGGTGCCCAGCACGGGGGACACAGAGGCGGTGGGGAAGGGCATCTCCATCCTCTTCTACGGCACCGCTGCCATCTCCACCACGCTCTTCCTGCTCGTCCTCATCGGTGAGACATCGTCGTCTCTTGTCGTCATCTTCATCATCGTCGTCGTCATCTTCATCATCGTCGTCGTCGGTACGCAGGAGGTCGTGGGTTCGATCCTGACCCCGACGCCTGCTGTATATTCGGAGTTTGCGGTGTCTTTCTCCCCATGGTGGTGTGGATTTTTCTCGAGGGTCCTCCAGTTTTCCCCGCCACATTTGGAATCAACATCACGCGTTTAGAGTATTTGGCTGCTATACATTTCCACATGATTAAGCCACCGAGTCGAGCAATAATTAGCATGGTTGGCTACTTATGATGCGAACGAAGTTCATCATACATACATGTGTAGTGGGTTCGAATTTAGGCGCACACAACTTCTTGGGAGGCAACACTTATTTATGAATGAACACAACAGTTAACTCTTACATTACGCCCAGGGTGGTGACCACCGACCTACTCTACTTAACACACACTTCTCAGATACTCTAGCGTGACCCAGCCAGGTGGGCTACTGCCAGGTCCGCTGACTGGAGGCTTGACTCTTCTTGGCGTCTTCACGATGCGTCTTCGTTCTTGATACGGGCTGCAGCCTCGAACCTTGTGAGGAGGCTGCTTATATGGGCCTCGGCGTGCACGGGCCCCACCCCGGCCACGCCCCCTTCGAGAACCCTCTCGAAGCCCCCCTTCTGTCCACGTGCCCCCCGAGGTGCCCCCTAGGCCCCCGGCCCCCACTGGGATCCGGTCACGTGTCCAGCCGGGGTCACAGAGAGTGCCACGACCTCACACCACCCCCGTGGCCTCCCGAGTCCAGAACCGGCCGTGATGTCATTCCCGCCTCCAGCCGGGATGACGTCATGTGTGTGTGTAGACCCGCGTGGTAGTGACGCTCCCCCGCTTAGTGATGTCACACGTGTGCGTGTGTACACAGTGGTGATGCTACAATCACTACACATACAACATACATTGTCAGGATGTGGATTTACAGTGTGGAGGAAAGTGGTGTCCCTCGCTTTGCACGGCAGTAGTAGTGGATAATGGAGTAGAAGATGTAGTAATAGATGTAGTAGTAGTAGATCTAGCAGTAGATGTAGTAGTAGATGTAGTAGTAGATGTAGTAGTAATAGATGTAGCAGTAGTAAATGGAGTAGTAGATGTAGTAGTAGTAGATGTATCAGTAGTAGATGTAGTAGTAGATGTAGCAGTAGATGTAGTAGTAGATGTAGTAGTAGATGTGTAGTGTTTATAATGACAAATAAACTTCTTATGAGGCTCACTCTGTTTATTGTAATAATTCTCTTACACAGTCCTTAACACACAGAGGGGTATACAGTCCCCTCACCCGATACCCTAAGAAGGTACAGCCTCCGGACTTAGCGGGGCCTACACACAGGTCTCTTCCTAACCTAAGGAGGTACAGCCTCCTATCTTGGCGGGACTTACTCACACGTCTACCGCTATCCTAGAGTCCTCCGGCTGGGACCTAGGAGAGGCTATCTGACCCACCGCTGGCCCGGCGGGTCTTGACCACTGAATACGCCGAGCCTTAACTCTCAGAAGGGCTGGAAGGCTGGGTCCAGGGTCCTGTCTATCTTCAGCCCGGGCTTTGGTCTTCGTGTAGGGAGAGAACTCCCCACGCTCTGCGCGCTCACCCTTCTTATACCCGTTTGTGGCCAGGTCTAACCAATCTCACATTCCCACGTGGAACTGTCTGATTGGTTCTTACCAAATTGTGGCTATGATCCGCTTCACCTCGTCTGACCCCAACCGTTGTTCACACAGAGGTAACGCTGCACTGCCCCTTTGATACTGTACCTAGTGGCAATGCAGGTTACTGAACAGTGAGTAGTTAGCACCTCTACAGATGTAGTAGTAGTAGATGTAGTAGTAGTAGATGTAGTAGTAGATGTAGTAGTAGTAGATGAAATAGTAGATGAAGTAGTAGATGAAGTAGTAGATGAAGTAGTAGTAGATGTAGTAATAGTAGTAGTGGATGTAATAGTAGTAGTAGATGTAGTAGTAGATGAAGTAGTAGATGAAGTAGTAGATGTAGTAGTAGTAAATGTAGTAGTAGATGTAGTAGTAGTTGATGTAGTAGTAGATGAAGTAGTAGATGAAGTAGTAGATGAAGTAGTAGTAGATGTAGTAGTAGATGTAATAGTAGTAGTAGATGTAGTAGTGGTAGATGTAGTAGTCGTAGTTGATGTAGTAGTAGTAGATGTAGCAGTAGTAGTTTCAAGTTTCATTTTACATTTATTAGGTAGAGCCCTGTGAGCCATGCGGCTCTTGAGTTGGGTGCAACCGCAACAAACAAAATTTTAACAGAGAACATCTTAAAGCGACGACGCGCAATAGAAACATCCTGGATAAACCAGCAAATCTTCTAGAAAAAACAAAAAAACACCGTATTACAACGCTATGTGCAAAAATCCCAGTGTGATGCAACACAAACAATAACAACCATAAGACAATTTAGATTCAAGTTATCAGGCCAACTCCGCACTTCCGCAAGAAACATGGCTTAACCATATGTTTTAGAAATCACCAAAATAAAGCTATAAAATACAATTTAACAACAGTAATCATAGGAACTTTGATTCAAATTTAACAATAATCGATATACATAACATGTACAAACAAACTTGCAGCCATATCTGTCAGCATGACACTCCCCGTGTATGATGTGTGAGTGAGTCAATGGTAGTGAGTGTATGATGAGTGAATCATTGTATGATGAGTGATTGGGTCAGTGACCTCCTTTTCGCCATCGCGGCCTCCTCCCCACCATCGCGGCCTACTCCTCGCCATCACGGCTTCCTCCCCGCCATCGTGGCCTCCTCCCCTCCATCGCGGCCTCCTCCCCGCCATCACGGCCTCCCCCACGGCATCGCGGCCTCCTCCCCTCCATCGCGGCCTCCTCCACGCCATCGCGGCCTCCTCCCCTCCATCACGGCCTCCTCCACGCCATCACGGCCTCCTCCACGCCATCATGGCCTCCTCCCCTCCATCACGGCCTCCTCCACGCCATCGCGGCCTACTCCCCGCCATCACGGCCTCCTCTCCGCCATCGCGGCCTCCTCCCCGCCATCACGGCCTCCCCCACGCCATCGCGGCCTCCTCTCCGCCATCGCGGCCTCCTCCCCTCCATCGCGGCCTCCTCCCCTCCATCGCAGCCTCCTCCCCTCCATCGCGGCCTCCTCCCCTCCATCGCGGCCTCCTCCATGCCATCACGGCTTCCTCCCCTCCATCGCGGCCTACTCCCAGCCATCATGGCCTCCTCCCCTCCATCGCGGCCTACTCCCCGCCATCACGGCCTCCTCCCCTCCATCGCGGCCTCCTCCACGCCATCACGGCCTCCTCCCCGCCATCGTGGTAGATGAAGTAGTATTAGAAGATGTAGTAGTAGATGTAGTAGTAGATGTAGTAGTAGTATATGATGTAGTAGTAGTAGATGTAGTAGTAGTAGATGTAGTAGTAGTAAATGCTGTCCAAAAAAAGGGCGCGCAAAACAACTAGGCACGAGGAGACAGCTGCCTGCCGAGTCGCTCACATTACATATGCATGTTGAACTTCTTTCACACCGCACGTAGCCATCCGTGCTAATTGCAAGGTGCGGGGGAAAGACAAGAAAAAGCATTTCTTAAAGATATGAGTTTTCAGGACCGAAGTTGACCGAGGGGAGGCCCATGACCGGTGACGATAATCGTCACTTGTGTTGGTGCCCTGAGGTTCCCCGGTGTGAAGGAGGGAGCCTCCGTCAAAATAAAATCGTGATCATTATCATCATATTTGTGTTGAACATTTACTCTAAGCTACATCGGTATGCGCAGAGTGTTGCCGCATTGCCGCACACGCGCAGATAATTCAAACCGCGCAAAGTTAAAGTGAACGCCGGGTGGAAATCGGTTCTTGGTCGGCATGCACGGCGCGAAGCGAGGGAAGCGTGTGAACGGAACGGCTTTCACTCACCCGCACTTCCAAACGCGGTGAAGCACGGTCAAAGAATCACCGTGAGCCGGCACGGTACGAGGAGGGAGGCCTTCGTCCGATGCAAATGAGCATTGGGGGGAGGGGGGGTGGGCATGAGTGCTCATCTCCTGCTTACGGCCCTGAGCCAACGGTGGAAATTCCACGTTGCTATGGTGGGGGGGGGGGGGGGGGGAACGCGTCAATCCACTAGACACCCACAAAATGCTACTCGTTTTATTGACCCCGGAGGGATAATGGGCTGAGTCGTTTTCCGACCAAAATTTGAACTCAAATAATAATAATAAGTGAATACACAACAGGCCGCATTAACTTAACAGCAGGCGTCAGGGTCGAGATTGAGCCCACGACCTCCTGCATACCAGGCGAGGTAGTTAACATCTCAACATCGAACTCGCGACCTCCTGCATACCAGGCGAGGTAGTTAACATCTTAACATCGAACTCGCGACCTCCTGCATACCAGGCGAGGTAGTTAACATCTCAACATCGAACTCGCGACCTCCTGCATACCAGGCGAGGTAGTTAACATCTCAACATCGAACTCGCGACCTCCTGCATACCAGGCGAGGTAGTTAACATCTCAACATCGAACCCACGACCTCCTGCATACCAGGCGAGGTAGTTAACATCTCTCCACCGCTGGCACCCCTTACCGAGACGGGCCAATTGCGTATTACGTCCGATGGATCAAGCTTGGGTTTCGGTTTTTTTTTTGGTCGTCGACGGAACGGCGACGCCACCGTCGCCGGAAACTCTCGCGTACCGAACTGCCGCTTGCCCCCGCCCCGCCCCCCACCCCCCGCAGTGTTCCGCGAGGAGCCGGCGCTGCCACCCAGCAACTCGCAAGCGACGCGGCGCGACTGCGAGGGCGAGGGCACCCCCTTCCACCACTCCATCGTGCGCCTCCTCAGGAACCGTCCCTTCATCCTGCTCATCATCACCTACGGTACCCCCGCCGAGACGGATCGTCCTCCGAGAGAGGGCGAGGGGAGGGCGGGGGAGGGGGGGGGTTTCCGTCGTGATGGCTGTCGCACACTGGTCGCCGATGATCTAGAACGAGGGGGTGGGGGGGGGGGAGGGCGGGGGGAGACGTGTGGCGGCTCTTTCAGCGACTGCTTCGTGACCGCTCGTTATTCGGGACTCGCCGTCTCGTGTTCACCGCAGTGCATTGTGGCTCTTGAAATAATGAGTTGTTCTCTTGTTTTTTTTACTTTACCGAATTCGAACTAAAATGCCTCCTCTTGTTATTTTGTGTTGCCGTACCCCCGACCTAGAAGCTTCCGGTTCAATTCCCGGCTGATGCTCTCGAAGCTGCCGGCTCAATTGCCCCCCACCCGACCACCTCACCCCTTTGAGACTCTGAAAATTAATATTTTATGAATGCCTACCAGACAATATATATTGGAGTTATTTTGTTTTTAATTAAGGTCAGAATCAACGAGTACTCCGTTTTTCTCCCACGTGGATTGTCGCTCATTAATGGAGTTGGCAAAACATCCCAATATAGGGCCCCAGAGCTTGGGCAATTGTTGAGTAGCCGCCGGTTGCGGCTGCCTTCGTCTGTAGTTCCCGTGCCTCTGAGTTATGCATTTTTCGTTATGCATTTTTCAAATCTACCGCTTAGCTTTTTCTTACTGCGTGCGCATTGCGGGCACCCATCCAAGAGCTATCCTTGGCACTCAACCAAACCCTTCATAGTTTCCAAGGTCCCGGTGAGCTTGCAATAGTGTTCTGGGTTGTGTTGTGTGTCACAGGCCCGGGCGTTTAACAGCATTCGGCAATGGTGCGTGAATTGAAGTGCAGGTTTAAGAGCGAATGACAGGCTTAAGAGCCTGACGGCGATGCCTCAGCCTGTTGGCAGGGCAGCGTGAAACTTTGCTGTGGAACTACGTTAATCCTGGCGTCACTCGCAAGCCTTTTGGACCTCACCGTGATGATTCTTAATTACGAGTCGTTCGTCGCGGAGAACACGTATGTTTCTTCTGCTGTGATCGGAAAGCTAATGGTGAATCAGACCATCATGGGGGACCTCCTTTGCCAGTACCAAAATATGAGAATAGGTTTTAAAGGGGAAAACATATTCTCATATTTTGGTACTGGCAAAGGAGGTCCCATGATGTAGCTGCTCACCCCGAGCTCCCAATACTCTGATAGTGGCATTGTCTTTGTGCTGTGTTCGCCTTTTGGCGTCCTCTGGTCTAACACCGTTTGAGACGAGAGCTCGAAAGAAAGCTGTCTCTGGTGTGGACCAATCAGTTTCAAAGACAATGCATCATATTATCAAAGCATGTTTTTTTGTTTGCATTCTGCCCACAAGTATTGTGGTTAATGCAGACGACATGATTCCTTGTAAAAAAAGTTTCGGTTTGGTGTTTTAACATCTTAACACAGCTGTTCTGTTGCCAGAAAAAAAGGGGAAAACCTATTCTCGTGAATCAGACCATCGGATTACAAATCCGCTGTACGGGGTTACGTTTGCGCGTCACGTGAATCGTCCGTCGGTCCACCCGACTGCAGGCAGCAAAGACTAATGCGAACAACAACGAAGATCAGGTATTTCGGGAATGCCGTCTCGTGCAAGGAATTGTGTGTTCATTTAAAGAGACGCTATTAAAAGGCAAAGTAAGCAAAGGTGAGCTTAATTGGACGCTTCTTGAAATCAGACGCTCGACATTTTTTTTCCGCGTGCCGTAATGTGCACGTGAGTACGCGTGTGTGTGCGTGTCTTTGTCTTTGGAGGGGTAATGCGGTGGTTAGCTTGGCGCAGCTGCGCTACGAACCTGGCGACCCGAGTTCGATTCCCGCTCACGGCCAACATCAGTGGCGATTGTCTGGAAACCGGTCCTGGGCCTCCCCCCTAGATCGACTCAGCCTCAAATGAGCACCTGGTGCAGTGGTGTGTAATAAACATCGCCACTGGGGAGACAAAGGCGGCCCGGCGTGGTGCTGGTCACCCACCCCCTCGTGTGCCGTGCCGGCCCCTCACACGTGCTCGCCAACAGCTCTTGCCCCAACAGTCTGTTAAGGCTACACGGGCGATCTTTGTCCGTGTGTTGCGGTTAGCGCGGCGCTGCGCTACGAACCCCCCCGGCCGCCCGAGTTCGATTCCGGCTCACGGCCGCCAACACCCCCGTGGCAGGTAGCGGCGAAGCGTTGTCGCTGCGACTCCGCCGGACAGATCGCTCCCAGGCTGAGGCTGCATCCGCCTCTGCCGCTGCCGCTGCAAGCAGACGATTTGCGCGACAGCTCGCGACCCGCAACGTGAGCGGCCCGCTCAAATGCAATCAAGTCGCTCGACTCGATCGCACGAAGTGTGGGCGCGCCTGGCCACTAACGCTTGCCCGTGTGTCCGCATGCGCCGTGTGTCTTTGTGTGTCTCCGTGTGCGTGTTTGCACGGATGTGTATGTGCGCTACTAGGCATTAACACCGGTTGCTTTTACTCAGTGTCAACCCTACTCAACCAGATGGTGGTCTACCATTACCCGGTGAGCACTGACCCACAGCGCACGGTGCTCGCCGAACTGGTCCAGCCTCACGCAAGCAAGCGCACACACGCGCACACACGCGCACACACGCACGCGCAAAGACAAAGATCCCCCGTGTGGCCTGTAGCAGACTGTCGGGGGCAAGTGCTGTTAGCGAGCAGCACCTGTGAAGGCCGGACACGGCACACGAAGGGGGTGGGTGGCCAACAACCACGCCCGACCGCCTTTGTCTCCCCAGTGGCGGTGTTTACACACACCGCACCAGGTGCTCATTTGAGCCGACCGAGGGGAGGCCCAGTACCGGTTCAGATGTTCGTCACCTGTGTTGGCCGTGAGAGGGAATCGAAATCGGGATTCCGGGTTCTTAGCACACACACGCATGCACGCGCACACAAAGACAAAGATCCCCCATATAGCCTTAACAGACTGTAGGGGCAAGTGCTGTTAGCGAGCACCTTCAGCATGCGCACGCGCACACACGCATACACACATGCACGCACGCACATGGGCCTTCCGCTGACTGTGCGTGACGAATGAAATTATTAAGCGGTCAGCAAGCCTCCCCCATCCGTCTGTGTCTTTTCACACGAACAAAATTTCAGATTTTTGTTTGATTTTGACACAAAACCCATCGGGGACCCCCCCCCCCCCCCCCCCCCCATGGGGTCCCCCTGTGTGGGAGGGCCATAACTTCGGCAGCATTAATTGAGTACAAGCAAAGCTCGGGACCGGTTGCTTGAATCGACGCTGGTGATATGCCAGACGTTTTAGCAAAGGCGCCTTGGGTTTGTCGGCTTATCCATTCAGTTATTTGAGTTCTCCACAACGGCGCTTTTGTTTAAACACATTGGAGAGAGAGGGAGAGAGAGAAATGAAATTGCACCACCGAGCATATTAAAAAACTGAACGACGCGCAGAGCAAAGCTGGCCTTGTTAGCTTCGGCGCAGAAACGTGAAGTGCCAGCCCAGCGGGCGTGGAACGTTGGGGCCAACGTTGTATCAGCGTCGGGCCAACCACGGGTCAACGTTGGGCCAACATTGGGCCAACGTTTGACCAACGTTGGGCCAACCATGAGCCAACTTCGAACTCGGTAAACCCGAGTTAGATTCCCACCCATGGGCACCAACACCAGTGACGATTATCTGAACCGGTCCTGGGCCTTCCCTAGGTCGACTCGGCCTCCAACGAGTACCCGGGGCGGTGTGTAAACACCGCTCCTGCGGCCATCTGGAACACTCTTGCTTACGATATTAGGAAGCCACTAGAGCTATGCGATTTTAAATCATCTACATTAAACACTTATTTATTTAGAATTGCTTTTTGTGTTTAGTTTGTTGTCCTACCCCCGCACCTCCGATTAGCATGGTTGGCTACGTACGGTGCGAAAGTTCAACATAGATACATTGCTACTAGGGAGACAAAGGTTGCTGGGCGTGGTGGATGGCTACGCACCCCCTCGTGCACCGCTCCAGCCTTCATAGATGCTCTCCATAATAGAGGTTTGTGGGTTAGATCTCTTAAATATACATGTGCCGTTAAGCCCGCCACCACCCGATACAGCCAATTAGTAAGGTTTGCCACGTGAACAAAACATTCCAATTGGCTACTAGTTCAGCACACCGGCGGTGTGTTGGAGAGTAACCCCACAACATTTACCATTCGAGTTCCGTGACGTTCTCCCCGGTAATTACAACCGGCATCATCAGGCGACAGCCAGAGTTGTTCGTCGGTGCTTCTCGCTTGCTCGCAGCGCTTGCTCCTTGCAGTCTGTTATGTCTGTACGGGTGATGTGGGGGGCGGTGGGGGCGGGGGGGGGGAGGGGAGATATTAATCTCTTTGTCTTTGTGTTGCGCGAACACAGGGCGAGGAGATACATGCAGGCCGCATCGGCCTCACCCTGGTGCTGGCCGGCATGGTGGGCTCGCTGCTGTGCGGGATATGGCTGGACTATACCAAGACGTACAAGTACGTGCGCTTGCATTTGGTGACTCTGTAAACTGTCGCTTGAATTTGCGACGATTTGCCTGAATGCGACTGTTCCCAAAAGTTGATGTGCTTCTCGAACCGTTGCACAGTGGCTGTCTGAACTGTTGGTTGCATTCGAATTCAAATTGTTATTTTGCTGTTGCTGCTGCTGTTGTTGTTGAATCTGACAAGGGGAGATGTCAAGGGAGTTGCGTTACGTTAGTGTGTTACGTCGCCGTGGTTACTGTTTAGCATCAACGTGGCAGGTTAACCAAGATTCGTCTGGTGTCGTTATTTCATAACCCACGGTGGAAAGATGTTAACTACCTCGCCTGGTATACGGGAGGTCCTGGGTTCCATCCCTATCGTAACGCCTGCTGTATATTTGGAGTTTGAATTTCTCTCTCCCTGTGGTCGCGTCGATTCTTCTCCGGGTCCTCCGGGTTTTCCCTCCACATTTAGACTCAACAGCACGCGTTCGCAGTATTTGGCTACTGCTATCAACTTCCACGCGATAAGTCACTTTGCCGAGCATTCATTTGTGATATCCAGGTGGCCTCTGAAAAAGAGCTAATATAACTCAGTGGGCCTTAAGTGGTAAAATAAAAAAAATAGTTTAGTTTTTAGTTGTAAGCTTGCCAAACGTGTTTGTTGTTGTTATTGTTGTTGGCCGTCGTGTCTGCGTGGACAGGCAGACGACGCTAGCCGTGTACACGCTCTCCCTTGCGGGGATGATCACCTTCACATTCACGCTGATGCTGGGGAAACTCTGGGTCGTCTATCTCACCGCGGGGCTCCTTGGGTGAGTTCTCAACCCCTTTTACTTTTTCTTGAATAACTGAAGTTGTTTGTGTCGTTTCCCCTCCAGCAACGTTCATCCCCGATTTGCGCCATCTCGCGTCAACGTCAGCGAGACGGAGCGTCCGCTCGGATCTCTTGCAGAGCAACGAGCGCTCCCCTCTATATTAGAGAACGGCCCGCTGAAGTGGATATCAAAGAACTACCTCTGAGGGATCCCTTCAAAAGTGACCTCTGGTCCATGCGTGCGCAAAGGAGAGGGGAGTACTTCTCCCCCCTCCCCCCGACTCTCCATATGAGAGTAACGTTCGTCGCATGTTCTCAGAGCTGGAATTTTATTTTGGCAAACTAAGTGCAGAACCAAACTTTTATATGGCGGGGAGTTTTTTTTATCGTTGTCTTGTGCAGTCATTCGTGACCTTGCTGAGACCATCAACTCCACTCAACCTGAGGACCCAATTTAAACACAGGCAGCTGCCTGGGTTCGAACCCAGGGCGTCAGCGGTGACGACTGTTAAGAGGCACGGAGCGGACGTAGACTGTGGACAATCCAGAGGTCGCCTGTTCCATTCCATCTCCAGGTGCGGCAGTCGAAAACATTCGGCACGTTGCCTAAATTTGACCGCCAACCCGCCGCCCCCCTCCCGGCCTCTGTCGACCCAGCAGTATGAATTGTTTCACCACAGGCTCGTCGATCGGCAGTTTGTGTGTGGTTGGGTGAGATGTGAGCGCTTCTCCACTCGAGCTACTCGGGCCATGAGCTTTGGCTTGTTTTCGCGGATGTCTAGCGCCGCCGCTGCACGCATGTCTGCGCATGTGTTTTTTGTGTCTGTGTGTGTGTGTGGAGCGGTCGTGCAGCGGTTATCGCGTTCTGCTACGGACCCAGGGACCCGAGTTTGATTCCTGCTCACGGCCAACACCGGTGACGATTATCTGAACTGGGTCCTGGGCCTTCCCTAGGTCGACTTAGCCTTCAACGAGTACCTGGGCCGGTGCGTAAACATCGCCACTAGGGAGACAAAGGCGGCCGGGGGTGGAGGTGACCACCCACGCCCACTGTTGCCTTGCCGGCCTTCATAGGTGCCCGCTAAACGGCACTTGCCCCAACAGTCTCGTTGAGGCCACACGGTGGGGGGGGGGGCTGATGTTTGCCATTGTGGGGAAATGCCCCCTTAATCTGTCCCAGGTTTTTTATGACGGGATATCTGCCGCTGGGATTTGAGTTCGCGGCCGAGATCACCTACCCCGAGTCGGAGGGCACGTCTTCGGGTCTGCTCAACGCCTTCGTGCAGGTGCAACTCTTTCTAACGTCAACTCGGCGCTGTCACTCCGTTCACTCGTCACGCGCCCGTGCCGGTGGGAAGGACCGACGCGCCGAACGCTGAACGTGACCTCTTGCGACGGCGTCCGCGTCGGACGCTCTCGGCTGCCGCCCAGTATCGGCGTCTCGAGTGATTTGTTTTGGTTTCACGGATCACGGGTGGGGGGGGGGGCACCATTCCTTTGATGGTCTCCGTCCACGCTTCGGTCATATCGGCCGCCATAGGCCGTTTGCTGCAGGAGCTTGCGCGTCAAGACGGGTGCGACGTGTCCGCGAGGACAGTGCCACCACAGCCGTCGAACTAATCAGATTCAGAGTATTTATTTGTGCTGGAGTAATCCGATGGGCTATGAAGCTCTTTTTCACGGATGTCCAGTAGGGGCGGGTCAGAACTATACAAACAAAAAACAGCACAAAAACACGTGATGGCAGTGCAAAGTACAGGAAAGGTCAACAGATCTCCCAAACACCAACAAATACACAACACTAAACCATCCCCATCCTACCAGGCACAGCCCACCGAGGTTCATTAACTTATTTTTTAAAGTGACCTGGCCGTAAATGATAGCTCAACAAAGGTGGCTTATTGTTAGAACATTGATAGCAACAAAAATAATCTGAATCGTCTCAACGCATGTTTCTACTCAACGCTATCATCAATTGCACTGCTCTACAAGGAAAAAAAAATGCACTGTAGTCACACGCTGTTCGCGAGCGGCACGTTCCGGAGATGCTCGTGGAGGTCAAACTTCGCGAATAATGATCCTGGCTCTCCGAATATCGTACGCGATTGGACGTCCGCAGATGATGATGACGACGATGACGACGATGGTGACAAATGTTAGCGGTGACCGTGTGATTCCGCTCGCAGGTTTGCGGAATCACCCTCACGTTGTCCCAGGGAAACATCGTCACGAATTTTGACCCCCGCGCTGGAAATCTGCTGCTCTGCTCGGTACTGCTGCTGGGAACCATCTTGACAGGTGAGAAATGTTCCAAGATAATCGTTTAACAGTTCATGGTTTTAAAGTTTGTAGATTTATCGTTTAAGTGCAGGCACGCATTGCTCACCACCTGCTTCTTGTAAAACACTCCACTGTCATTATTCATATCATTTTAGAGCATGGATTTCTATGTACGCATGTATGTTGAACTTCTTTCACACCATACGTAGCCAACCGTGCTCATCGGAGGCGCGGGGGAAGGACAACAAACTAAACATATAACGCAGTTCTAAATAAATGAGTTTTAAATCTAGATGATTTAAAAGTGCACAGTTCTAAGTGGCTTCCTAACAACAACAACAATAATAATAATAACAATGTCTCGGGCCCTTAAATGCCTCGGAGCTTGCCGCCGTGTGATGGCTGCCACACTGCGACTTGCAATCCAGAGGTCGCCGGTTCGATTCCATCTCCTTTACACGCTTTTTAAAAAAATATATATATTTTTGTAGCAATCGAATAATTCTTTTGATTTAAAGCTTGCGTGACTGCTTTCTCATTCTACGTGACTTTACCGAAAGAACCAAAGAAGACGAATAATTATTTCCGATGCTCTCTTCGCCCCCTCATTTGCGTGTCGAAGCACTCATCAAGGCTGACCTGCGCAGGCTGGCGGCAAACAAGATGGGCGTCGACATGGAGGTAAAGTGATTTCACGCGCTCGCTCGTTACAACGTCGAATTGACGCGGGTGGTGGGTTAGGTCCCCGCTACGCGTGGTCGTGAGGGTTTGTTCTTCGATTTGCTGGTGAGCCGAAACGATAATCGTTGGCGGGCGCTTCACAAACACTTGGCTACGCCCGGCGATTTAATTTGTTTGGTTGGCTGCGTACAGTGCGGAAGAACGGAAGAACGTCAACATACTCTACGTACGTGTGGGAACTTGGCAAAAACTAGTACCCATTTTTCCACTTGCATATCGTAAAAACTACTAAAAACTATTTTTAATGTGACCATATAAGGCTCACCTGAGCTATACAGCTCTTTTTCAGATGCGACCTGGCCACAAATGATAGCCCAATGAAGTGGCTTATCGCGTGGAAATTTATAGCAGCCAAATATTCTTAAACGCATGTTTCTAAACGCATGTCGATTTAAAATGCAGAGGGAAACACTTGAGAAAAATCCACGCGACCACCCACGGGGAGAACACGCAAACTCCAAATATACAGCAGGCGTCAGGGTCGGGATCGAACCCACGACCTCCTGCATACCAGGCGATGTAGTTAACATCTTGCCACCGCGACGAGCTGAGCCAGCATGGGGCCAGCACGGCACGGGTGGTTTTCCACTGGCTCTTTGCCACACTGAGCTGGGACATAGCCGCGCTGCGGTGGCTTCACGGGACACGTGAATCCGGGCATTGGCGGTGCAGCGGGTGTGGATGTGTGACATCGGGTCACCATTCATCAACCCACACCCTGGACCCGCGTGGTGAAGTATGGTCAAACAGCCCCGTGTTTATTTATTTTATTTATAGTTGTTTTTTTTTTAATAAGACACAGCAGACCCAACGAAGGGCTTCAGAGCAGTTAAAAATGTGGTAAAAAAAACATCTCGAGTTTATCTCACGTATCATTAAAGCAAACAAGTAGGGTTTTTTAGTAAAAAAATTCTCAGTGGGAGAATCTCGGCGAGCTTTGGAGGCGCGGTTCTCGGGGCGCAGCGTTCCCATCCTGAGGGGCCGCGGACGGCAAAAAAATGCCAAAAGCTCTCGAGACGTTTTGTTGCCGTGAGCGTCGGGCTGACGGAGGGGCGTGCGGTCGGACCTCAAACTCCTCGAGCAAGGGTCAAGGGTCGCAAAGCTGCGCAGTTTTATCGGTCAAATACGTTGAGGCGATTGCCGAAAGGAGTGCGCGGTTGAATTAAGCCCAGTAAATTTGCAGTCGTGCAGCACGGAGCCCAATTGGAAGGCAGCGGTGTAGGTGCGGTAAAGTCGGAGAGATTCAGGGTCCCCCGACGAGAACGAGCGGTCGGTCAGACGTCCAGCGGTGGCATTCTGAATGCCCTGGAGTACGTCCGTACGTTGAACGTATTTCGCACATGGGGTACGTAGCCGGCCGTGCTAATCGTAGGTGCGTTGGGGAAGGATCACAAACTAAACACAAAAATCAGTTCTAAAGAAATGAGTTTTCAATCTCGATTTGAAAGTTCATCGCTCGCAGTGGCTTCCTAATATCAGAAGAGCCTTCCAGACGGCCGCAGAAGCACGCCTGAAAGCGCGCGATGCGGTGCACATCTTTGTTCGATGGCCAGCCAAAAGCCGCTGCGAAGTAAATCCACCTTCACGCCGTGGAGGACCCACGTACAGGACACTGCCATGGTCGAGACGAGGTGTTACGTGGGCATTCAGGACATGACCAACAGCGCATGGAGGCCTTCATCCAGTAATTGAACCTTACGGCGGGACCCCCGGGGTCCGGAAGAAACGCGAGTCAAAATCGTAATTAATGAATGTATTTTTGGTTGACTCCGTCCCACCGCGCGCATGAACACCGCGACCCACCTGGCGCGGATCGTCCTGTTGTCGCGTCGTCCAAGCGCGGCGGCGAGGACGAATGCGCAGAAGGAACAAAACTTTGAAACTTCGATTAGCGCATCGCGTAGAGCTCGTCGAGAGGAATAGATCGCCGCGTCGTTCGCCTTCAACAGACATGAAATGACGTCGCAACGCAGTTTATGCGAGAGCCGGAGGCTTATGGGACCCCGGGGTGCCGCCATAAAGTTCAATTGAATAACTTAAGTATTAAACGATGTTCCCTGAGGTTCTTTGCAAGCCATCTGGCTACCATGAGAGATTCGTTCATGAGGTTATCCACATATACAAACACAGAGACAATTTCAACCGAGAAGATGGATTCTGGTTTAGCAATCATTTGAAGGATTTGATAAACCATTTCGGGTCTTAATTGATTGATCACGCTTAAGGTGGCTTTCAGACCGCATCCATTATTTTTCGTCTCCCCCCTCCTCTTTTCCGAACATAGATGGACTCGTCCACCTGAACAAACTGTCAAATCGCTCTCCGTGGTGCTAACGTTAAAAATAACCGCCACTTTTTTCAAATTTTCTTGTTGTGGTTTTCACACCTGATGATGATTGCTTGTGTTGCAGTCGAAACGTCGTGAGGATTTTTTGGTTTTATATTTGTATTATTTTATTGTTTCCCTTCTACGTGACTTTACCGAAAGAACCAAGAATATGATGTTCCCTGTGTTTTTTTATTTAGTTTCTTCATTGTGTCATCTGATCTACTGTCTTCATATTAACACACACACACACATGTCTTTATTCAGAAACCGCAAATAGTCATAAATGGGACTACTCCAGAAAAGAACACATCTGAAGTTCTCCATCAGAGCGCCCTGTGATCAACGGCGAACGCCAGACGGACGTGTGGGGTGGCTCTTCGTGGAATTTCTACAACGACGGTGCAAGCGTCGTCCTGCTCGCACGTCGGCTAAAGCACCAAATCGTGTTTCGCTATTTTTGTTCAATACACTACCTTTGACAAAAAACACAAAAAGCAAACAATGAATAAACACTGCCCTAGTAGGGGGAAAAACAATAAGAGGCGACATTGTTGTGGGCAATGACCCTTCCTCACAGTGTGATGTGCTGAAGAAGGCACATTACCCAAAACGTTGCCTGTTATATATATACACACAGGAACTCTCCTTACAAACGAGTTAGGTTCCAGAGGTCTGCTCGCAAGTCGATTTGTTCACAAGTCTATCTTTATTCCAAATCTGTAGTACGGCATGTACACTAAAAACGGGAATGGCTTTAAAAATGGTATAACCTCCTGTAGATGCCACTGGTTATTCATGTTCCAGCTGTAATGTGACTAAATATGGTCGTAGTGCAATTAACAAGGGGCTTTATTTAGAAAATGGTTATACTGGGGCACCCGCACACTCATGAATGTGCCGGTATTTTGGTGTTGTAACTCTGTGACCCGCTCCTACTGGACATGTGTGAAAAAGAGCTTCATAGCTCATCGGATTTCTCCGGAATAAAAAAAAAGGATCTGATTCTGATACTGCGATGGCAGTGGCGCACACGCACAAACAACAACAACACAGAATCAACATATTCGTCAATAATTTTTACGTGCAATAAAAAAATGTGCCGTTACCAAAACGTCGCCTGTGATGTATATATATATTTTCACCTAGAGGCCAAAAGTGTTATTGACGGATGTGTTGAGATTTTTGACAATACCACTTTACCAAGAGCAGCTACCCTCTTGATTGTAAATCGGTTTCAAATCCATGTTGTTTAACAAGGTGAGAACCCAAGAGGCCAGGGTAAGTCTCATTTGCAAGAGTGACCTGGGGCATTAGTCTGCCAGCAGAAAAAAAAATTGTATTTCCATGTACAGTATAACCTCAATTGAGTAATTTGAGGGTCATTTTGAAAGCTGCAATATCTGGACCCTGACAACGACACACGATGGCCTATTCTTGTGAATGTCGGGCGATCTAACGTCCTTGGCGAAGCAAATAGCGCGGTGCAATGATTACGGTTATGACACGCCGGAGCAATAAGCAGGGCGGCCGCCGGATGCCGAACCGTGAACCTCTGCAAAAAAAAGCAGCGAACGCCTATCGATAGGCCACTTTAGCGCCCAGGGTCCCAAGTAACACTGCAAAATAGCAGATTTTGCACTGCAGTTGAAAACATTGATTCTCTCGTGTATCCGTCAATGTAAAAAAGTGGTTACGGTACGTGCCCAGCCAATGCTTGCTCACGCATTGCCGATGGAAGAGGGCCCCCCCCACTGCAGTTACCTCTGAGGGAATTGTATCAACTCTTCTACGTTGACCAGACGTGTGGCGAGATGTTAACTAACGCGCCTGGTATACAGGATCTCGTGGGTTCGATCCCGACCCCGACGCCTGCTTTATATTTGGTGTTTGCGTGTCTCTCCCCACGTTGGCGTGGATTTTTCTCTGGGTCCTCTCCGATTTTATCCGCGCTCTTCAGTTAGAAACGTGCGCTCAAGAGTATTAGGCTGCTATAGATTTTACACGTGATAAGCCACTTCGTTGGGCTGTCATTTGTGGCCAGGTCGCTTCTGAAAAAGAGATATCCAGCTCAGTGGGTCTTTACGTGGTTAAAAATACAAAAAGATATTAAACTTACTCCTGATGATATTCTGGTAAGTTTTGATGTGATTTCTCTATTCACTAAGGTTCCAGTGGACGAATCGCTTAAATTACTTGATACACTAGTAAAGAATACCGGTTTACCAAAAGATATTCCGAAACTTGCTGGCCATTGTTTAAATAACACTTACTTCTTATGGAGAGGGGATTTCTTTAAACAAAAGGAAGGAGCAGCAATGGGTTCTCCTTTATCCCCTGCTATAGCAAATTTGTACATGGAAAACTTTGAAATAAGAGCACTTGCCTCGAGCACATTAAAACCATCCTTTTGGTTTAGGTATGTGGATGACACTTTGGTTGTCTGGCCACATGGTAAAGATACACTTAATGATTTTCTAAATCATCTCAATGCACAAAACCCGGCCATCCAGTTCACCATGGAAATGGAGGTGAATAACACACTCCCATTCCTAGATATTTTGCTTGGACATGGCCTAAACGGTAAAATAACACAGCGTTTACAGAAAGCAAACGCACACTGATGCCTATCTGAATGCAGAATCACATCATCATCCAGCTCAGAAATCCTCTCTTATCAAGACGCTCATACATCGGGCTAAAACAGTGTCAGATGGTGAGAGTCTAGTGAGAGAGATTAAACACGTTAAAGACGCACTACGACAGAATGGCTACAATAATGCTCAAATTAACAGAGCACTGAATGCCAAATCACGATTGCAAAGCAATACTGCTGAAAGCGACCAAATTGTTAAAACAATAAAAATTCCATATATCTCAGGAGTAACTGACAAAGCAAAACATTACAGTAAGATTTGGTACAGTACACAAAATTCAAAAACTAATATCTTGCACTAAAGACGCATTACCTAAACTATCAACAGAAGGTGTATATCGGATTAATCGTTCATGTGGCAGCTGCTACATTGGGCAGATGGGACGTAACATCAGCGTAAGACTAAAAGAACATCAGAGAAATATTAAATTATCTCAAACACAACTGTCGGCAGTGGCAGAACATGCTTGTCAACAAGGACACTCAATTGATTTTGACAATGTTGCAGTGGTGTGTAAAACTAATTATTACTGGCAAAGACTAATTAGAGAATCAATTGGAATTGAGAGGAACAAGAATAACTTTAATCGCTCTGACAGCTACCGGCTTAGTGCGGCCTGGAAGCGTATTATTAAATAATACACATTACATTTTGATTTAAAGAATTACTAATCTACAACTCATTACTAATCATAACCAATGACTGATTACTAATCGATTATATAATTACAATACCCCCCCTCCGCCTCTAATCACTGCACCTGATATGAGTTAAGTGATGACGTCACCCTGCTGCTTTATATAAAACCGGGAGCAAGCGAGGGCTTTACCATTCTGGCGAATTGCCCGATGATGCTGGATGTATTTATCAGCGAAACGTCGTACTCAAACTGTAAATGTGGATTCACTCTTCAACACACCGGTGGGCTAAAGTAGTGAATTATTTGTCTTTTGTCAACGTGACACTTTTTTTGCTGATTGGCCGTGTCGGGTGGTGGAGGGTTACGACACATTTATAAATAAACGCGATCTAACCCAAAAACCTTTATTATGAATAAAAATACCAGTTTAGTTTTAGTGTTGTTGTACGGTGCTGTACCCCACCAGACGGAACCTTGCGATCGACCGACTGTGGCTGAACCTGTTGATACTGCTGAGTGCACAGAGACGAGTTCAGTTTCATGTATTAGGTATAGCCCTTGTGAGCCATGCGGCTCTTGACTCCGGTGCAACCGCAACAAACAAAAACGTGAACAAGAAACATTTTAAAGTGACTACGCGCAACAGAAAAATCCAGAAAAAAGCACCGTATATCAACGCTGTGTGCAAAAATGCCAGTGGGATGCAAGTCAAACAAGAACAACCATAAGACAATTTAGATTTAAGTTATCAGGCTAACTGTGTACTTCAACAAACAAACATGGCTAAACCAAACGTTTTCGAAATCACCAAAATAAAGCTATAAAACAATGTTAACAGTGATCATAGGAACTGTTATTCGAATTTAACAATAAACGATATACATAACATGTACGGCCAAACTTTGCAGCCATAGCTGGCTGCATGAGTCACTCCATAACAGTAGGAGTATCAACATTTTTCAATGCACCTTTAAAGATTAACACACTATAATCAAAACTCAAGATCATACTTTGCAGCAGTCATCCGGAGTGATGCATTTGATTTCGGTCCACTGCATAGCAGTGGCAGTTAGTGGTGTACAGCTCCTCAAGAGCAGTTTTGAGTGCAGACCTCACAGGTCGTGATCCAAGTTGCAGTTTATTGGCAATAGTTTCATAATCTTTGGTTCTATTGGGTAAAGTCACGTAGGTGAAAATAAAATAACAAAAAATCACGACGTTTCGGCCACAACACAAGCGGCCTTCATCAGGTGAAGGGACGAGACTGTCTGGAGGACAGCGCTGGAGTGAGAAAAGCCACGCTTATATCACGACCTTTAAGCTGCGTGAGAAGAAAACAAAGTGCCTTGACAAAGGAATTAGCATATAATTTAGCATTGAAATTGCTCATTGAAATAGCTAAGTTAAAGTATACACATCCGCAGAGGCACCCCTTGACAAAGGAATTAGCATAGAATTTAGCATTGAAATAGCTGAGTGATTAGCTTGTAACTGATCACAGAAATAGCTATGTTAAAGTCAGAGCATATACATTCACCGAGGCACCTAGTACAAATCAAACAGGAGAATTTAGCGAAACACAACCACGCTCAGACCGCAGACCTTTAAACTGTGTGCGAGCAAACAAGGTGTTCTGACAAAGAAATTAGCGCCATTTGGCGCGGGGCGGGGGGGAGGGGGAGTTTACCTATTGATGGTGTGAAAATGGAATTTATAAGAGCTGCGAAAGTTTGGGGTACCACTACTTGAAAAAATATACTGTACCATTGAAATTAGTTTAATGTTTAGTTCGATTTAGAACATCTTTCCAATGGTTGCTTAATTTGAAACCATCCTCTCGGTTGAAATTGTGTCTGTGTTTGTAGATCTGAATTGCTTCATGAACAAATCTCTGATAAAAACCCGTGGGTTTGCAAAGAACCTTGGTATCGGAGAAAATTATATCGTGATCCCCCACAGCGTTGTAACAGTGATCAGCCACGGCAGAAGAATTTGTTTTGCCGTGTTTCAAATCTGATTTGTGCTCACGAATTCGGTCAGAGACATGTCGCTTTGTCTCCCCGATATAGCAATCACCGCAGGTACAACTCAATTTGTAAACCCCGGGGTACTGTTAAGTCAGGAAGGACATCTTTCACGGATGGGATCAGATCACGATTTTTGTGTACTGTATTGAACCGGACCTGGATCTTGTGTTTGTTTAGAATTTTGGAAATCTTTTTAGTAACACCAAGGTCCCAGTACCTGATACCATTGAAGTAATTGAAAATTTGGTCCAACATGGACTAGACCCCGACACACCTGCACTGATGGCTCACTGGGGCATTCTGTCTACAGGAAACCCACCCACACAGATTCCTACTTGAAACCTGAATCCCACCACCACCCAGCTCAAAAGAATTATCTCATCAAAACGTTATACCATAGGGCACATTGTATTTCGGACCAACACCACATGACCAGTGAATTAAAACATGTACACCTGGCCCTCAAGAGAAACGGATACTCTGACCGTACCATCCGCCAAGCTGTTTCTCCCTTCATACAGAAACAACCACTTGATACTCCGGTTAAAACCATCACACTACCATATATAGCAAGCGTTACTAAAAAGATCTCCAAAATTCTAAACAAACACAAGATCCTGGTCCGGTTCAATACAGTACACAAAATCCGTGACCTGATCCCATCCGTAAAGGATGTCGTTCCTGACTTACAGTACCCCGGGGTTTACAAACTGAGCTGCACCTGTGGTGACTGCTATATTGGGGAGACGAAACGACATGTCTCTGACCGAATTCGCGAGCACAAATCAGATTTGAAACACGGCAGAACGAATTCTTCTGCTGTAGCTGATCACTGTTACAACGCTGTGGGTGATCACGATATAGTTTTCTCCGATACCAAGGTTCTCTGCAAACCCACGGGTTTTTATCAGAGATTTGTCCACGAGGCAATTCAGATTTACAAACACAGACACAATTTCAACCGAGAGGATGGTTTCAAATTAAGCAATCATTGGAAAGATGTTCTAAATCAAACCAAACATTAAACTAATTTTCAATGGTACAGTATATTTATTCAAGTAGTGGTATTCCAAACTTTCACAGCAGCTTATTTGCCTTCACACCAACATTATGTAAACTACCCCCCCCCCCCCCCACCGTGCCGGTCCAGTACATCATTGTTATGCTAATTCCTTTGTCAAGGCGTTTTTTGTTTCCTCCCACACAGCTTAAAGGACGTGACCTGGGCTTGCTGTCTTCACTCCAACGCTGTCCTCTGGACAGTCCAGTCCCTTCACCTGATGAAGGCCACTTGTGTTGTAGCCGAGACGTCGTGATTTTTTTGTTATTTATTTTTACCTACGTGACTTTACCGAATAGAACCAAAGAGTATGGATCCTTGCAGTCTAGAAAGCTTCAAATCTAGAAGTGTAATTGTTTGTTATATGAGGGGTTCATACAAAAATGTATTTCATGAAAAAGACTAAAATGTAAAGTTTGTATTGAATCAAAATTTCCTATTTTTATAATCACATTCGGTGTAAATTTTCGTTCATCACCCAAAAAGTTTTCCTTGATAAATTTTGTTGAATCGGCACTTTTATGCTGTTTAGGTTTTTGTGTCTTGACTGCAAAAAACTGATTCGTTTAGATAAAGTCCAATATACTCTAAGGTTTGTCCTTGTGACTTATTGAGTGATAGCAAATGCAGGAATGATAACTGATTAAATGATGTATAATTCTGTCACGGCGTGCAAACGAAAAGATAAAATACTAAAACAGGGGCCTACTTGGCTTTTATCAAAAGCGGTGCCGGTAGATTTTTTTTTATAGAAAATGTACTATGCTTGTAGTAACAAACTAATAGTTACAATTTTAGTGTGCCTTTCATGATTTTTTTGCATGAAAATCCATGTAGGGTTTAGGTGGGGGAGGGCGGGACAGGATGGGTTAGGTGGGAGGGGAGGGGGAAAAGGGGAGGGGTTAGGTGGGGGGGGTTAGGTGGGGGCGAGGGGTTAGGTGGGAGGGGTTAGGTGGGGAGGGGTTAGGTGGGGGGGGGGTTAGGTGGGGGGGGGTTAGGTGGAGGGGGGTTAGGTGGGGGGGGTTAGGTGGAGGGGTTAGGTGGGGGGGGAGGTGTAAGGTGGGGGGAGGGGGCAGATGTGGCCACGCCCACCTGAGTGACTTCACCGCCCGGCCAACTTTTTTCCCGCGCTTTTTTTCATCGCTTTTGGCTGCGGTGCAAGGTGGTGAGTCGACATTTTTCTCTCGCGCGGTTATCTCATGCCGAATATCCCTTTTGTGTACGTACGTAACGTTTTGATTGAACATTGTATTGCCCAGCACGAGTAATAAACACGCAGCGACCACATCGGCGAATGTTTCAGAATGTTCGAGCTCCACGTTGTGTGGGCCAGAGTGCCTATACAACCATCGTGCGTCACCGTTTCTCTTTGATAAGATCCAACATTACCAACTCCCATCGTCACCGTCGTCATTACCATCACCCCCACGTAGTTACCACGCTAAGTGGCGCGGTGGTTAACAACAATGTCATGTGCAGGTTAAGAGAGAACCCTCCCCCCCCCGCCCCTATTGCTGTTGATCCACTGCTGGATGTCGTGCGTAGACGCGCGTGGTGATGGGCCATAGTTTGACGCTTACCTGTTCAGTTTAATTCAAATAATTTCATCGCACAAGAGCAGGGAAGCAGGCCCCCTTAAACAAACAAACAAACAAAAAAAAACTTGCCCTGGAATCATGTTGGGGGCCTCTGAATCATGACGGTTTCGTCAAATTGTCGGGGATTTAATCGTAGCACGCGCGAGGTGATGGTCCGTATCCAGTTGTGCACAAAAAACACCGCGTGGAATGCGTATGCAAGAGAAAAAAAACTATTCTCAGTGTAATAGTGTAACCAAGCAACTGTTGTCATGGTATTTGTACATCTTGTAAATGTTACGCGACTTATTTTGTTGTTGCAGAATTCTTGTGAAAGTTATAAAGAAGGAAGGTTGAAAAAATCCAAACGATCACGTCTGCTGGTGACACTGGACACATTTCTACGAAGGTGATTATGAAGCGTAAATCATCCATTCTTTTTCTGCTATGTGACAGTGTAATTGTTTGTTATATGACGGGTTCATGAAAAAATGTATTTCATTAAAATTACTAAAATCTAAAGTTTGTATTGAATCAAAATTTCCTATTTTTATAATCACATTCGGTGTAAATTTTCGTTCATCACCCAAAAAGTTTTCCTTGATAAATTTTGTTGAATCGCCACTTTGATGTTTAGGTTTTTGTGTCTTGACTGAAAAAAAACTGATTCGTTTAGATAAAGTCCAATATACTCTAAGGTTTGTTTTTGTGACTTATTGAGTGATAGCAAATGCAGGAATGATAACTGATTAAATGATTTATTATTCTGTCACGGCGTGGAAACGAAAAGATAAAATACTAAAACAGGGGCCTACTTGGCTTTTATCAAAAGCGGTGCCGGTAGATTTTTTGTTATAGAAAATGTATTATGCTTGTAGTAACAAACTAATAGTTACAACTTTTAGTGTGCCTTTCATGATTTTATTGCATGAAAATCCATGTAGGGTTTAGGTGGGGGAGGGTGGGACAGGAGGGGTTAGGTGGGGGGGAGGGGTGAGGTGGAGGGGTTAGGTGGGAGGGGTTAGGTGGGGGGGGTTAGGTGGGAGGGGTTAGGTGGGGGGGTTAGGTGGGGGGGGTTAGGTGGGAGGGGTTAGGTGGGGGGGGGTTAGGTGGGGGAGTAGGGGTTAGGTGGGGGAGGGGTTAGGTGGGGGGGAGGGGTTAGGTGGGGGGGAGGGGTTAGGTGGAGGGGTTAGGTGGGGGGGTTAGGTGGGGGGGTTAGGTGGGGGGGTTAGGTGGGGGGGTTAGGTGGGGGGGGTTAGGTGGGGGGGGGGAGGGGTAAGCTGGGGGGAGGGGGCAGATGTGGCCACGCCCACCTGAGTGACTTCACCGCCCGGCCAACTTTTTTCGCGCGCTTTTTTTCATCGCTTTTGGCTGCGGTGCAAGGTGGTGAGTCGACATTTTTTTCTCGCGCGGTTATCTCATGCCGAATATCGCTCTTGTGTACGTACGTAACGTTTTGATTGAACATTGTATTGCCCAGCACGAGTAATAAACACGCAGCGACCACGTCGGCGCATGTTTCAGAATGTTCGAGCTCCACGTTGTGTGGGCCAGAGTGCCTATACAACCATCGTGCGTCACCGTTTCTCTTTGATAAGATCCAACATTACCAACTCCCATCGTCACCGTCGTCATTACCATCACCCCCACGTAGTTACCACGCTAAGTGGCGCGGTGGTTAACAACAATGTCATGTGCAGGTTAAGAGAGAACCCTCCCCCCCCCGCCCCTATTGCTGTTGATCCACTGCTGGATGTCGTGCGTAGACGCGCGTGGAGAAGGGCCGTAGTTTGACGCTTACCTGTTCAGTTTAATTCAAATAATTTCATCGCACAAGAGCAGGGGAAGCAGGCCCCCTTAAACAAACAAACAAACAAAAAAACTTGCCCTGGAATCGTGTTGGCTTATTTTGTTGTTGCAGAATTCTTGTGAAAGTTATAAAGAAGGAGGGTTGAAAAAATCCAAACGATCACGTCTGCTGGTGACACTGGACACATTTCTACGAAGGTGATTATGAAGCGTAAATCATCCATTCTTTTTCTGCTATGTGACAGTGTAATTGTTTGTTATATGACGGGTTCATGAAAAAATGTATTTCATTAAAATTACTAAAATGTAAAGTTTGTATTGAATCAAAATTTCCTATTTTTATAATCACATTCGGTGTAAATTTTCGTTCATCACCCAAAAAGTTTTCCTTGATAAATTTTGTTGAATCGGCACTTTGATGTTGGTTGGATTTTTGCGTCTTGACAAAGCAACGTAATAAAGTTGTTCATAGAAAAAAAACTGATTCGTTTAGATAAAGTCCAATCTACTCAAAGGTTTGTCCTTGTGACTTATTGAGTGATAGCAAATGCAGCAATGATAACTGATTAGATTATGTATTATTTTCTAACGGCGTGCAAAACGAAAATATATAATACTAAGACAGGGGCGGACTTGGCTTTCATCAAAAGCGGTGCTGGTAGATTTTTTTGTAGAGAATGTATTATGCCTGTAATAACAAACTAATACTGGTAGGAACGAAGTTGTAAACTTGAGTGTACCAGCCTGCAATAGATTAATGTGTCCGTCCGTCCCCTTTCAATACTTTAACGAAGTGAAATCTCGTGCTGTTGGGTGTAAAATCAGCAATAGACAGCGCAGAGACTTGTCCTACCAGCCCACCCTGCAGGGACCTGTTAATTAGTTACAATTTTAATCAGCCTTTCATGATTTTATTGCATGAAAATCCACGTAGCCTGCCCAGCGTCACACAGTGTAGTGTCAGGCGTTAGGCACAGATCACCAAAACGATATAATTATCGCAGGAAATAAGTATTTAACAAGGGTGCTGTAGGTGTGCCATGGGGTAAAACATTATTTAAGTGTTTTACATTTTGTTGTATTTCATCAGTCTACATTTATGAATGTTTCATCCCAAAATTCTAAGTAATCATTCTCTTTGCAGGATTATTGCATGATCTTTTTTAAGTGTATCGACCAACACTCCATACAACACGGAAACCAGAAAAAAACATCAACACCACACGCCAGAGGAAACTGCAACTGATCATGACAGCGACTGAAGTCAGCTCCTGCGATTCGTTAACGTTTCATTTCCATTATAGCGGCAATGTTCATGCCATTACTTGTTCTCCGTCGGAGATAATTGGTGAAAGAGTGAAGAGCGTGCTGAATATTGACTCGTTTTGGTTAAAGGGGCTATCCGATCAATCAATTTGGATCAACAATAACTCACCTTTTGAGATTTTACAATCGACGAAGGAAATAGAAGTCATAAAGGATAGCAAGGTAACAAAAATAGAGATGCGAAAGTTCAGCGACATTAGCCAGCTTACCTACTTTAACATTAGGTGTCAAAATCAAGTTGGCATTTTAACCCAGAAACTTCAAGTTATAAATATTTGTGTAGCTGCACACAAAAACGAAAGTCTGCACGATGCTCTCATGAAAGATGGCCGGTTCAAGCCAGGCTACATTGATCGTTTCATTTTGACAGCGTGCGACTCAGTCGTTGCTCGAGTGGATACCAAAGAGCTTGTAAAACTACATGAACATAAGCTGTTTGGAGTCTCGCTAAATACAAGAAAAAGGTTTAAAGGAGGAAGCACATTGGATGCTTCAGTGTCTGAAAATACTGTAGGTGCTGTGCATACTGGAGGCAGCGCCGAGACCAGTCGAGTCTGTGAATCTCAAAAAGACGACATTGAAAGTGGGCTTCAGAAGTCAAATTCTCAGTGGCTGCAGGATACACATGTGCGACGTAAAAAGCAAGCAGCAGAACAACTTGGATGTAATTTGCAGAGAGCTAAAATATTGGAAAAATTACATGGAAAGGTATCAAATCATGTATCCGATAGCATGATTGACCATGTTTATTTACGGAAAAAGCAAGTTGCGATTGTGGGCTTGGGAAAAGCCAAATCCAAAATTGGAACGTGCATTCATTTGAATGATGGTTACATTATGACTTGTTATCATGTGATTGATTTGGCACTTTCATTAATTGAAATCTCATTTTCACATGATATTCATACACGCTGCGTTAAAGATATAGCAGATAACATATTTGTATGTTTTGACTACGTAAGCTATGATAAAGAGCCAACGTGGATGGAATTGGATGGAAGAGTGTACAGTTACTGTGCTACAGAAAAATTAAAGCGCTTTGGCGACAATTTAGATTTTGTAATCCTGAAGCTAGCAGATGAAAAAGTGCCGGACATTTCAGTAAACCCAGAATCGGTGCCTTTTGGTGGCCTTTGTGAAGATGGTGAGCCCAAAGGGAAAGTTGCACTGATAGGTCATCCTGGTGGGGACCTGAGAGAAATAGACTTCACAGACATTGTACTACCAGCAAAGCGGGACGAAATGGCAAGAAATAAATGTACTCGAAAGTATGGTACTCATTTGTATGGTTATAAGGATTTCATGAGTGTAGACAGGGTAACTTATGACACGTCTTTTTTTCACGGCGCTTCAGGCTCGCCTGTGATAAATACAAGTGGAAAACTTGTAGCGATGCACACATCCGGTTTATTGCTAGAACAAAAAAAAACGGTGCGTTACATATTGGAAATCGGGGTTGAAATCCGTGCTATCATAAACTACGTGAGAAAGCATAACCCGGAGCTCTTAAGTACGTGCTTTCCAGGGCAAGATGCTTTTAAACCTGAGCCAATGGATGAGTCATAAGATCATACGTTTCGCTCAGCCCCACTCATTTGTCCCCTTGCCCCCCCCACCCCCTTAGAGGCAAGCAATCCTAATTTAAAATCAACTTAAGTTTTTATTGTAACAATGCGAACCCCGCGTAATACGTCTATCGCAAATGGGGGTTGGGGGGCACAAACGGCAGGACCTTACCAAGTGGGAAATTGGACTCGCTGCCCCACCCACGTGGGAAACCACGTGCAGGGAAAATGAAGCTTTTAAATGGGAGGGGGCAAGGGGGTAGATAACGAACACACTGGGGAAAGGCAAGGGGAATAGAGCGGGAAAAGCGGTTTAAAATAAACTTTTACGTCCAATAATGTTTAAGCATACTTGGGGAATGCTATCTCAAGCTAATTTCAGGTCTTTTGGGTAATTGGCAATTTCGCGAATTGAAAACGTGGCCATTAAGCTAATTGCAAGATTATGCTTTTAACGGAGCGCGTCTCAGCTGCGTTGGCTTGTGTCATCCGAGCTAAGTGTGTATGTAGCTCACCGAACTGAGCGACTTAATGTACTCTACATAGATTAATGGCTGCAAAACTTACCACTCGCGTGGCCGGGTCTAACTTACCCGCTGTATTCTCATGGGAGCGCAGCGTTCACCTTGTCCTGTTTTTCTTCCTGGACCCGGTGAATGCAAACTTATTGTTTGGTTTTGCGTTTGATGGGGTCCCCATACTTTTTATGCAATACGTTTACCAATAACATGGTAATACAGCAGCAGCACATCTCACAAAAATGCTTATACTGTATCTGTTATATTGTGGCTGCAAGCGTAGGAATACCGCCACGGGCAGATCGTTTGAAATTCTGAATGACGGAGACCTATAAACATCGGCCTCAGATGAGTTTTCATAATCTGCAATGTTTAATGTATCTTATGCATAACCCCTGCTTTCCATTATCACGATGATCAAGTTTCACACTCATTTCCCTAGGCCTTGATAATGACATTCGGTGACGCGTTTTTCATGACCACAACCTTTTTGTACTCGTTTTTAACTTCACAAGTGCCGCATGGCACAAGCTTTAAATGGGCAATGCCAGATATTAAATAGATTATGAACCGCTTGTAGTGTTTGATTCAAGATATACGTAACCTGTTTTCTCTCTTACATTCGATGGCGTAGGTGCCATTAAAAATTAGTAACTTCGCTATACTGTATTGTATATTCTTCTTGGTTCTTTCGGTAAAGTCACGTACAAGGGAATTAATAAAATAATAAAAATAAAACATGTAAAAGTTTAAGCCATATTATTTAATTATTTCCCTTCTACGTGACTTTACCGAAAGAACCAAGAAGATGAATCCCTGCAGTCATTAAAGCTTTAAATCGAAAATTTTATTGTATATTGTTTATGAAATCATGCATATAAAATATTTTCAAATGACAGGTTGATTTATTGATAATCAGATTTTTCGTATATGGTATACGTGCAATTTGTAAAATGTATTTTTTTCCAGTAATGTTTGTGTTGGGAAGGTATGCGTTTGTACGTGTTCCCTTGCCAAGCACCAGTGGCTGATGTATTTGATGTCTTGAAACCTGGTAACAAGTTAATTAAATATCCATAACTGAAATAAAGTCGATCAAGTACACAAGTTACCTGTTTTTACATTTGTTAAAAGTAAAACATTAAAATTCAAACAAGTGTAAGAGCCTCCAGGACGCAGTTGTATTCAACACATTCAGTGCATCACTGCCAAACTACCATGTGCACAATTAATTAGGCCCGATCGTGTGTGCACCTAGCTCGCTTCAAGATCATCAGCCAGGACTTGAACCGGCAGCTTCGAGACCAGTGGTGTTTTTAAAACCAATTTTAAGAGGGGGGCCACTGAAGCTGTTAAGACATCAATCACTCCGCCGGCACGGGGGTGTTTTCACCATTTGTTATCGTCGGGGGCAGCACTAAAGGCCACCAGGAGGCCGTCAGTGGCCCGCGGGCCTTGAAATGAAGAACACCTGTGCTAGACCCAACGCAAAGGCTCGATCAACAATTCACGCTATCGACTAGACCTGAGCGGAGGTCCACCCATGCGCATATCCAGCTAGGCCTCACGGCCAAGGCTTGACCTTGTGTGTGACCGACTACGGCTTTATCCTACTCCGAAACGTGCGAGATTAACCGGGTCCTGACGGCCATCTGCACAATGACCACGAACCAACACGATGAATAGCCCTCTTCTATACAGGCGTAAAGATGACTTCAACGCACTCGTCCCGGGAAGGATTTCTTTATCAATGAGCCACTTGGCCACGCCCCTATTCTCGATCATTCTCGTGGCCACCAGTCCACTTACCGTAGGTTGAATCTATTGTCATTATAAAGGTACAATGAAAGGCGAGTGCATGTGTGTGTATTGAACACTGGGTCACGGACTCGGCTTGCAGATACAGCACGCCACCGTTCTCAACTCCATAGGAAAGGACCACAGCCGGTGTTGTGAATTTTGTGTTCTTTGATGTATCGTTATCAAGTTAGGGCATAATTATAATTTTAGCTTAAAACAACTGTAGATGCGTGCTCCAGCAGCTGAATGTCATTTTTTACGGACACGGATCGATCTCTTTCTACAGCTCCCTGTTGTGGAAACTCGTCAGCAGTGGCGTAAGCAAGCAAAAACTAAGCTTAAGTTTGATTTGACCAGGTAAAGCCCACTTGAGCTATTCGCTCTTTTTGTCAGAAGCGACCCGGTCACAAAGTGGCTTATCATGTGGAAATTTACAGCAGCCAAGTAAGAAAGAAAGCATGTTTCTAAATGTGGAGGGAAAAACCGGAGGACCCGGGCAGAATTCCATGCCACCACGGGGAGAGAGAGACACAAACTCAAAATATACAGCAGGTGTCAGGGTCAGGATCGAATCCCACGATTTCCTGCATACCAGGCGAGGTAGTTAACATCTCGCCACCGCAACTATTCAGGGCTGCTCGCTTACTTTTCACTGCAATATATCGTCCATATGAAACATGTTTGATCGACCTTGACTTAAATAGACAGTTTAATAATGTACAACGCAAGCAATGGACTAATACATATAATTGTGAACATGTTTGGTGTGAAAGCTCATCACTCTTCTACCATTGCTACTGTTCCCATGAATGTCACTCATTTATTCCTCCACACATTATTTAGGACTTGTACGTTCTTCAATTTAAAGCTCGTATAACCTTGCTTTATTTTGCCAAGCTCATCAACTCTTATTCGTTACAAATTCAACAGTTGTGCGCTTTATTGCTGGTCTTATTGTTTTTTGGGCCTGTGCTCAGTGACCGTGATAAAAAAAAATAAAGGTTAAGACGGGAGAAGCTCTAAACAAGCAGGCTCCGTGTCCTTTCTCAATGAATAATTTGGTGCGCATTTATTTCCGTCACAATAAAATAACACAATATGCCTCCACATTTCTGCCCGTCCACGTAAAAAAATAAACGTATTTTTCTCATCCCATCAGCCGCACACACATCCTTCTGAGACTGCACACACGCAGCAGCTTTGATTCAACACAAACTCTTGACCGGCTTCATCATTGTGACATCAGTCACGTTTCCTTGAACTAAGATTGTTAAACTGCCAAACGTTTATAGGCATGACCCTCTCTTTTATGCATAGATCACAGTTGGCCGCAAAACACATAATACATGGCATAATTTAACATGATACGTATTAAATTTTGATTTAAAGCTTTTGTGACTGCAGGGATTAATATTCTTGGTTCTTTCGGTAAATTCACGTAGAAGGTAAACAATAAACGAATAAAAAATATAAAACAATATTTTTTATTATTTTATAAAACAATATTGTTTTATGTATTTTTTATTATTTTATTGTTTCCCATCTACGTGACTTTACCGAAAGAACCAAGAATATAATACGTATTCATACATGTTACATATATGTCGGCGTATTACTATACATTTCCACATGACAAGCCACTTCCTTAAGCGATCATTTGTGGCAAGGTCGCTTATGAAAAAAAGAGCTACATAGTTCAGTGGGCCTTACCTGGTAAAATAAAAATAGTTTATATATTCACTCTTCTGTGAGTAGATTTCGCTAGAGGGCGACTAGTTCCCACATTAAGCCAAGACGAACTACTGTACAGTGCTTATTGTCCTGATTGGTATCGCCTGTGAAAGCAACAGAATCTGAATATTTATGCATACCAGAGGAATCCGATGAGCTATAAAGCTCTTTTTCACAGATGTCCAGTAGGGACGGTGAAGAAAATTATAAAAAAACAACACAAAAACACGATAGGAGTGCAAAGTATAGGAAATGTAAGCAAGTCACTAACAATAAAAATTAACTATTTTTTATTTTACCAGGTAAAGGCCACTGAGCTATTAAATTATTTTACGGAAGCGACCTGGCCACAAATTATATCTCAATGTGGATAATTCTAGCAGCCAAATAATCTAACCGCATCTTTAAATCGCTCATAAAAGGCAAATATACAATACCATCATTAAAATATGTAAATGCAACGAGAAAACCCATCGTAAAATGTTATTTACATCACAAATAAGTTCCCTGCACATTCTAAAGCCCTCGGCCTTCAAACGAACTGTGTGCATAATAGAGGTTGTTGCGTTAGATGGCGTCAATATAAATGTGTCATTAAATCCACCACCGCCCGACACAGCCAATTAGTAAGGGTTGTCACGTAAACAAATAGTGCGAATTCGTTACTAGTTCAGCACACCGGTGTGTTGGAGAGTAAGCCCACAGCATTTACAATTCGAGTACGACGTTTCGCCGGCAATTACAACCGGCATCATCAGGCGACAGCCAGAGTTGTGGACACATCCTCCGACTGTTTTGGTCTTAAACAGACGGGCGATAAATGTGAAGTCGTCACTCGTGAGCCAATCGGATGCGAAGAGCAGCAGGGGCTGGGGTCACGTATTAACTTAAAATGCAATGCATAACCATTACCGGTTGTGTTATTCACAGGGTAATGAACATACATAACGTGCACGCGCAGAACGGTGTGGTGGGTTGACCACATAGTCTCAAGAGCCGAATGGCTCACAGGGCTATACCAAATAAATGAAAACTGAAACTGAGCTCTTTAAGTCGGTAGTCTAAATGAAGAAAAAATGACCACACATTCAATGCTTTTTGACCTGGTGGTCTGGATATTTTGTATATGCAATACACATTTATGTCCGTTGTAACATCAAATAACCTTATTTTATAAGCATCATATTCCACAATTAACTGTTTTGGTCCATATATATAAAATCTGGTATCACTGAATAGTAGTCACTTTTACTCGTACACAATTTCTGCTATGATCCATGGACTACAATAGGCTTGAAATCATCATTAGCCGTGGTCGATCCACTGCTGGACGCAGGGATCCTCATCGCTCCATCGCTGCACGTGTCCTCCAGAAGCGTACCATTCCTCCGCATGGAATATACCTCTGTTCCACATGTCCTCATAAAAAATACATTGTTTAGCCCATCAGTCCACGAGCTTTACTGACCAACAGTATTCACCATTATTCACTTAAACTCTACACCACCTTTTTACTTTCTTTGGTCTCATCAGCAGGCTTGTTAAACACTATACTCTTTGGTTCTTTCGGTAAAGTCACGTAGGTACCTACGTAAAGCTTCAGATCAAGATTGTTATACGCTATGAAGCAATTTAACATGTAGGCTTTCGCGACCAATATCCATAATACAGGTTTTTTGGGGGGGGTGAGATGGCTTAAGTATATAAATGTGTGTCGTTAAATCCACCACCACCAGACACAGCCAATTAGTAAGGTTTGTCACGTAAACAGAACGTGCCAATTCGTCACTAGTACAGCCACACCGGTGTGTTGGAGAGCCAAGCCACAACATTTACAATCTGAGTACGACGTTTCGCCAGTAATTACAACTAGCTTCATCAGGCGTACTGCCAGATTTGTGGATACATCCTATGAAGCGGTGAATATTGGGTTACAAAACGCCTTTTTATATTTTTAGGCTACGGTGATATTGAATGCGTTGAGTTTGTTTGCATTAGTTAATTGTACTTGTTGCAATTCTGCCAATGCCCCAGAATCCCCAAATAAAAATGTGTTTATTGTTGTACCGAACTTCTATGCTCCTGCTGAAGGCCACTCCCCCACCGCCAGACTCCTCCCACCCCCGCGCCGAACGCCCGCTTCTGATTGGTCCTCGGCAAGCCACCATTATTTATTTACTTATTTTAAAACATCTGTTTGTATTTCGTAGTGCGCATGAGGCGAGTGGCGCATCGCGATTGGCCGGAGCGAGAGCGGCGAAGCGCCTCCCCCCCGCCGCCCCCCCCCACACCCATGTCGCCAATGCGCGCTAGGGAATATAATGAGAGGTTTGCTTGCATTGGAGGGAAGGCGTTCGCCTCATCGCGTCGCCGCGTCAAGGTAAGCAACAAACAGCGCGGGGTTTTTTTATTTGTTTGTGTTTTTTAAATTTACAATTATTTACATTCGCATGCGCTAACAAGGGTACGGGTGTCGAGTGTTCTTTTTTGTTGTTGTAGACGATTGTCTGCGCGTTCCGGCGGGCTTACGGTTTTATACCGCGCAATCATCGTTTAAGGCATCGTCGGTCAACTGCATGCTGTGTGCCGTGGTGGACCGGCGTGGGGAAGTATGGTCAAATCGCATGCCCACCACCACCACCACCCTCCTCCTCTCCCTGCCTCCTCACCCGGGTGGGTGAGCTCTCATCCAGCAGTGGATTGACACAATGCGCTGTGCACTGTGACGCACATTTGTGTTGAACGCTGCGCGCGATGATGATGATGGTGGTGGTGTTGTTGGTGATACGGAGGAGCGGTGGCGCAGTGCTTAGCGCTGCGTTACGAACCCGGCAACCCCAAGGTGCGATTCCCCCCTCACGACCCGATAGCAGCGGCGATTATTTTGAACCGATCCTGGGGCCTATCCCTCGGTAGACCCCGGCCTCGTATGAGTAACTGGTGCGGTGTGTAAACATCGATACGGTGTCGGGGAGACAAAGGCGGCCGGGCGTGGTGCTGGGGTCGGCCTTCATGGATGCACGCTAACAGCACTTGCCTCAACAGCCTGTTAAGGCTATACGGTGGGAGGGGGATCTTTGTCTTTGGTGGTGCTGATTGTGCTGATGATGATGGTTGGTGATCGCGTTGGTGGTGGTGGTGATGTCGCGTTTCATTGGATGTGATGAAGTGGGATTAGCAGGGTCATTCAAGGCCGGGGTAGACTGGGCAAGTGTGCAGCCTACACGCTGGGGAGACAAAGGCGGCCGGGAGGGATTCGGTCCGCGCTTAATAGGTGTTCGCTCACGACGCTTGCCTCAAGCGTCTCTCTGGGTTACACGCGTTAGCGTTAAATGCTCTTTATATATATGCCTGTGTAGATGTATGTAAGGGCCCTGAGTGTGTGTGTATATATACGGGCGTGGTGTTGACAATCCACAACCCCCGCGCGCCGTGCCGGCCCTTCATGGATTGCACTTGCTCAAGCAGTCTGTTACAGGCTATACGGGGGACCTTTGCCTTTGTACACGAGGAGCGGTGGGTGGCACCGTTGGTTAGCGCACTACGTTGCACAACCCAGCGGCGATCCATTCCCGATCCACTCGCGGCTAACATCAGCGGCGAGTGACACCCGAACCGTGCTGCGGTAATCCCACCTCAAACCAACCAGCACAGGTAAATAATGATCCAAATAACGCCCCCCACCATCGATAAGGTCCGTGGGGAGGCCCTCATCCAGCAGTGGACTGATGAAGGATTGGCAAAGGGCTTTGCGTCTTTGTTTCTCTCCGTGTCTGTCGTGGCGAACTCGTCCTCCGTCCTCTTGCCCGTGGCGTTCTTGTCTTCGTGTTTGCGTGCTACGCTTTCCCCTTTTTGTATCGCAACTTGCGTCTCTCTCTCTCCGCTTCTCTCTCGTGTCTCCATCTGTGTCTCACTCCTCTCCGTGCCCTTTCGACGTCTCTCCCTTTGTCTCTGAGACCCCCTTAAGTCCCCTTTGTTTAAAAAGGCCCCGACCCCCCCCCCCACCTACCTACCTACCTCCTTAGGGTTCAGACAGATCAGTCAGATGTCATCCTTTCTACTTCCCCGTACCCCCTCCGCCGGCCAGCTCTCCTCTCTCGTTGCTCCACAAGACCCAATTCCGTTCCGCTGTGTCCCTGTACATCTGAACAATCTCCGAGGCCTCCCGTAAAGGGGATGGTGACTTTGTCTCGTGCAATGAGAGCCTCAGTGGGGGGGGGGAGCCTGGGGGGAGATACGTGTTTGGGATTTTCACTGAAAGGCGGAAACAGGAACGCGTGACACGCAAGTTTACAGGCGTGGCATTGACCAGTTTGACACGTAGGAGGCTTCCGCGACCGATATTATCCATAACGAGGGTTTTTTTGGGGGTTGGATTGCGTACATATAAATGTGTCATCTGGCCAAACTTGGTTTACTCTCCAACAAACTTGTTGTGCTGAACGAGTAACTAATTGCCACGTTTCGGGTGGTGGCGGGTTTAACAGATGCACATTTGTACGAAATCTAACCCCCCCCCAAAAAAAAAAACCTCACCATTACGGGTCGTATCGACCGTGAAGTGGGCCTGGGCCGCACACGTTCACTAGACGGGATGGTTTCCGCCGCCGGTCGAGACCAATGACGGAGCGGCAGCCAAAGGAGGGGAAACACTCCCAAGAGGAAATACGGCCGTGGAGATGGGGGCGATGAAATCGGCTCGCGTGCAGGAATTTTGATTTATGGTTGATGGATCGCGAGACTGCGAGCGATGGCGAACGGCCTAGGCTTTGCACTTATGGCCAAACTGGATTGCCCACAGAAAGGGGATGATATTCGTAGGTCTGCGCAGATGGGTACGTGAACACCATTTGCTCTCCTGCCATCTCATCGCCACTTCGTTGCCCAAGTGGGTTTTTTTGGAATTTCACAACTCTGCATGGACCACCAACGGAAAAATCTAAAACGCTGCATCACAAATGTGCACTATTATGTAAAATAATCATCAACAATGGATAACACTTTTTTTACAGTTGTGTGTCCGCTTTTGAATAAAGGCTTCCTCATGCAGTGTCTGTCATGAGGGTTGTGTGGTCATACTTCACAACGCGAATCTGTGTCAGTTATGAATAGGAGGGCGGGAGGACAGGGTGGGTGGGGGTTAGAATGCCTCTCTCCACTGATGTTAGCTATGCTTTGGAATCGAACTTAGGTCTCCCGTGGTCACGGTGCATTTTATGAACCACTGTCGCCACCAGTCCACCCCGAAGTAAAACAACCGCTTTTGTGAAATTAGTGCCGTGGCAGACTGAAGCCTTTAATTCCTTTGTCTCCATTCGCCATCCCTGGTGTTGGCGTGCCCATCACCAGGGCCATTACCGCACCACCTGAGCCCCAAATCAATTCTGATTGGCGAGCAGCAGTATATTATACACAGGCAACCCTCGCATGCCATTATTCACATACACGTGTGCGTTTGGGAGTGGGTGGGGAGCGGTAGTGTAGCGGTTAGCGCGCTGCGCTATGAACCCAGCGACCCGGGTTCGATTCCTGTTCACGGAAAACACCAGTGACGATTATTTGAACCGGCCCTGGGCCTCCCCTAGGTCGACTCAGCCTCAAAACTCAGGTTGCCGGTTTCATCGGGCGGTGTCCTGACCAATGCACCCTGCTTTTGTGTACGCTTAGGTGTACGTACGCATAGGTGTACATACGCTTAGGTGTACATACGCATAGGTGTACATGCGCAAATATCGAGCTGAGTTCAAATCTTGGTAATGGCTAAAATTAGTGGCAAGTGGCGTCTCAATGTGTCCTGGGTCTTTCCCTGTTCGACTCGGGCTTTAAATGCGAACCTGGTTTATGGTGTGCAAACATCAGCACTGGGGAGACAGACAGCCAGGCATGGTGCTGTGTCCATACGACGGGACCGCATCATGAGTGAGCTATGTTTACTTTAACAGGTGCTCACAAACAACGCTTGGTCCAACCGTTTATGTAACCTGTATGGGGGATCTTAATATGAATCTTCATGTAAATGAAGTCCATGAGTGCGTGTGAATGTTCGTGTGTGCGTAAGTACGTGTAATGCGCGTTTTATAGCATTTTCCCCAGCAGTCTTGGTGGTTAGCGGTGAGTGATGCACGTTGTGACTGCTTTCCCAGTGGCTGGCTGGTGGTGAGTGATTTAATAAGTATGAACGTCGATGAGTGATGAATCATGAGTGTTTAGTCGTGGAGGGTTATAAATGCGGAATGGTAATTGTTGAGCGTTGTTTTTGGTGATGGGATACTTGGTAATCTTAAAACCAAGCTGAAATCTATGGGTAATTCATACAAGTAGTGACATGTAATGAATGTAATAATATATACTCTTATGGGGCTAGATGTTATCTCCCTCGCCATGGTATGCAGGAGGGCGTGGGTTCAATCCCGACGCTGGAGCCTGCTGTATATTTGGAGTCTGCGTGTTTTCCTCGTGGTCGTGTGGATTTTTCTCCGGATAACGCGATTTTCCCCTCCACGTATAGAAACACGCCTTGTAGAGTTGGCTGCTATCAATTTCCGCACGAGAAGCCGCTTTGTTGAGCTGTCATTTGTGATAGCCAGGTCACGTGTGTGAAAGAGCTAATAGCTCAGCGGGTGTTACGTGGCCAATAAAGTAGTTTAGTTTTATTAAGATAAATCATGTTCCTTAATTAGTAGGTTTTCGTAGCCAGTGCAATGATCCATTTTCATTTTCTCTTTGCAAACGTGGCAATCTTGTCAAGCTGGTCATGTTTACATCGCTAATAATTCTAAACGTGTAATTTATCATTAGATATTAGTTATAAATGATATCTTCAGCTATATAATATATTCGTAAATGTGATAATTTTATCCAGTGGTGGAGTGTTAATGACAAGAATTTGGGAATGAAACTACCACGTGGTCCAACCTGAAAACAAAACATTGATCAAACAAGGCTCCCGTTTTAACACAAAAGTTGGACCAATTCGCATGTTGGCGATTATTATTTACTTTTATTTGACAGTTGGGCAAAATAATGTGCCAGTGTCCCCATTACCAACAATGGGGGCAACCACCCAAAGTCAAAGTGGCTTTGGTCGATTTGTTTATTTTCCACGTGTGAATCCGACGCTCGGCCGTGTTGTCGGTTCACGTCGAGCACAGAACTCTATAGCTCATCTCACTGGGCAGCGGGGAAGTGAGCTGTGATGGACCGTAAGCGGTGAGGTGGGAAAACTAGGGCAGTGGTGAGTTGATTCTCCATTGAGTCGTTCTGGTGAGGGCACTGTGGTGTCTTGAATGGTCGGTCCATTGATTGGTTAAATCGAGTTGTGTGTGTCCGCTCACAGGCCAACACCAGTGACGGTTATCTGAACCGGCCCTGGGCCTCCCC